AACTCTAGTTCACAGCAAGTAAACTAGAGTGGTCCAAAAAATTCACCCCCCTCAGCATTGACACACATGTGGAACGGAGCTTTGGGCCAAGAGCCAACTTTTGGACCATCCTGTAAAGACGTTTTCGAGAGGTCAGCTAATGGCTAATTCTTGAGCCATTCTTCACAGCGCCGCAAATGGCAAAGTGGCACGCTCTCTGCCAAAACAATTTCCAAGTGGTAACTTTTGTTTGTTACTTACGTGGCAATAAAAATGATTCTGATTCTGATTCTTATTCTGTGCCCACCCCCATCGGCCCAGGGTGGTATTGCAAGCATGTCAGCGCACGTCATTTTGGCCACTTTTACACACAAATAGAATTCTGAATACCTATTACTGTTGCATGTATTTCTTTACTCCCCAACTCTTCTGAAATCCTGCCTGCTGGCATCTAGCATCAGGACAAGGGAATGTTTTGGGGGTATTTTGGCACGAGTCCCACAACAGGGCAGAAGTCTGTGTACGATGTCTCGCCCTATCACACTGATGTGCACAGACAAGCTGGTTTTGTCCAATTAGACTCCACTGGCAGGACGCAGAGCCTCCCAGGTATTCACATTAGGTCATATTTGATAGGAAATACTTAATTACACACTAACAGCCATTTGTATGATTAGATATTATTAGTAGAAGATTACACTGCAAACAATTACACAGCTTTAGAATTGTGAAAGAAATACTTTGGTCTTTTGAACATGTTTTATTAACAAATCCAATAAATTGATATGTAGAAGAAACTGATGTTAATCTTCCAATGACGGTGGAACGTTAATTAAATATTCTAAGCAAGAACTAAATGGCGAATGGTCTGAGATCCTCTACAATACATTATGTGTACATCCTTGGATCTTGAAAAAATTAAAATAATAATGGTGCACACTGGAGTTTTTCCAATATGGTTTTACTGCAAATGGCAAATAAATTCTTGAATCTTATGTTTTCACTAAATTGATGGAGTTGCATAGTTTATTTTGTATACAGGATTGGACATGTACATTTGGTGAATTTATCAAGATGAAATTATCAAAAGGTTCTTTCATTTCCAGACATACAATATGAAAGCCCTCACAGACGTAATACTTAGATCAGCTCAAGCCTATTGTTTATGTGAGGTAGTAACAATTCATCACAGTTTTTTTTTTTCCAACTGCTGCCATGTGGCCATTTAAGGTCACTTGGAGTTCTAGCTGTCTAACTCATCAAGGTTTGTCACAATATAAAAGACAAACTTTCAACTAATAATGTACAAAGAACAGAATTTTACATTATAAAAATGGGGATTACAAAATACAATATCATCCACACGACAAATCCACAGAAAACATTTTCATATTTATGGAAACTCAATTGGTTAATATAAACACATCACACTGTTGTGCACCATATGTTTAGAAGTATGTCAAGAAAAAGGCAGGAATTAATTTTCCACCAAAACAAAACTACACAAAACAGATTTTTATGAGGGCGAACCCAATGAGACTAATAACAGTGCATAAAACTGACTGCAGCAGAGGAACAGAGCCTCCCCAGATTAAAATAACACGTCATTACTGCATCCTGAACACAAACTTGCATCCATCACTGAAACCTGTTGCATAACTTCAAAAGAATGACAAGGGATAAGAGAAAGACCTGAGAGTCTTAAAATGAGGTCCACAAAAACAAAGTCTTTACCTTAGCTTGGATAAATATTTCCAAACCAAACAGAAAATTAGGAAAGAAAGAAATTGGTCTGGATTTACTACTGCATGATACATTTAACTACAAATACAAGGATGAACATAATTACTAATTTACTTCAAAATAATGGAAAAACATTTTTAAATTTGCAGAAAGCCCGGTATCACCAGAAACCATTCTTGCCCAACAGCTTGAGAAACATCACTAATTTAAAAATATCATAAACGGGAGGTTTGCTTTTGAGCACAAACATCATCATTTCGAGGTGAAAGTCAATTATATCTGTCAATAATCTGAATCCTCTTTGGCCATAGCAGCTCAGTGAAATAAACAAGAGTGATTAAGGTGAAGGCTGGCACTGCTTTGTGAGGAGGCATCTTGTCCCTAACGCAGACCAGATGAGGCTCTTATGGCCCCATGAACAGAAGGGGCCTCACCTCTTTGCCTCTGCTGAACATATGTAAGAGATAGAAACAACAGGGTGACCTCTGGCACTTCAGGAAAGGCCAAATATATTGTGTTTCTTCTTAGAACTCACAGATCAATAACATATAAGTGGAATGATTATTCACAACAAGGACATATTTTTTTCATGTGTACATACATTTAGCTTGTTTCACAGCATTAAAGTAATATTATGCACTATTTTTGTCCATTACAACTTATACTGAGGTCATTTACCTTGTCATTTCATGTTTTATAATGTGAACATTTTGCTTAAATAGAAAATGTATCGTGAAAAAAGTATCAATGGTAAACAAATCTTTCTGATCAAAAAACAACTTACTTCCTGTGCCTGGTGCTCTTTGAGTAATTTGCACAATTATTTTAATGTCGTTTTTTTAAGCTTCATTAGCCAAATAGGTGTCCAATTACACTTGTTCGTAACAGCAATAGCAGAAATAAATGAAAAAAGTAGAAGAGTCAAAATAAAAGTATGCTATAAAAACTGGTACAACATGAGGCATGTGTCTTCTGGATGGTTTCAAAGAGATCATAAACGTGACACCTATGACTACAATGTACCTATAGCTCAAATAAACTTCACTGTACGAACATATGGCTCCACTGAAATATTTCAATCTAAACAAGCAATGCAATATCTCCTTGCAAGGTTTCAGATGTGATATGCCTTTCCAGTGGCGGCCGGCCAATAGAGGGCGCTAGGGCGCCGCCCCACCACTCACAACTTGCCATGTTACCTTGAATAAAACGTTAAAAAAAATAATAACATTAAAATATTTCGAAATTTATGTGTGTTTTATTTCAGATGTGGAAGAAATACTTTATAGTTTATGCTGAGTTGGATTGATTAAGCTCATCAGCGTTGTCTGTGTCGGACTGAGGACGTATTTCCGCCTCAGGGCGCAAAAGATTGCGCCCTGAGCCGTCTATGGACTCTCGTTAAAAGTTGTACATGCGCAGTAGCTCCTCTTCAATGCAAGAGATAAGACGATTTGGGGGCGCAGGAGAAGTGCGCCCTGAGGGGGCGGGATCGCCCGCGACCTGTACTGTCACTGTCTGTGACGTCCGTTTACACTGATTGACAGGTCAAGCTGTGGGAGTTTGAGACGAACGTAAAGAGACGCAAAATGGAGAACGAGAAAAATAATAATTCAGTTAGATCACTCAAAACAATACCGTTTGAGAGAAGATCATACCAGGAGAAGGTTGAGGTTAAAGAGCTTGGACCTGATCAGCCAAATATTACAATTAGTCAGCAGTCCAGCGACAGGGGGAGACGGTACACTCGTACTTTTTCCAGGACCTGGTTCAGCGCCAAATCTTGGCTAGCAGCATGTAGCGAGGCTAATGCTTTATTTTGCTTTCCATGTCTCTTGTTTCAAACATCAGGATCTGACCCAGCATGGATCAAGACAGGTATGACTGATCTGAAGCACTTTTTAGAAAAGGCAAAGAAGCATGAGCAGACTGGTATCCACATGCAAAATGCCCTCAAATTAGCTATGTTTGGGAAGATAAATATTTCCTCCCAGCTGGATGAAAGCTACAGGGTAGGGATCAGAAAGCACAATGAGGAGGTTGACAAGAATAGGCACATCCTATCAAAAATAATAAACTGTGTCAAATTCTGTGGTGCATTTATATCTAGTCATCATATTCATAGCCCCCCCAGTAGAAAATTCCACCAGCCGCCACTGTGCCTTTCATTGATTTTTCCTCAAATTCTGCATCTGAAGGAATGAAAAAACAATAGAAAAAAAGAGCGCTTCTGGAAATGGAAAAGTTTGTCTGTCATTAGCGCTCTGCACATACATGAATAATGCAAATGGTTTTAAAAAGAGAAACCTCACATTGAATGAATATTTGGCAGCAAAAGCCAGAGCAAGAGCGTGCCTCAATCTAAGACCATTAGAGATAAGCATCTTCTCCAATGCGGCGGTCTGGTCCTGCTCTGCTCTTTAAACAGTTAGCAGCTCAGCCCCTCACTATGCACACTCACAAAGTTAGAGCCAGCTACAAAGATCCTTTTGTTCAATAACACACGGAAAATGGTAACACACGCCATGCTTTCTAAATCAGAACCGTGTTAGCGAAACAGCAGCTAGCATGTTCTCTTCAGCCATGTGGAACGAGTGCTCACCAAGTTTGTTTCCTCCCAAACTTACACACATTTCTTGCCATTTGGCCATTTAGTGCTATCAAGGCTAATAGAGGAAAGCCTGGGTGGAGTGAAATAACAGGATAACACACCATGTAGCAAACGTAACAGCAATTTGATTATAATCGGAATCAACAAAGAAGCACCTATGTTTTTACACTTTTCTGACCACCTGAACTCACATCTCCTGAAAGCGATCGCAGCGATATCAAACCTGTTTGTTGAATGTCTAACAGCTGCGCTGCTGCAGCTGTCAAAAGCTGTGCATACACTGAAATACTAAAATACAGCTGCAGAGGTAGTATAATATATAAAATAAAATTTTCCAAAAAGGTCCTTTGTCTAAAGTGCATGTCATAAGTTTGTATAAACCAGATCAACTTTCAAAAGACATATTGTGAATAAAACACTACTTAAAGAAAACATGACATGTTTCTTATTCCAATAAATAAGGTCTAAAATGGCATCCATTCTATTGCACCAAAGGACTCTCTAGTGGAGCACACACTTCATTTTGAAAAACACTGCCTTAATGAGAGTGTGGATACATTACAAAGCTCTCTCTAATGTTTGTCTTTCACAAGCGTTTTCTCAGCTTGGGCAGATTCGGTGAGGCTTGTGTTTAGACTAGGTTTTGTGGTTGTCACGCTCAGAGGGACTATGCGGTCTTACCTGTCTGGTCTGTCTCTAAGTTTTCCTCCATAGAGTTTTCCCATTCCAGTGCCGCCGGGTCCCACTGGCCCAGGACTGGCCCCTTTTCCTCTTCACTCAATGGGAGGTCCAGATCACCCCCCTCGGAGAGCTGCACTCACGCACATAAACACACACATACACAAGGCTATTGTCAGCAGAAGAACCTCAGCCTGTCCCGAAGGAAGATTGGTGAGATTAGGTTTACGGCCACATAACCACATAACATTATACCAGTGGCTGCATTTTTCCACATTTACGCATCTTTTTCAACCATTTCTCCATTACGCAAAGGACTGGAATGTGTAGTGGAAATCATTGTGATCCAACTCCTGCCACAAAGCGGGGATAGGAGAGGAAGATTCGATCTTATTTAAAAGGCAGTAGCCTTAGGGAGTAGTTAAGTGAACTCTCGCAGAATTATGGCTCCTCTGAATGTTCAGATGAGATATTGTTATGGTTGTTACGGTCATCTGCCTGATGATGAAGATGCTGAAGATAAACATGTAGGAACACCTTCAATGGGCATAGTCTTAATCAGTTTTTAAATAAACAATATGTGAATGTTGTTGGGGTAACTTTTAGACCAAGGCTTGGAGCAAACAAAATAAATCCATATGAAGATGAGAAGCAAATTTCAATTAATAAATCCAGAGCATACATCATACAAGATAATAATAGGATTTGTCTTCAATTAACGTGAATGTGCTACAGGATGAGAATATCTAACTTGTAAAACACATCCTGCTAGTTAAGCATAGCAGCACCGAAGAGTTAAAGCTGCATGACTGTATGTTTATGGTCATATGCTTTGGTCAGTGCGGTTTATGACAACATTCAAGATTCCTTCAGAGCACTGAACAGAGACTGCCCTTTTCAGATAGCTATAATGTTTGAGCATAACCGAACCATGCCACATCACAGTCTGTATGCACCAAAGACCAGAACAAAAGTTAGAAAATCACCTCCACATGGACATTGTTTTAAATTTGAGCATGTGGTATTATGTTTTCATATAAGCATACCAGTGGCAAGCACAAACAACTCACCCACTGTTGATTGGGTAAGGCCACAGAAGTTAGCATGTCCGCGATGGCTCCCAACATCTGGTCAGTGCGCCCGAGATTCTTCTGTAGAGCGTTCATTCTTTTTGAAGTCTCCAGTTGACCATTCCCACCTTTCACGACCCGGACCACTCAGCACAGTGCCACTGTTGGGAGCAGAGTCACTCTGATCTGGCTGCATCCACAGGAAATATCATGAATAATTGATCCGCCAAGAAGAGGGCATGTCTTGCACTGGACACAGAAACTTCTTTAGTTCAGAGTCACAAGATTCAGCCTTCTTCCACTATTATAGGAAAAACAGATGACGCAACAGTAGGTGGTCTGAAGCAGTACATGTCCACTTAGTGCTGTCAATAAGGAAAGAATAACCCCAGTTACTTGGAAAAGAACAGCCAAATAGAAGCAATAGCACCGCACTTAAAAAACGGCGTTCTCTTTTTCTATTGGCTACACCACATCAACACTCCACCCTAAACTCTCTCCTCCCTCCATCACTTGTCTAGTCCCAACAGTCTCTACCTGCATTTGTCCTACCTGGATTAAAGTCTAGTATTTTCTTCGTGGCTCCAGGGCTCCTCTCTCAGATCATGCCCCAGTCTGAGGCTGTGACACATGGATTGTGTGAACTCTTAAGCAGCGGGGCAGCCCCAAATAAGGTATGAACACACAACCCCTGAAGTGAAGCTACGAGACGGTCACACGCATCCTGACTGTAACTAAAGAAGTGCTCAGCTCTGCTTGCACCACATACATCAAGATATGTACAAACTGACAAGGAGGAGTTAGGAGCAGGATGACCGGTCACTGAAGAGGTATTTACGCACTCCTGTTAATCTGATTGGTCAAGCTGTAGTTGTATTCAATAAATAATACTAATGAAGAAAAAACATGGGAACAATTTTTAAATCTGTTTGATGGTAAAAAAAAAAAAAACCTGCCACAATTGGATAATGTGTGTATGTACAAATGAATAAAAAGAATGCTAAAAAGTTGTGCTTAGTGTTCTGACATGTTCCAAGCAAAATATAACTTCACAAATTGACTTTAGTAGTTTTCAGCTACACATAAAAACACCAAATAGTAACTTTCTCATAATTTACTCATAATACACTCATTCCCCAAAATAATTCCAAACTCCTCCCTGCTTTAAACAAAGCAACTTGACTTCCTTCCTGCTTCCTTGCATCCACCTAATTGTTGGGGGCTTTCAGAGGTCTATAGAAAACCATGTTTCCATGATTCTAGAATAGTGAAACAAAGCAGTTAATTGAGTTAATTTCAGTGTATCCATAAAGAAACTGCTCATAGTCTAATATTAGCAGTCTTCAGCATCACCCTCTAAAGCTGGCTAAACTTAGATCTTTGCTTCAGCTCTTCTGCTCTGCCACTGACCTCTGGTGGAAAGTAGGGAATATGGGATCTAGATTTGCTTGAAAGCAAACAGAGAGGGGAAATTGTAACATACAGAATATTTCATATAAAAAAAATTACCGGTGGGTTTTTCAGCTATCATGTCCCATACCCGGAAAATGTATGGATATATGGTATCTATTTGTAATTCACATGTGGGGTTTGCTGCCCCCCTATGGCTAATAGTAAAATACCCTGTAAGTGTAACTAAAAGTCAAGAAAAAGAAGATTTGCAACGCCCTGTGAACTAAACACACTTCCTTCCTGACCTTTAGAGACTTCATTTGTTTCTCTGACGCTTTGACTCAGAATCAATCGATCAAATACTCATAGTCTGTATGATGAGGCAACTCATTTCACATTTCATTTCATACAAAGTTGTATATACTTCAGTTTTTACCCAAAATTGTTAATTCTGTGCGGATCTAATACTATATCCCTTTTGAAGACTGGAATGCCGTTTTTACAGTGCACCCACTCAGAGTGAGGTCAACTTATCTGCACATGCTCATTTCAAATTTGTCATGGCAACCGGCTGTGACAGGGTTTCCATGGATTTTCCCAGGAGCTCCCTTCGAAAGTTTGAAAGTTTGCATCCGCCATCTTGTTACTTTGCTGGCGGTTCAGATAATATGCCATTTTTATTTTATTTTTTAACTTTCCGACTCCTGTTGAGGCCTTACAAATAATGCAATATTGCCAAAGATGACGGTAAACAGTTAAATGCCTAAGTATTAATAAATAAACTGGTTAACAGGGCAGCACACGGGCTGAGTGGATAGCACTCTCTCAGCAAGAAGGTCCTGAGGTCGAATCCCGGTTGGAACAGGGCCTTTCTGAGTGGAATTTGCATGTTCTCCCTGTGTCTGCATAGGTTTCCTCCGGGTGCTCCAGCTTCCCCTACCCAAGTGACCTTGGTCTGTAAAATGCGCTATATAAATACACATCAGGATGATATAATGTGGGGAGTCATTTAAACTCAAAATAGTTATTACAGGGGACGGTAATCTGAATTTAAAATAGTAAGTTATTACAGGGGACGGTAATCTGAATTTAAAATAGTACGTTTTTACAGACTTGAAAGTTCCAGTAACTTGAATTTAAAAAACTAAAAAACGTATTCATTGTAGTTCTTCAAAACGTAAAAAATTAAGTTGATGCCTTCAACTCAAAAATTCTGTGCAGTCAGTTGCCTTGAAATTTTTCTTTTTTACAGTGGCAGGATTTCAGAAACAAGGCGATCCTTGCAGGTTTATTGGCTTCTAAAGAAGAAAAAGACAAGGGTCAATGAAAGAGGAGACATACAGGCATACATGGTCTCGCATGTCACATCACACATGATTCACAGAAGCGCCATGATTCATAGCGCTTTAGATTTTTCTGACACCCCAGACGGTCTGACAGAACTGGTAATGAACAAGACTCAAGTGACTGTAAGAGCAGCGAGGTTGGCTTCTTTGACTTAATCCTTAAATCTGCCGTAATCAGGGATGAGAGAGCACATGTATGTTGCCTGAGTTAGGATAGTGGAGTCTATGTTGGGCTGTGACGGATTTTCAGCCCAAGAAGCCACCTCACTGGTTAGTGGACAAAATGGAGGGAGGGGAAAGACCTGAGTCAGTTTGGGAAACATGAAGTCTAATTAAAGTCTGCAAGAGCGGTGGAAGTTACATCAGGATGGTTTAACTTCAAGATCCAAAACAGATGACACCAGTAAACCCCTGCTGCTGCAACAATGGTAAGACTTTAAATTACTATTTCTTTCAGGTTATTTACAGAGGTTTAGCTATAGGAGAAGATAAAGTTTCCTTCACAGCGGAGGGTTTGTGAAGTATCTGCTAGTAATCAAGACAATAAAGTTCTTCAGGGAGATAAATCCACTTGAAAAGAGGATTCTAAGATTATCAGATCCCTAGCTCAATTATGAGATTCTATCATAATTGAGATTGATTTAGAGGTATAATACAGTGCACAATAACCTGTAATATTCTGAGGACTCATTATATACATACAAAGGTAAGATATTATCTATAAATGAGCTTATTATTTTAGCCTTGCATTTATCTTAGTAGCTGCAGTGACATGTTGTGGTCTCCCACTGCCGCTGCCACTATATGGCCTTTTCAGCGCTGTGTTGCATTAGTTCATGGTTTCTTTTTATTATTGATTCATCCAAATTATACCTTCCTCCTGTCGTATATAATAGGCATAACAACACTGTTCCAGAAGCTGGTTGTAAAGGCAGATTACCTGACTTAGTTACGGATCAGCTCCATTGAGGGGGGCTGAGGTCATCCTCTTTAAACGCTGTTATTACCACAAAGGCTTTTTCAGGCTACTCCCACTATACATTACTGTGTACAAATATTATTGAGTAACTGCGAAGGGCACCAACAATTTTCACAGTACTAAAATCCTTTTCAAATAATAGTATTTGTCTAAATATGTTAATGGTAAAAAGTCAAATGTGAAATATTGTTGGGTTACAGGTTTAATCAGATGATTTTAGATAGCAAATGTGAATTTTTATATTTAAGTAACTTAAATAACTGTTATTATGCAAGTTATATGATTGCATTCTCCAGGACTACAGAGAGCATGGTGCTAAATCTGGTGCAGCCATCTTTTTAATGTAACTGCACATTGTTCCTATTAAATTAAACTTGAAACTTGAAATGATTAAATGTGAGGATAGTGATATGTAATATTGTCTGGTCAGATGTAGGTGAATCTCCTAACCCTGGCTGGGACTACCATCTTAAAGGACCATGGCCTGTGCACACCATGACCCTCACCTGGGTGAGGGTCCGTCAGAAGACACAGACATCCTTGTGGACGATTCAGACTCAGGAAGTGTGCTTTCTGATGACTCTGTGCTTCCAAACTATGACCGGGTTGAGACACACACAGAGCCCCCTAAATGTCTATATGAAGCATGTAGGAGAAACGACGCTCCAGGCCTGCGCGCAATCATGGAGAGAGGAGTGACCCGGGAGGAGGTCATGGAGCTGGACATAAATGGGAGGGTAAGTGCCTGTGGCTAATATGGCAGATAAAACTGTGATGTTGCTGAGTGCTCTGAAATCACATTTTGTGCTTCAGAACGGACTGATGTTGGCAGTCAGCAAGGGCTTTGTAGACATTGTCACCTTACTACATGTGTGCCCGTATGTTGACATCAACCACCAGGACAATGATGGTAACACTGCCCTGATGATCTCTGCTCAAGCTGGTATGTGTCCACAGCCTTAGAACGTATCTTCAAAATGACATTGGACTAATGAAACATATTCACTTTTTAAACCAGGGTTCATCACAATTTTAAACTACATCCTCAATTACTATTCTGATGTGGACACTGAGGTCCGGGATCCGCGAGGGTTTACGGCACTCATTAAAGCCGGTCTACAGGGACGAGAGGAGTGCGTGTCGGCTTTGCTCATGCACGGTATGCTCACAATAGTATAGATATAAGCGATTTCTCACCATGGGAAATATAACTAATATTCTTTTGATTGAAATTTCTCATGTTGTGTCCACACAGGTGCAGATATGCATGCAATGGACCTGGTTCAGGGCAAAGGGCTGAAAGACTGGGTTCTGAAAACGGGCAGGTTTGAGACATTTATCAGACTGCGGAGACTGCAAACTCGTCCAGCGGCTGAACAGTTTTGTGAGAGCTACGTCCCAGAGTGGCCTGAACTCAAACATCTAATCACTAAAGCCACTGCTCCCAAAACTGCCACTCAGAAACTGAGGCAGCGAATCAGAGACAGCCTTTCATTTAACTTTCCTCAAGACCCACAGGATAATGGAGTAATGGACCAAATGGTACGGATCACGACGAGCATTCACAGTCCATTGGTGACGCTTGGCTGCCGGCCACTCTGCCCCACCAGCCCGCCTGAAATGGGTAAGAGGCGCTTGGCTGTACCTGAACTCATGGCCAAATACAGCGGGAAGGAGCTGGAGGAGAGCGTAGTGTCCCACAGCAGCGGCTCTGTGCTCTCGACCTCCCCCTCACTGGTGTCTGCCACATCCGTGTCACTCACCTCCTGCTGCTCCGAAAGGAAGGAGAGCATTGCAGGGGGGCGCAGCTTCATCCCACGCAGCATGGTACACAGAAACAGCATCTTCCCCTCCGGATGTATCCCAAAGATCGAGGTGACCAAAACAGGAGAGCCCACGCCAAAGAAGAAGAAGAAAAAGAAAAATCATAAGGGCTACCTGGAGCCACCTGTGTGGAAGTACAAAGAAGCAAAAGAGGAGAGGAAGAGGGAGAAAAGGGAGAAGGAGGAGAAGGAAAAGAAAGACAAAAAAGACAAGAGTAAGAAGTCAGGTAAAAATTCCAGTAAAAAGTAACATATTGTGTTTCCTTTATTTTAAGTTAAATATATGCCTGAACTTAAACATAAATTCATAAACGGTTAAAATGTATAACAGTCATATTACATGGGTCAATGATTGTCTTAGCATTGTACTATTGCTGAATGACAGTAGTAGCAGACATACCTCACATATTCTTCATAACTTAAGTCAACTCTGTGACTCGCTCCTCACTTTCCAGATGCTTGGAGTGTCTCTTCTGCTGGGTCAAAGCTGCTGACACTGCTGCTTGCTCTAAAGATGCTCTATGTAGCTAAGACCCAGGTAGATAACATATCTATGCAGAACAAATGGACTGTTTTACAGAACGATGCTCAGGAATGATCAGGAAGTAGTAAAAGAGGTGGAGAGACATTCACAATCTCTTTGTATTTTTGTCTGGAAGAAAAATAAAGTTATTTTTTAATCTCCGTGGTTTTACTTTTCACATAATGAACAACTTTTAATGTCAGATGCAGTCAGGTAGGTTCTCACGTCACAATAGTATCACTTTTAGCTCCTTAAGAAGCCCATAATTTGCTCACTGGTGTAATAACGTCGATTGGCTTTTGAGCCTTGGGAGTAATCTCTTAATCCAATATGTTGTAACTTTACATAACAATTACTTTCTTTAAAATAGAAGCTGTATATTTTTTCAAGGCTTAAAATTCAATATTGTAGCTTTGTTCCTTTTCAAAGAAGGAACTAGGCAAGTTAAGGTCAGCAAAAAGTATAAACTAGGGGATGTGCCAAGACAAAGCTAAAAATACTGCTGGAACTGTACTTTCAACAGTATTTTCACATGAACACAGAGGGAATTACTAACAGCACTTTGCTATTTGTTATATGAACTTGGAGAATACAGACAGAACCTCACTATAACTGCGAGTGAACAATGCCTATTTATGAGGAGTAATTGCAACATGTTTTAACCGCTCCCTCAAGGACGTAGGAGTATCACTGTCAATCACTCTCAATACTCTTAAGGAAAGTAAAATGCTGATAAATTTGTGTGGGGATAGGAGGGACAACACATTTCTCTTTTCACAACATGACAGATGATGTGAGAGCCTCCAGCTGTGTCTGCAGCCCTCCGCCAGCAATGCAGATTACAGAGCCTGAGAACAAGGAGGGGAATTTATATTAGAGACTGATGAAGACATGAATCTTGAGTGCTGCATTGAATCACAGTCAAACACAAACGCACACGCATCGCAATGGTATGTAAAAGATACTGCGCTTCATCATTCAAAACTAGTTTGCACAACACTTTATAAAGTCTATAATACGTTGTATTTTGAGTTATAAAATGAAGGGAGTTTAGTTTTAGTCAAAATATTTTCTTGTTTAATTAGTTTTAATATTTCAGGAGGGGTGCATGTGTTTTCTGCAGTCTTGCTGGTCGCACCTCAACTGGGCATCACTGAAGACATTGCCATTTCTTCAACTAAGTCCTCTGAGATGACTACTGCTGTGATTTAGGGCTATACAAGAATAAATATGTATGGTAAATTGTATTATAACTTACTCTTTGCTGGCTGGAAATACAAATGTCACTTTGTATAGAGGATCATCTCTCACCAGCTTGTCTCAATTCTTAGTTTTCCTGGAATGTTTTACCGTATTTCAAGGTATCATCTTTACTGTGAAGGCCCTTATTTAGAAAGAAAAAACATTACATATACAGATACAGATACGAAGATAGGCTCTATGTTGTATGATACAGTAACAAAGGACAGACAGAGATGAATAGCCTCAAAAGTATTAGCCTGATAATAAAATTGGTTAAATGCATGGGCAGTGTATGGCACAATAATGTAAGACAGGAACTATAATCCAGCAATAAAACACAGAACTGTTATTGTTTGTGAGCTCTTTGAAGCGCATTCCTGTGTGAGCAGCTCAGACTGGAGTCCACGGGGGAAGAGGAAAATGAGAGGTTTCGCGCAAGCAACAGGAAAACCGCTAAGAACACATTCCAGGCAGAGCAGCAGCCCCTGAGAGGGACAATAAGGGGTGGGACAAGCAACCACTGTACGCAGTCTACAAAATCTGCAATCTCCTCCAGAGATCGGAAACAGCCACTGCGACCAAAGTGCGCAGACTTTGATGGAAACACATCTTTACGCGCGTCGCTTCTTCACCGGAGCCGTCGAGCGGAGAGGACACTGCGATTGGCTCAAAAACCGTGAGCCTTGTCGCGGTTTTATCTTAGATTTGAGATGAGATAGTCAGCAGCTGTACATGCAAATCAGGGCTATTGTACCAACGCTGCAGCCGCTGGTAGCAACACACGCAGGATAAGTCTGACGTTTGGGTTATGAATTTCAGCCAAACGCGGGGGACAGAGTTACCACAAAACTCGCTTGTTCGTTGAGGATGTGAGGAAACATCTGCAGCGGGGACTGTGTTTGAGTCAACAAACAGCGTCTTCTTTGGAAGTTTGAGAGTTTCATATTGTGATCGGTAACTTGTCTTGAGTCCGAAGTTGGAGCCATGGTGGGAAACATGCGGCGTTCGTGTGCATCAAGTTAAACAAATCAGAAAACAGGTATGTAAATAACTTTTATTTCAGTCTAAGTATTTATACAACCTGGATAACATAAAACAGAGAGGGGTTAATTAAAAATGATAATATCCATAGTACCTATTTGTTAATTATAGGTTAATTACGAGAGGTGCCACTGCCAGGTGTGAACAAGCAGGTGTATGTGAAATCCAAAGTACTTGAATCTACCACAGATTCAGGTAAAAGTAAAATCATCATCAATCATAATCATTTATTATTATTATTATTATCAATATTTATTTTGTTTAAGAAGAATAATTCATTTTACACTGGCTATGATTGAGCCTTGATTGTGAGATAGTGAGACCTTAGTGAGACATATGAGCTGTCCTCTTCCCTCTCATTCTCTTCATTGTGATGCTGCATGTGAGAGCATGCAGTCTGCCAAGCCTTGCATTGTCTCCGAACCCGTAATAAAACTGATCCCAAGCAGACTGTTGTCATAATCATGGATCACATTTACTCAGATTATTTACTCCCAACAAATCTGGAATGTTGATACATCCATCCATAAGTCTATCTATCCATACAATCTCTCTCACTCTCTCTCTCACACACACAGACATGCACACACACACTTACATACAAACATACATACAGGGCTAAAATGATTAATCCAGTTGATACAATTATTTGATTCCAAAAAAGATATTATTCAGCTAATTTCTATAATTACTCAAAACATCATGCTTCACACAGAGATGTTTCTGTGTGGCGCTGGACCATACTGCGATTTATTGTTGTTATTGTTTGTTATTTCACACATTAACTCCTTATTTCTTTTGAATATGAGTGATACTTTTTCCTATAATAAATGTACTATGTATAAATAAATGTTTGTGGGAAAAACACACTGTACATATACTTACATATACATTCATGATTCACTTGGAGGATGAGTGATTTTGGCTATAGCTGGAGGGGCTAAGCTTTCAGTGTTTTTGCTTCATTATCTGCAACATAAGCTGTACAGTCATGCAGATGGTATGAGAGATCTGCTTCCCTGTGTAGATGAGAGGAAGAGATGATAAAGGACTTCTCCCTGTGGGTCCCACGGGTGCAGCTCTGGGCAAACTGTAGACAAACATGAAGAGGAAGTGTGCTGGAGCCTAAAATCAGCCTGATTGAAAACATGATTATACCACATGAACTTTCAAAGATGACAGCAACCCATTACTATTCATTTGAGAGTTTAAGCTGTATTTCCCAGAATACAATGTCTTACCTATTCAATTACCATAATAATTCACAGAGGGATAAATATATGTATTTTTAACTAACATTGGAGTAACTTTTTTGGAGGCAGGGTGCTTATGATAAAGTGTATATTGGAAAGAACACATCGTTGTTTGGTAAAAATGTCTTGTGGTTTTAAAGTTTCATTTTGCTTCTCAGTGTAGTTAACACACGCGCACACAGAGGAAATCCAAGTATAGACTGTGTCGTTGTTTCATACGCAGTTAGTGCAGAAACATCACACATTGATTTTGAACTTTGATAAAGTTACATACTGAGTAAACACAACTTACACTGCATGTAGAATTATTGATGTAAAGCAATGATTGTTCTACATATTGGTGTTGTTGTAGAGTAAAAAGTGATTAAGGATAATTTATACTAGAAGAGATTTACTTTATTTAATTATTATACTTTCTTTTTATGTGGATATTTTACTGTATTTCACTAATTTTACTTCATTTATAAGATAGTTTGAAATTAAATTGAATAATAATCTATGTAGCTCTATGTTCCTGCCAATCAGAGCAGACGATTTAATAATTGGATGTTACTGCCCCATCTCAAAATGTGCAACCATGTATGAAAAGTCCACTCAATGATAGTAAGGTGAATATTTGTAATGAAGTACTCCCACTCTCCGCTAGAATTGTTAAAAAACATTTTATATAAGAATTTTTTTCAGCATATTGATTTGCAATACTAAAAGAAAGTAGGAAAAGGCAAGGGCAAACACTTATTGAATTAAACTGTACATTTTAAGTCAAACATTGTGAAAGGCGGAGGAAAAGAAGGAGACGGAGGATCTCGATTGGAATTCACAAGTCATAAATAAATTGAGAAAAGTTTAGACTGTGATTTTTGGCACCACCCTATTTTTTAACCCTTTAGGCTCCAGATGAGAAATGAGAGGTGAAGCCTTTAAAACTTTATTAGAAATAAGTAGAAAAATATGTAAGACAAATGTTAGGAAACATTTGTGGGAAGCCAGGTCACTGGATAGAGAGTGTCCTGGATTAGGGTACATGGCTCGTACAAGTGTGTGTCATCTCGAGTAGCCCTCTCCATGCAACCCTAAGCATGAGTGAAGCTGGGTCCTGCTGTCGGTGGGTGGGGCTACTCAATGGCAGGAAGTTCAACCATCAATATTTACTTTGAGGCGGGCAGTGGAGCAGGCGACAGGCCCAGAGAGCTGGGACACAAACGCTGTCTCCTTCCCCTGAACCTCTTTTGAGCACCATTATAGCCACTGTTGTTTTTGACCTCATGGTTTCCTGCTAAAAAATCCCAGACTCCAACCACTTGAAAACATCAACACTGATATGTTTTTTTATAACATTTCATGTTTTGCCACAGAAATGGGTCACTCTGCTCTGGTCCCAGTGGCAATAACTGCAGTTTTTCTGTGGATTGCAGCTATTGAAGCAGGTAAGCGTATATGTTGTACAAATGTATTTTCATTCATTCATTTTTTCATTCTTTTGGGGTCTACTCACATCTCGTACAAGAATTGTGGGATTTTTACTGATATACAAACTCACATTTTGCTTTGTCACTTTTATATTTTTTTTCTTGAGTGATTCTATTCCTGCCAAATGTGACATGTACATTTCTCCTGTGTGAGATCAATAAAGTGTATCTTATCTTATCTTATCTTATTTAACCATTCTGTTGGGATGATGTTTAGGTGCCATGGACGATGAGAAGCTCCTGTGTACGTGTGAGAATACGAAGGGTACTTGTGCGAACGGGACGTGCAGGGGAGATTACTGCTTCTACAATTGGGTGCACGGTCAGGAGGAGCGAGGCTGCTTCTCTGCTCACAACTACAGGGAACAGTGCTATACTAGATTCGAACGCTTTTATGTCTCCTGCTGCAAAGTCAATATGTGTAATACCGACATTACACCACCCCCCAGTATTGGTTAGTACTTCTGACTTTGACTCCCTTCAATTATAGAATTTTATTTACAGTATATTAGCAGAGTTTCTGGTAACTAAAAGTCTGTTTATAATCAGATGGAGTGGTGACCACCAGTCCTCCAGTGCCTGCTCGCCCAGAGCTGTGGATTGCAATATCTCTTCTTCTCCTGATTGTGGCAGTTTGTGTGATCTGTGTGGTTTTGTTCCTCCGTTTCCGCCGGACTCACTGTAAACTGAAAAACTCTGATGACCATGATGTTACTATGCTGAAAGTACCCCAAGGAGAAGACCCAACATACGGGGTAGGCTTGGACTGTACACTTACCTATAACTACCATGAGCTCATGGCATAACTTCGATGGGCTTGTCATCTTTATCTTTTAGGACATCTTTGATGAGTTCTGTACATCAGGGAGTGGCACAGGATTGCCATATCTTGTCCAAAGAACAATGGCAAGACAGATTTCTCTTGTAGAATGTGTTGGTGAGTGATAAATGAATGCAATTAAAGAATACTTGTATTACCTAACTATTACAATGCATACTGTGCATCAGGTAAGGGCAGATATGGAGAGGTGTGGAGGGGAACATGGATGGGAGAGAGTGTAGCCGTGAAGATCTTTTCATCTCGAGATGAACAGTCCTGGTTCCGAGAGACTGAGATCTATAACACCGTGCAGCTGCGACACGACAATATACTGGGTATATAGTACAGATATAAATACTGTATATATACTGTATATTCCGATTTGATTATGATTGAAACCCTTTTTTGCACTATTGTAATGCATTCTTCTCAATCTTAGGGTTTATAGCGTCTGACATGACATCCAAGAATTCAAGCACACAATTATGGCTCGTCACACATTTCCATGAGCTGGGCTCATTGTACGACTTTCTTCAGTACAGCAGTCTAGAGCCAGAGAGCTGCCTGAAGATGTGCTTGTCTGTGGCTTGTGGCCTGGTCCATCTCCACACTGAGATTGTCAGCTCTCAGGAAAAGCCAGCCATTGCACACAGAGACCTAAAGAGCCGGAACATTCTGGTCAAGCGGAATGGGCAGTGTTGCATTGCTGATCTTGGTAAGATAGATATTATACTAAACATACATTGTTTACGTAACACAGAAAGTAAATCTTAGATGTGTACTTGATCATTGCACAGGTTTAGCAGTTATACACTCCCAGTCAAGTGATTACCTGGATGTGGGCAACAACCCGCGTGTGGGTACTAAGCGTTACATGGCTCCTGAGGTGTTGGATGAGACGATTCGAATGGACATCTTTGAGTCCTACAAACAGACTGACATCTGGGCCCTGGGTCTGGTTTTTTGGGAACTCAGTCGCAGGACCATTGTTAATGGTATGTACTGGGTAATGTAATATTTTTTTCAATTATAAAAATATGAACTGCGTAAATTTCTTGCCAAGGCAAATAAAAGACAGGATGCAGTTAGGCGCATGTGTCTCAGCACACCACATCGGTCTCTGCTATCCTCTCATGATTAGCACTGCAGTAATTATAAACAGTCTTATCTCGTGTCAGCACTCCATCGTGTACAGTCCAGAAACTCTTGCACACACTTTACTAAGAAACATACACAGATATTCATCACACTCGCACACACGGCTAAACAGGCCTCACAGACTTCTGTCTGAGACCAATCATTTGGGATTTGTTATCGGTTGCTTCTTATTTAGTCATACTAGAAGCCCCCTCACCAACGTGGTATTTCAGTCTTTATGGTGATAAATGTTCAAAATAGTCTAGCTTTGCCTTTTCTCTGTTTTTCAGGAATTGTGGAAGAGTATCGACCTCCTTTCTTTGATTTGGTGCCATCAGATCCCAGTTTTGAAGAGATGAAGAAAGTGGTGTGCGTGGACCAACAAAGACCTAGTTTGCACAACAGACTGCACTCTCATCCTGTAAGGCTCTGGAACAAAACATTAAACGTGATGGTAGTCTGTATATTCTGACATGTCTGTTCTTGTTTAGATCTTGGCTGCGATTGTGAAAATCATGAAGGAGTCCTGGTTCCAGAGTCCATCAGCCCGCCTCACAGCCCTAAGGATCAGAAAGACCCTCTCCAAACTAGACCATAACAGTGACTACAACATTGAAAAACTCAAAGAAGAGGTCTGAGCCAAAGCCTTAGAAAACGTTGAAAGGGTATTTAATTATTGCACACGACTAGAGGCATTTCATTAGCATATTTTGTGTTAAACTTTACTAATGTAGTAGCCACATTATATTAAACCCACATGTCTTTAGGCCAAGAGAAAAACGTCTAGACTGCTGACACCAAAGGCTATATTCTAATATGGTTATTTAAACATTCAAAAACCAATGATTGGGTTTTCTTTTTGCAAATATGTCAAAAGGTTTCTTCAGCAGCTTATAGGTTTTGATATCTTATCGATGCGATTCTTAAGCCACCAAAGTATTTTTGCTTTTTTTTTTAGCACCACCTAATGTTTGTTCAGTTTGTATGATAATAGAAATGATGGTTAGTAAGGCACACGTTATGTTGTATCTGTTCAACTGTAAGTATTTACAACATGATTGTAAATAGTATGTCTAATGTTGTAATCGGTAAGGATCACATTTTAAAGGCTATCATCACTTTGGTACAGTAAAATTGTTTTTGTACTCTGAAAAAAGAAAATTACCACTTTTACTGAATACAATAAAATAAATAAAATAAAAACACGGAAAACAATAAAAGATTAACTTAAACAAAACATCCTGTGACTCTATTATTAACCAGAAGAGGGCGATATACATCAACAATAACAGTCGAATGGAAACAAGAAGACATGGCAAATGTTCTCTTCTCACTGCTTTAAAACAAAAAGGAAATCATTGCCAGAGCAGAACTTGCTTACCAGTTTCAGAAATATGGTTCTATATATTAGCTGCATGGATCTGAAATACTGAAATAGTATTTTTAGTCCTGGTTCTGGGCTCCAGCAGAAGGCCAGTCCCTGACACCAACAGGTCAGAGATAACACACTTGTAATGAGTAGGGCAAATTAAAGATGTGTAGAGAAAATTACTCCAGTAAAATAACATGATTAAAGCTGGGGTATCTGACAAAGCTCAACAAATAAAATCACTCTAACTAGTTCCTTGATCTCGAAACAGTCCTGTATGTATGTTTCCTCTATGACATCATTAGAAAGTAGCCAATCAGCTTTTAGCCCAGAGCGTTAAATAGTGACAGAGCTCCGTGTGCAACATTTGTTTTGAAATCATTTCAAGACAGAATGTTGTGGTATGATTTCACAAAATGTAACTTTTCACAAGCCTTTATCTATTGGGACAAACAATATTCATTCTGTATATAAAAAGATAAGATAAGTTACGTCCCCAGGTTTAAAATGCAGGAGGGTCTGTTGGACAGTTAGTGTCCAACCAAAAGTACTGTGGTGATGATCCAGGACACTTTAAACATTCTGCACCATGTATGAACATTTATCAACATGTGTTCTATATTCTTTTTGTGTTTTAACTGTTGATTCTCTGATCTGTGTTGGTGATTTCAATGGTTTGGTTAAGTCATCTGAGATGACTACTGTGATTTAGGGCTATACAAGAATAACATGTATTCTATTGTATTGTAAAATGAATGTGAACATAAAAGTAGTCTATTTAACTATTTACAGATGTGTGAATATTCAGGATAATCTGGATGGTCAGGAAGGGACTGAATCGGTTTCTTTAGTTTTAATCAAAACAGTGGACTCTTTTGGAACAGAGGCTGCCCTAACATGTCACAATCATTTAAGAACAAGCTTTTCTGTCAAAAAAGTAGTAGACTGAAAGTGCAGCTACCTGCTCTCTTGCGTGGTGAAGTAAGAAATATTACACTAAAATTAATGTGAAAAGCAGAGAAAACTTGGGTACTGTATGTATAGTTTTATTCTTTGTCACTTTCCACTTGTAATGGAGTATTTTTTAATTTTCATCATCATGAGAACAAATATATTGTAATAATAATAATGAATAATGTCATTATTCATTCTTTTCATACATGGTGGTGATAAACTACCAATGTAGCCATCGCCCCCTCCAACCACCACCAACCATGCGCACACACAGGCCTTTTTAAGTGTCTTGTCTATGGACACATACATATACAATTTTAGAGAAGAACAAAAATTAACTTAAATGATGTGGTGCAGTTTCTTTCAAAGCTTCTAAAATCAGAATAATACAAAATATTACTGTATTGATATGGCATAATATCCAATAAGATATACATATTTAAAATATACACCAAGTATATCTTGTAAAGATGGAAGACGATGGGGGTGGTCCTTGGGGTATTTGGTGCCTGATAAGAGTTCCCTCCTGCCTCCTGGTCTCCTCCTGGTGTAAACATTTGTCCTGGAATTGACCTGGGACTTCTCTGCTAAATGTCCCCAGCTGCCTGATTTCACCCGTTGTCACTCTATTCTTTGATACGCAGTGCTCCTCTGTGCTGGTGACTTCCTCCACTATCTCCACATGTGTTTCGCCTGCACAAGTGTTGTCTGTCTGGATGTCGAACACAGTCCACAGAGATAACCTTCGGTCTGGTTATTTTTAACTCTGCAGGGGGTTGTCCAGTACCACATCCCCTCTGCTTTTTCTCTCTGTGGGATTATTTCATGACCCAAAACAGGCCTCTCCCTGTGCAGGACAAAGGCTGCTGAAATGTGGAGATAAATTGGGCCTGTAATGGATGGATATATCTGTGCAGAGGAGACGGCTCTGGGCATGAAGACACATTGGTCTCTGAGAAAAGAGGGCAAACTTTGATAAAATGCATCACGGTCAAAGTTTCTTATGTTTCTTGTTAATATGGCAGCCGCTCATTTTCCTGGAATTTTTACAATTGGGCCATTAGTCTGAGTCACACTCCTTAATGTCTTCTGATAAGACATGTGTTACTCCCATTACCATTATTGATAGTGACAAATGGATTTTTCCCCACAATTTTTTCCATAGATTGTAGACAACAGGACAATCACTCCCACGTCGCTCATAGGCATGCAGGCTGCTGCCCCGTTTCACCATAAATATGTACGTATGTATTTTGATGGCACAGTGATGCAGTGGTTAGCTACCTCAGAGATGGCCTTTCTGTGTGGAGTTTCCCTGTATCTACGGAGGTTTCCTCTGGGTAATACGGTTACATGTATGGTCAATACAAAGGATGATACAGCTCACAGGTAGAAAAAATCTACCAGAAAATATTTCAAACACGTGGGTTAAATTTAAGTAACCCTTTTGTTAAAATACCTTCATAAAGCAAACACTGCATTGATAAAAAAAAATATATATATATTCACAGATCAAAGATGAGTTTCAAACACTTATAATTTCGGCCCCTGCAACTTTGTTTAAATCCGGGCCCCAACCAAAATGAGTGTGACACCCCTGATATGGTGTTTGGGGATTGGATCAATATAACTAGAATTATTGCCACATTTGGGGTTTTAATAATTCCCCTTTCAAGGCTGAGTCCAATTTGATTCAGGGCCGTGAAATGAAGCAAAAATCTAAATTTGGAGCCCATGTAAAACATTTATTCACTTAATTGTTCATTTGTAAGTTTGGAATTCAAACAGATCCAGGTTCATAGAATGTTTGAGAGACTTTAATTATTAGGGTTACAGCTTTATTTTCAAATTTCCAAGTGTTTTATGGTAATATACAATCAACTGACTGACAAAAATAAAAATGACTAAAATACAATAAATGTGCAGTCTCCATTCAAAAGGTTGAAATTTATGTAATTGTGAGCCGTCGTCTTTAGATGTTTAGTTGATGAATCAGAATCAGAATCATTTTTATTGCCACGTAAGTAACAGGAGGTCACAGACTAGGAAATTGCTTTGGCTCAGTGCAACAGTCAAAAAGAGATAATAAAAATAAGAATAAAAAACACTTCTAAAGAATAAATTTAAATTTAAAATAGAGTTACAGTTACTATTTACAATATACAAGTGCACATGGTGCACACAATGTAAGGTGACAGCAGTACAGTGAAGTAAAGTGACGTATGATGGGCAGTAAAGTGACTTTATAAAGGGCGGGGGGACAGGTTAAGAAGTGTTCAAGAGTCCAACAGCAGAGGGGAAGAAACTGTTCTTGTGTCGATGGTTCTACCAAATATTATTGACAAGATTTTCATTTTTGGAAAAAAGGTAACTTCATAAGCCATGGATAAGATTTACTTTAAAATTCAAGTTAGAATCATGACAATATTTATTTCTATATGACTTTTTGAGGACTTTTGTATGTAAACTGTACTGTACTGTACAGTTTAGGTCAGACATATAGAAAACTTTTGCCTCTTTATAATCGACTAATCCATTGACAGGGCGTGGATTAAGTTGAAATTCCTCCAGCCCTACTCCCTCACACCAAAGAACATCAGTGATATGTTGGTGACGTCAAATGACCCGGCTCGGACCGAGAAGCACAGGGACTGGCCTCCTGCTGAGACTCTATAAGAAATCATCCTGAAAATGTCAGAAAAGCTTCGAGAAATCCAGGTTAAAAACGTTATTTTTAGCTATGTATACACCTGGAAAAAAGAAAAAAAAGAAACATATATGAATGAATGCACTGTAATTATATATGTTTATAAAGGCCTGCTTGTTTTATGTATTGTTTTGTAAAGCACTTTGAGGTGCCATTTGTTTGAATTTGTGCGATACAAATAAACTCAAATAAAATCAAGAAATAATAATTATCTACTTTTATCCCACGAACCACCACATAACATGAATAATTGAAGCTGCTCCAGTTTAGACTACTTCACGGGGTAAACAGGTGAACTATTGCCTTGTTCTTCCTTCAGCTGTGATTTATGACGAAGAGGTTGAATAGAGTGGTCTATAAAGCCAGCCAGCCCTTGACCCACGCTGTCCCTCCCCCTGACCACACTCCCTTTAAATACCTCCCTCCCCCAGTGAGTGCGTGTGGAAGTGCTCGGTGCGTGCGCTCGGACTGTGCTCTCGGCTTTGACAACGTCTCACTTCGCTTTTCGTTGTGGAGAGATGGGAAATCAGAAGAAATGGCTTTGAGACGCTGCGTGCTCGCTCTAGTGGCCCTGCTAGGGTTCTCCGCCGTGGGTGAAGGTAGGTTTTTTAACACGTCGATCTCGCTCCGGCTTTTGTCTCCGCGCGTGAGCAGCGCCATGGCGCGCGGCGGAGGGATTTGGTGCTAGCAAAGTGGAGCTAGCGTCGACCTCACAACACTTCATCGGCTCAATTAAAGCTGTGTCGTTTCGTTGTTTTCATGGCGTGTTGGGAACATTTATGGTGTGTCTTACTGGGGAAACGACGCCTCTGCCCGTGTGCACTTGAGCGGTGTGAAGTAGCAACCACAACAACAACAACACAACATGGTGGTTGTTAGTGTCTGGTGCCAGCTATGTGTAAGCTAACAGGCAATAAACTCGTCAAAGTTCAATGTTCTGTAGAGATCTTTAGTTAATGTGCACAATTTTAAAGCGGCACTTGTTGTGGTGTGTTGCGCCAAAAGCAAGTGCGAGGTGCGCGCTGGTTTGTTGTGGTTGTAGTTATCTGTACGCGCTAATATATTTACTAAACACACGTCTCTGGCTGTGAGGCTTATCGCTGGGTGTCCCTGTAATGATAACAGGCTGCGATGTGGTTACAGTCTATTCACATGCTGTAGCCACACGTCTGCCTGCTGCCAACAGAGGACAGAGCCAGGGAAGGCTGTTGTATGGACGTGTTTGTTTTCGCTATGAAATGTTGGGATAAACAGGGGCAGCTCCTTCACTGCTCTCATTTGTGGACTGTGAAAAGGTTGCTCAGTGGCTTCCAGCTGAATGTGAATACTGGCACATGGTGAGAACGGCCTGCATTGAGCCGGCCAGACAGGAGTCAGAGTTGAAGTCTGGGTTCATTGTGATGGAAATGTGGCATGCGGGTCTTTTTAGCCCCTTCAGACTGTCTGCTGGAGCAGCTGACGGCCAGATCCACATTCAAATGGGCATCTGCTCCACTGAACTTGGCCCTTACATTTGCCTGCTCTAAATAAACTGCTATTGGATCATCGCTCCATAGTTCAAGAAAGGGAAACGTTGGTTTTTTTGGGCACACATTGTACTTATTGTACTTCCCATTTGGTGGCCAGTTGAGGTAGTTGGGTCATTAATCAGAATGTGTCTCTTCATCCCAACGTTGTGCGCACATACAGTGGAAATGGCTGTGTCTCAAATAAACTGCAACATGAATAAACCTTTTTAGCCTTTTGTGTATTTGAGCTGAAATAATATTTACAAGTGGAGGTTGTGGGCAGTGGTAACACCTGAGTATCCAGTTTGTTGGTTCCACTGCCAGTAGACTGTGAGGGGGGTGGGGCAGGGCAGACAGATTCCTGGGGTGCTTTAAGTTGACTGGGCTGCTAAGACAATTTACATTAATGCCTCCCAAATGCAAGTGAATGCACTAGAGATAATCACGCTCCATCTCCAATTTCCTCTCATTCTTTTGTTTTGTCAAAGCCTTTAGCTGCTCTTAAACTCTAGTAAACCAGACCAACCACTCCACACAAGCAGCTTTTCAGTCTGAATAATGACTTGTCTGTGAGTTTTGAGCGTCACGTGAGTATGACCTCATGAAAAACGTCCATAGTCACTGTTCTGATGCTATGTCTCTGTGGGACGTAGGCCGCACTCTGCTGCTCTCCTCTGTCACAGCAGCAGCAATTTAATCCGACACTGAGGCCCCAGCGCCGTGAGGTAGGGTGCGTCCGTGACATTGTCCCATCCTCTCCTTTCTCTGTGTCCTGCTTCAACAGTGCACCCATGTATATACCATGTTCAGTGTTCTGGTTCATGGATGGATTTTTTTTATTTTTTTAAATATATAATTTATGGTCGTCAATTGAGTAATAGAAGTTTAAAAAAGGATTCCGTTGTTGATTGAAGAAAATATTTTGAACATATGGATTGTGTCTTTATACTGTAATAAGTCTTAACATGGAAGACATTACTATACAGGCAAAACACGTCACAATCAATTCAAATAAACCTTTTTTGTTTCAAATGAGTTGTTAATGTTGTTTATCTGTATTCATTTAAATTCAGTCTTTCCAACGTAACCTATTGAAATGAAATATGATTTTATAAATGCAACAATCTAGTATTTACATGCAATTTTCTAATGTGAGATTTGTGATTGAGTGCCGGAGAAGACCACCCTGAATCATGTCACTGTCTTGATGCACAAGTTTTGGTGACAATCGGAAACTGTCTGCCTCTCGTGGCTTGTTTGTGCCTTGAGTTCCGTTTTTAATATTGAATCTGACATGAGGGAGTTCAACTGCAGGAAGTGGTGAGGCATGTGCGCACCTGCCCCTCAAATCAGAGCCAGGGAATGTACAGAGAAACTGTGAACCTTATTGGGTTCAAAGGTGTGTGTTTTAACTGAGGAAAAGGGATCGGGTGGGGGCTCCAGCTGGCTCGGGCTCAAAGGAGAAAGTACTGTCTTCAAAATGCACTTGTCGAGGCCTGTTTTCAATTCGGTAAACATATTAACTTGATACAACTGTCACTAAATGGTGTTTTGTTTGTGAAAGCCCAGAGTGAGCCGTGCTTGCAGCTGTATTAAGTGTTTGGAATGTATGTTCATGAATACAAAAAGATATTTGAGGAACACTGCAGTCTTTGTTTATGACTGGTACATTACGCAGTGGCCGTGCCTCCAGTGGAATCTTAGTTCTAAAATGTATGATTTGCTGCTGGTTTTGACACCACCTTTTACATGCTATGTCCTAGTATCATTTAAGTCTGCTTTTAAACTTTGCTCCAGTTGTTTGTGGTCACATTCCCAATTATGATCATGCACAATGTGACAAAGTCATCTGTATCTATGGTGTTTACAAACATGGTCAAACTGTTCAAGGGGCAGTCGGGGGTGGTCTGCTCTTCTGTTGTTAATGACCTTGGTTGCCCAGAGCAATGGGCCATAATTGTGAGTGCAGCAGACGGAGTACCCTCGACCTGACCCATCTCATTACTGACGTTTTAGACCACCGAACAGCCCCTTCCCTTCACCATGGTCTCCTAACTTAGAAAACATAATAGTCATGAAAATGTTTTACTATATACAAAATCAGTGCATTCGATCTCGTAATGTTTCATTCACAGTTGTAGAATAACAACCAACGTCCACCTAAGACCTGTGCTGTAAATTAAAGATTGTACAATCAAAGAGCAATAGGAGGGCTTACTTCCACAATCACACTAAAGTCTCTTCTTTTGACTGTGTATGACATTGCTTTGACAAACTGTAAAGTAGCCTGTTTGTGCATTAGTGGCAGGGAAAGCACAGCTCTGGTGGCGGAGGGTGCGTCTATAGAACAGAACCTGACACCCGGCTGCCATTATGAGTCTACGTTTGATTTGAGTTTGGGTGGCAGCTGCTGGAATGTTGATCCAACCTGCTCCTCACAAGTACGGCCCAGAGTTTACCGAGAGTTTTCTAATATTTATTGAACAATGATCTGCTTTCATAAAGTCTTGAGCATTGACATACACTTTATACAGTATGAAGCTAAATCGGGTTATTCCTGCTCGGCAAAGGCATTGTCCATAACTGATACTTGTTAATTTGGACTATCTGCCCAAGTGTTTCAGTGTGGTCTGAAATTTGCATGAGACTGAGATTTAGTCATGAAATGGCACTCTGTTTTTAAGATTCTGGCTATGGATTTGTTTAGTAACTGTGGTGATATTGGTGGTAAACAACAAGAAAACACAATTTGAGAGCCCAGGGTTCAACCAAATTATCCATCTTTCCCAGCAGCAACAGATTTAACGGCATGGTTAAATACATAAGCGTAAAGTTACCCACATGTCTACATCTCCTATCAAACTAAGTACGTACTTCTGATCTGCTAATGCCCCTGAAGGGTCTAATCTGCAGTCACATGAGCAATATATTGGCCTACACAACAGAGAAAAACATTGTTGGCCTGTGACTTACCATATTAATTTGGCTATAACACTGAGAATGTAAGAATACTTTTACAGAGATGCTGCTGTCAAGTTTAAACAAATATTCCTCTACCTGATTGTCTTCATGTATAATATTGGTTTGTTGCAAGATGGCGCCGCGTCATGAGCTCTGCCAAAGCAATTTCCAAGTGGTGACCTTTGTTGCTTACGTGGCAATAAAAATGATTGATTTTAGTATGTCTCACATACTATTGCATTATATCTCTAATATGATGGTGCATTATACACAGCGTGTAACTTGTGATGCATACCAAAATTGCAGCAAAAGATATATTTAGTGTTTGAAATTCATGACTTCCACTTGTATCTGACCCAGAAGTCTGTGCTCACACCTGATACCGTGTCCTGGGACGGCCGTTGCAGACAGTAGACAGGATGGGCTGTAGCCTGGGGGCTCGTGGTTTTGCTGGAGAGAATGTGAAGAGGCCTTGCGTTCCCCAAAGACCTCCTTTCAAAATCAGATCAGTAATCTGACCCTGAGCAGCAGACGCAGGTAATGACTTTGCTCCTCTCCCTGAGCATCGATTAGGCCATGGCAGTAGTAAAGCGTCTGCGTGTCTAGTGGCGTCTGCTTGTCTTGATCAGCTCTCAGTCTGGCTTCTGTATAGATCACATTTCAAGCGGTACATTTTGGTAATGGTAACTGCTGTGTCTGTCTGCCGAAGCCCACGCATTTAGTGCAACCAACTCGCTGGGGATTTTTGCAGAGTAGACCTCTCGCTGACAAGTGCTATGGCAGTGTTTGCTCCTCTGAGCAGCCAGACATTTACTGATGCATTTACGGACATTAGGAATATTTTGAAAAAGTTTAAATATATTTTATATACTTTCACTACACATAGAGCTGCTTTTTGCTTTGCATTAATCTAAATGTTATTGTTTTGACTAGATATCATAGATATCATAGGCCACGTCATTGGACGACTTCACAAAAAGCAGGTATGTGAAGTGGTCCAGCACCATCTTTGATAAATATGCCATTACTTTGCTTGAAACGTTTCTCAGATCATTCATTCATTCATTCTTTCATTCATATGCCTGTAATAATTTTTTAATGGTGTGAAGACTCTCCTCTCTACAGTAACTACTTATAACTAGGTACCACGGCTGTTGAGGAATTTACCTTTTTATGTTAATACATACAATCTGAAATTTCCCCACTGTAGAACAAATAAAGGATCTCTTAATCTTAATAATTAAATTCTAAACATAATTGTTCAACTCTTCTCAATCTCCACACTAATGCCTACGCTTTTAAAACATTTACTAATTGCTGTTTATTAACCAGGATTCTCACAGCAAAGACTAAATCTGACCATGTTGTGGTTTTGACTTTAGGTCTGACGTAAGGTGACACTGGTTTTGGCAACATTGTTTCATTAATCCCTTCCTCAATCATGTAGTCTGTGTTTCTTGCCTGAACATGAAAAGGAATGAAAGGAACTTGACACTGGTAGCTGCCATATTTGTCCCCTCTGCTTTCTCGCCTCCCTTTCCTGTTTGACCCCCTCCTATAAGTCAAAGTCTAGACTGGGCTTTAATGACTATCGCAGCTGGTCACTCACTTCGTGCCTGGGGGACTGTGTATACATGTGTGCGTTGTGTGGCAGTATTGTCCCATGCAGAGTTTGAGACCAGCCCCTCCCACTCTGTCTGGCCTAAACGACAACAACCCCCCAAAACTGCTCACCCTGGCTGTCCTGTCACTGCAGCCAGTGCACCTCCCCCTCTCTGCCCTAGTGCACCCCTCCACACACTCCCCTCTGAGCTGTGTCCAATCCCTCCTCATGTCGTTTTAATCTCCCCACAAAGGACCAGTGTAAGACCACCAATTATGTGGATACAAGTGGAGTTCAGTGAGAAACCACCTCGACCTCCTAAAGTGGATCCTCGAGTACACTACAAACTTGTGTTGCTTATTTCACTAAAGACCTTGAGAAGTGGCTTTTCAGGCCATTTGATCAATTATGTGTAACACGCATCCGGTGTGAGCGGCCTGCCGCCTTCTCAGATCTGAGTTAGCCTGGTGGCATTCACTTTCATTCACTCAGTAAAAACGAATGTTTATCCCACAATTTAGGGCATTACTAAAATCAAATGTAATCCCATTTTTTCATAATGCTCTCTTACTACTTATCAGACCTCAAAGGCTGTTTTTAAGTTTAACAGAATTATATACTATTTTATATTACTTACTCAATTTCACTGTTGAAACTGAGGTACACCAGTTTTAATTTGAACAGTAATGCAAGTTTGTGTCTCAGTCAGAAGTACATACAAGAAGGTAGTCTTTAGTGAAACGGTTTGTTTGCCACAGACCAAACTTTGGTGGACCACAAACCTCTGAGGCCTCTTGAGAGGAACTGAGTGTGATCTGGGCCATGTTTAGTTCTTTGAGTGGTGTCTGTGCACCATCTGTCTCACCACACACAGACTATGATATGTTCCACATTATGCTCATATGCTCTGTGGAGATGTGTACTGCCTTTAAAGACTTTGGTACAAGACCCCCACAGACGTTCTGTTTGTAAAGGGAGTGCTGTGTGCAGAAGCCTTTCTCTCAGCAGTTTGTTAAAACATCATTCTTACTTAGAAGACATTTTGATCAATTAATCTCCAGTCTAGACTCTTCCTCTTAAAGAATTGATTTGTTTGGCTCAGAACCAGCAATTTTTTTTTAAATAGTAAAAACCGTAAAATTAAATTTACATAATTTTAAACATATTCGAGCTTCCTTGACTGACCAAGCAGCACTAACTTTCCTACATTCCATGATACTGTCTCATATAGAATACTGTATCACGAGCTGGTCTTATGCTGGTATCTCAGCGATTAAACCAGTCGAGTCATGCTACAGTTAAAACTGTGGCTGAGGGACTCTCAAATATGTGAGCATGTGTAACATAAGTCTTGAATAAAGAAGCAGGGGAACAACAGGGAACAGTACAGAAGGGAATAGTGTAGTAGGGGGCAGTGTAGTAGGGGGCAGTGTAGTAGGGGGCAGTGCAATAGGGGGCAGTGCAATAGGGGGCAGTGCAATAGGGGGCAGTGCAATAGGGGGCAGTGCAATAGGGGGCAGTGCAATAGGGAGCAGTGCAATAGGGAGCAGTGCAATAGGGGGCAGTGCAATAGGGGGCAGTGCAGTAGGGAACAACAGTGCAATGGGGAATAGTGCAGTAGGATGTGTGAAATACAATGTCTCAAGTCTTTCTGTCAATTGTTGTTTACTGTCTCGCATGTCTGTACGTGTTCAGCTGTCCTTGTACATGTCCTGTATATAGTCTTGTGTACACTGTATTTTTTGCATGATTTGTATTGTTACATCTTGTTTGTTTTTATGTTCTTTGTTAACATCAACCTGCCAGGAGGTCTGCAGATGGAAATTAGCCTAAGGCTATAATCTAGCATATTTACATTTGTTAAATGTTCATTAATATGCATTGTACCTCCTTTAACACCCAAATAAATAAATAAATAAAAACCAGTTTTGTTGCACAGGCCGGGGTGGGGGGGCGTTTAAATTCCAGGAATGGGATAAATTAAAGATGACATCACTGCACAAACTATTAAAGTTGCCACACTGTGGGGCATTGAGTTGTTGTTTTTCTCATTCTGTTGCTTCATCTTAAGTGTAATCTGCAGGAAATTCCTTTTTATAAGAGCCAAGTGGAGTTTGGACACCCTCCACAAATGTCTCCTGTTGAGACACAGCCGCTACACCGAAAACAACTGGAAATGAGTCATTTCTAGTGATGACTGCAGGGACAGACATCTACACATGTGCATTTGATAAAGATTGGCCATCTCCCGCTGGAGTCTTTTGGTCTAATGCCATCCTCTGTGGTCCATGTGTGCATCCATGGGGTAATCGTAGTCTAGTTAGTTTATGTTCACTATTTCTCAGGTTCTTTTACATCAACTTTTATTTATATTCTTAGAATCATAGTAGTAGTGTCTGTTCAGTTATCATAGTGTCTTTTACAGAACAGACTTTGTGCAGTTGATTCACTTAACTATCTTTTTGTGCACATTTCTGGTTATTGAGGATTGCACTGGTGAAGATGATCGTCTTTGAGAAGAAAGGACGTTCTCACTTATTGTTAGTGATCTTTTTGGGAAACTCCGCTGTGCTCCGTCCTCTTCCCGGACATGTTATTGCTTCATTGGTCCCATCTTCCACAGAGATTAGTCGTGAGAGTTCCCGTTTGTTTGGGCGCAGGATTCGCTCTGAGCCTGTCACGCTTCATTCACACTCTCATCAGCACGGCTCCGTTTGTCATTCACCAACATTCACTTTCCCATGTGAACCCACTGTCCCAGGCCGGAGCAGCCAATGGGACGCCCGGCACTGGTGGCCTTACTCCAAATTAAAAGCATGTGTGCGACAGACGAAATTGCATTTGGATTTAAATTGAATCAGTTTGCAGTTTGTTGTTCCAAAGTACTCTGGATGCACTGTGATGCATACTGTTTTAGAAGTACATGTATGTTTTAGCAGTTTTTATTTGGTCACGAGTGTATTCATGCATTAGAAAGTGCAAAACAATGTGATTGTTAATCATTCTCATTAGAAACCTACCAATACTCATTCCAATAGTTTGAGAGATGATCTGCAATACTTTCACCTATAAGGACTGTTCCATCTATTTTCCCCTTTTGATAAAACTATATATTTAAATTTATTTTCTGCGTATTTAACGTTGATCAAAGGGCGACTTTGTTTTTGTATATTTAATACGGGTTAATCATAACTGCGCAGATGATTGGCAATTTTAGGTATGTCGTTGTTTGACCACTCGTGCTGAAATTCACGTATTTTTACAGCGCGGGTTTCTAGAGTATGTTCTTGTTGTTGACTCGAAATATTCTAAGGCATGGGTGTCAAAGTCAAGGCCCAAATTAATTATCTTGGCCCTTTGGGATGATATTTAATTAGCATTAGAACCGGCCCGCACAGAGCCATTAGAAAATATTGGATTATTAATTGAATCATTAACTACGATACGGTGCACTGTGTTTTTGGTCGTCTGATGTATTTTACTTTGACATCCTGGTTCTAAGGTGACGTTTGGGAAGAAGCTTTGTAAGACTATAACGAGTCTATTCAGAAGGATTTAAGAATATTAATTTTCAAGTTGGTTTGGTTCCTCATCAGAAGTCTCCTGCTGGGTGATGAGCAGGCTTCAATCAGACGCTGTGACCTCCAACTTTACATTCTGATGCTGTCCTCATTTCACTGTGTGGAAATGATGATTCTTTTATGACTGAAAAGTGTGAGCTGTTTGAATGGGTCGAGGGAGTGGGAGGTGTGGAAGAGGACGGGACGCAGGGAGGGGGGCTCAGGTCGGGACTCGAGTGTCGAGTGTGTTTGGGTTCATCTGCAGTGAAGGATCTTGTTTCCCGTCTGAACTGTCTGCGAATCCCAAAGGCCTCTGGAGCTGGACCAGGGTACTTGTCTGTCCTGGAAGTATTTCATAGCACAAACTGTTAGGCCTTTTGTAAAAGGATAAACATTTTATAAATTGGTTATGACAAGGAAGCGGGCCGTGTACTCTAAAGGCTGTCACTATTGGCTACATTTTCTTTTTGATGATGATAATGTAACCGATTAGTTGTTTCTAGATAAAGCTGAGGCTGTTTTGGTATTTTTATGTTTTAAACTAAATGCCATAGTTATGATTGTTGTATCTCTGCACTCTTTTGTTGAGTTTCTGTCAAACAAGGCATTTGTTTTCTAGCACAATTTTGAACTGTGACAATGAAATTTATACTCCACCCTTATTGGGTCAATGTCTTCATATTTGTAGTTCTCGGATAAATGTTTTGGTAATCTAATGTTTTTTATATTTTCTTTTTTATATAGTAACCCCCCTCTCACACTCAAAGTCCTAGAGGGAGAAACTGTCATGAAATGTATATTGCGTCATGTCGCCCCCTAGAGGAGGCTGTCAGAATAATGACTGCTCCGTTTCTTTCAGGTCTGCATTGTAACTGCACAAACTGTGAGAAGACTGGATATGAGTGTCAGACAGATGGCGCCTGCATGGCCTCCACGTACTTCATCCAGGGCAAAGAGCAGCATGTGCGCATCTGCATCAACAGGGATGACTTGATGCCCCCGGGGCAGCCCTTCTACTGCCTGAGTGCAGAGGGGCTGCTCAACACGCACTGTTGCTACAGCGACTACTGCAACAGTATCGACCTCAAAGCCCCTGGTGAGTATATGAAATATTGTGCTTTTTATGAATTGTGTAGTATCACCAAACGGTATACTGCATTATGAGAATGTCTTTTCACTTAAAATAAGAAAACAAAGTTACTCACTTGGAATGAGGGAAATGCTGCTTGATACATTGGGGAAACTAACTTGGAGATGTACATCTTCCTTTATATTTCGATAAAGCAAAAATGAATGTTTGAGTTCCTTGGGTGCAAAGGCATTGTATGTTCCTGTTGTAGTCATGGGTGTGTCTTTTGTGTGCAGTTCCCACAAAGGCGGGCTGGTCGGCTAGTGGCAGCTCGTGGGGCCCGGTGGAGCTGGTGGCAGTGATCGCGGGGCCGGTGTTCCTGCTGTGTGTCCTGCTGATGGTGGCCGTGTTCCTGTTCCAGCACCAGCAGAGGGCGTACGGTCAGAGGCAGCGGCTGGAGATGGAGGACCCCTCCTGTGAACACCTGTACCTGGCCAAGGACAAGACCCTGCAGGACCTCATCTACGACATGTCCACATCCGGCTCCGGATCAGGTCAGCACCTCAGCCGGTCCTAACTGGTTTTACTGAGACATGCTCTGATGGGTAAACTGGTTGTGAGCAGTGGAAGGATGGGGCATCCTGTTTATTTATTGACTGATGCCTCCCTAGGTCTTGATAAGCTCGCGTATGGCATGAGGTGGTATTGTTGCCAAAGGGACAATTGCAAAAGGAGTGTTCGCCACTTGAACAGGGATCTCCTGTGGATACACAATCATAACTTTACTTGCACTCAAGTGTTTGCTTTAAGTTGACCCATAACTTAATAGTTCTGTTACATTTCCACAATTAACTGGAGCAACAGTGAACATGAACCTAATGTGTGTATCTACTGCTCCCTGCAGGCCTACCCCTGTTTGTGCAGCGAACTGTGGCCAGGACAATCGTGCTACAGGAGATCATCGGAAAGGGTCGTTTTGGAGAAGTGTGGAGGGGCAAGTGGAGAGGGGGGGATGTGGCGGTGAAGATCTTTTCATCCAGAGAGGAACGCTCCTGGTTCAGAGAAGCAGAAATCTACCAGACAATCATGCTGCGCCACGAGAACATTCTGGGCTTCATTGCAGCCGACAATAAAGGTTAATGTCATATCCTCATGTACGACCGGAACTCTGTTATTACAACAGTTCTAAAATGTCAACTCTAACATTACAGACAATGGCACGTGGACTCAGCTGTGGCTGGTGTCAGACTATCATGAGTATGGCTCTCTCTTCGACTATCTGAATTGTTACTCTGTCACAATAGAAGGCATGATTAAGCTGGCTCTGTCCGCTGCCAGCGGCCTGGCACATCTTCACATGGAAATCCTTGGCACTCAGGGTGAGATGGGCTTTCATCTTAAAGGGGCCAATTCAACCGGCTTCACTCTACTGTAAGACACTTTATTTGTTAATTTGTCTGTTTGTGCTGTGCAGGTAAGCCTGGCATCGCTCACAGAGACTTGAAGTCTAAAAATATCCTGGTGAAGAAGAACGGGATGTGTGCCATCGCTGATCTTGGTTTGGCAGTTCGCCATGAGTCCATAACGGACACAATCGATATAGCTCCAAACCAGCGTGTAGGGACCAAGAGGTAAGGGTCTTTTAACTTCCATTTCCACCTAAGGGCACATCAATGCAGTGAAACACACATTTGACTTGTACAGAACATAAGCACACGTGCAATCCTCTCCTCCGTTAGGTATATGGCTCCAGAGGTCCTAGATGAAACTATCAACATGAAACACTTTGATTCTTTCAAATGTGCTGACATCTACGCACTGGGCCTAGTCTACTGGGAAATCGCTCGACGCTGCAATGCTGGAGGTGAGCCGTGACGGAAATAATTTATTTTGAGGGAAAACGACATGATTTTATTTTAATTGTGTATTCCGTTTTATAGGTATTCATGAAGAGTACCAGCTTCCATACTACGACCTTGTGCCCTCAGACCCTTCCATAGAAGAGATGAGGAAGGTGGTGTGTGACCAGAAGCTTCGGCCTAACGTGCCCAACTGGTGGCAGAGCTACGAGGTCTGTGTCATTGAGCTGATGGGTTTAAGTTTCTGAGATATCGGATATCCCTCTCGGCCGATATGTTACCATGGCCTGTTAAACACTCACATAATTTATTTTTATTCTGAAAAATTAACACTAAATCAGTCCACAGTTCTCGACCATCTTCTTGGAGTTCTTTCCATCCAAACATAAGTGCACTTTCCTACTGAAAAATGACATCCAAACCATATATTGCAGGTATTAGCCTCACTAGCTCATCCTAAGAAGTTTTGCTCCTACTCAATTTGGCGTCCATTCACATTTGTGGAGAGTAATCTTGCCTTGCTCTGGAACAGTTTGGTTCACTCTCCATTTTAGGCCCCATCAGTGTCTTTGTATATGTCCCCTAATGGGTGACCTATGGCATTTCGGGTTTGCTATTGAGTAGTGATGATGGTAACTGACGGGCACCACCCCAGGCGAGCTCTTTGGTCGCTGAGACCTTGCTACCCATGAATTTAGCTCGAGACCAGGGAGCCCAACTCTTAAGTTATTGTAGAAGAAGCCAATGTAAACCCTATAAGGGTGACATAAGCACTCGGTCTGTGATCCAAGCGCATATTCAATTAAAGTACGGTAATAATTTGTCACTGCCTCCATTAATGTAAACATTTAAATGCGCCCTAATGACTTAACTATAAACAAATCTTCCACAAATTATAATCCTGGATATATCGTTTTCCTTATTTTTACTATATGTGGTAAATTACCCATCAACATCCATCAAGACCTCTAAAACTTACTAATTGCACCAACCCCCATATTTGTCAAATCAACCTGGCATGTATTTCGAGAAAAATCAAAATTGGCCAGTCAAACGTTGGACACTTATGTTTACAGATATGTTTTATGTCAATTAGTACGGTTGAGAATATTTCATAATGAGGCCATGGTGTCCATAGATCACAAAAGGGGATCACTAAAAGGATTGCTTGTGTCTGCTTTATAGTAAAGACTCAAATTTGACTTTTTTTGTGTGTGTGTCTTTGCGTGCCACCAGTCTCTTCGCGTTATGGGCAAGATCATGAGGGAGTGCTGGTACGCCAACGGAGCCGCCCGCCTCACCGCGCTGCGCATCAAGAAAACCCTCTCCCAGCTCAGCATAGAGGAGGACGTGAAGATGTGAACGCGATAAAGACCCAGACACTACGAAGCCTGCCAGTTTTACCACAGCCACAGTCCGCGTCGTGACCAGGCCTACCTCACCTTTTTTAGCCAAAACTACTGACTGTCCTCTTCGGCTCGGGACGTCCCAATGTCTGTCCCCATCTCCATAGGCCGCTACAGCATCACTACTGTCGAAATATTGTTTTTTTTAAATCTGTCATGGCAGGAGTTTATCATTACTGTACAGTGATTGGACCTTTTCTTTATGGCAAAAATTCCAAAGAGGTTTTTAAGTAATCATTGTTACTGAATTTCCAACGCAGACTTCTTTTATTGAATTTTGTGGCCATGAGTAGGATGGGTTTGAAGTACTGTCGGAGCATAGAGGACCCCCAGCATGTTTCCTGGAATAGGCTGTAGTTCTATACTCATCCCCTACTCTGTAACTTCGAGCATGAGCCGCCCCACAACACTACTTAGTTGCACTCTCTATTGTAGCTTCCTCGTCGATGTGTGAGATTCTATTGCAGGTATCGCGCCCGTGGATCTGCTCCTGGTGTTTTTTTTATTTTTTTTTTACGTCCAAAATGTGGCAGGGATAGTTGTGGGAATGAAGACTTTTATTTATTTGTTAATATTTGTCATTTTTTTTTGATGAACACTGAGATGAGATGCCCACGTTGTGATATAAAATATAAATTGTACTTTTTGTAGTTTTTCATGTCTTCTGTTCATGGTTTGACAGAATGCTGTTTCAATGCAAATAAGCGGATGAAAATGAAATGGCCTTTTTCCTATTTGATCATTTGTCTATACGTTACAATGTTATATTTTCTTTTGTGCCACAAGCAAAATTGTGGAAATCTGCTTGAAAGGTACTTAACCATTTTATCTGTGAAATTCTGCTGGATGTTACTCTTCTCATTTGTGGTACTACTGACATGCCCACTCCAATTGTCCATGTTTGTAATCTGTGAGTCCTTTTTTTTTTATCATCTGTAAATGAGGTAAATCTCATTGACACTGGAATATTTGAAAATCTTGACATTTCTGGTTGGTATTTTGACTATAACATGGCAACTACTGGACATTTGTAATTTCACATACTGCACAATTGCAAGAGCATGTTTTCCTTAATTTTGTGCATATGCAAATGATAATGAAAGACATTACTGGACTATGTACTGTTGTTTTTCTATGTCATTTTGTCAACTACATTGTCTCTCAACTCTGGCTCCTTTAAACATCGAGCGTGTGTCATCTCGACTCCATGTACACATCAGCTTTGTTTTATTGATCATCTTTTTGGTCAGTGTTGACAAGGTAGCCCAGAAACTATGCTGCTTCTACAACGTGAATCTGCAGAGTCTGGTGGCGTGTGAAATGGAAAACCGCAGTTGTGTAACCAAAATAGTGAACTCTCATCTCCATAATTGTTGCTTTTGGGCATATCCAACATCTGGTTTGTGGATTAAAGGATTCTAAATCACTACTTGTACATAGTGGATACAATAAAACTCATTTTCTTAACACTTCTGTTCAGTGTCTAGTTGTTAAAGATGAAGTATTTGGTTGCCAGTGTGGACCGCCTTTGCAGGGGGTCGAAAGCCCCCTTTTGGCAAGCTGCCTTCGTGCACATCTACACAAAATGGCTCATTCTAAAGCTGGGGTCCCCCAAAAAGTATTTTTAGAAGTTTCTGTCAAACATTCAAACCAGAGACCAAACTTATAGGCCCAAAACTCACCTCAGCACAGGATAAAGATTCAATGAGTCGTTTATTGTAACATACCTATACTCCTTACAGACCATGGGCCTCGAACATGAATAGTTCCAATACTTGACTTTAATCGTACTATACAAAACCAGGGTACTGCAGACAGCAAGTTTTGAAGGTCCAGACAATGTAGCATACCAAAGTCAACCTCTCAAATGAAATGCCCCTTTTAGTAAATGTATCAAGTTTACATCCTTTAAGTGTACGTCATTAAAGGCCTTAACATCTTTATTAAAACCTTTAAGTAAATCAATATTTTACAAGAGCCATATCACTTATTTAAAATGCATTTTTATTTTCCTTTACAAGAAACAAGACGAAGAAATAAGATGGCAGGGAGAGGGAGTGGAACGCTGTATATAAAGAGATGCGCCCTCTGGCATTCTCCAAAATATGTACATTTCAAAATAATGTCCATACAATAAAATGAACATTATATTTATATTCCCTAAAAGTATCTCTGCTGTACAAATGCAATATCTTTTTAAAAAGTATGTGAGATTAAAAAATTAAATTTGAGAAAAACTTTATTAAATTATTAGATATGCAGAGAACTTAAATTAAGATTTATCAACCTTTAAAAATTCAGTTTAAAATCCAGTGAGTGGGATAATGTCTAATGATCGTCCCTTGAAATAGAAACATACCAAAAATATATTTATATATATATCACTGCTTTGTATAGTTGCTCAATATCTACCACTTGGGAGAAGTTCTCCATTATAGTCAGAGAGTGCAATTCATAACCGGGTTAAGTATGAGTTAACTGAGTCATTACATCATACAACAAACAGGAAGCCAGGTTCACAAGGGTACCAGCACATTCACTTCTATGGGGTAATATCGATCCAAAAGCACTAGATATTAGGGAGCCGAGGGAGTTCCATCCAAGAGTACATGATTCTGATTGTGACGAATAACGGGTTTGATAATCAACAAGCAGTAGTATAAATAAAACAAACAATATTACATAAATATAGATGCTATGCATCAAAGTACTGCTGTAAGAAAGAAGTGATTTGTGTCTAATAACGCTCCTCATAAAACTTTAGCAAAACGTATTGCCCTCAGCCACGACTGGACTGATTCAAGAGAACATATCTTAACAAACCTGTTTGAGGGCTTTTAGCAAAAAACACTAATAGAAAACAGGTCAATGCAAAAACACTCTGAATCATATACATAAAGATATTAGTTTGCCATTTACAAATATTTATATTTATATACAGCTTCAACTTTGTTAAAATGATATCCAGTGGTTGTTTCTTCCGATTTTGTCAACTCTAGACCTTTTATTACAAAGGGGCTGGATAAACAGTTGCTACCCCTCGATGCATATTCCATATATACAAGTTTGTACAATTTGCATTTAATAATCATGTGAGGTTTCAGGTTAAGGGACTAGGGAGAAAAGTAGTACAGATAGTGGAGTTTTTAAGAAAGCTCCCTTTAAAGACATTTCATTCATTTTTACAGAGGTGAAAAAAATGCCCTTTTTTCAATAAGTCTTTCCCTGCCATCCGACGAGCCGTACGAGACAGTTCCAGCACTAGAAAAACGTGTTCAGGGGGGGGGGGGGGGTTAAAACGGCTGCGCTCTGACAGAGAAAGACTTACTACGGTAAAGTTAAACAGTCCGCTAAATATTACAGAGGAAGAGGCATGATTCAAAGTGTTAGCAGTGGGACATAAAGTAGTCATTGAATGAGTGACAAATGTGGATTTGAGGATGAGACTAGTCCTAGCACAATCCAAGAGCCGCTCGCTCAGTCTATACGGAAAAAAAAAGGTGGTTATTGTGCTTTCACACAGCTAAGAGCACGACAAAACGTTTAAAGAAAAAGTTATGTCCATGATTTGGAGGCATACACAACACCTACTAAGCTGATTGTGATCTTATTGTTATCAAAACGATCATACATTTCTTCTGTATAAATAATTCATGAATAATTATGTTGGCTCATTATTGTAAATCGTCATCAGCATAGAGTACAGAGCAAACCTGCTGCTTTAGTTTCCCTGCTTGTCCGAGAAGGCAAAGCCCATAAAAACACCCTCCCCCCTTCCACATTAGAAGTTAAAGAGTTATTCAAAGCAGTTACTTCCCGTTAAAATCAATGAGGTAGACAGGGTCACACTAACCCACCTAAGGGACTCCACACAGTCAGAACGACTTGAGCCATAGAACAAAAACATTTCCAATTTAATGATAGTTGTCCATCAATCATTTGCAGCTCAAACCCAGAGCCACATCCTGATTGTCTAGCAAGCCAATATCCAGGTTGTCTTCATTGATGAGTTGATGGGAAAGTGCCTTTCAAGAAAGTGTAAAAGAGCAGGAAGTAGGTCCGTCTCAAAACATAAAAATGTATCAAGTTCATTCTCAGTATGTTAACATGGCTTTTGTCGCAGCTCCAGCCGAGCTCTAATATGAGGATTGATAGCAGAAGGTCAGAATCATTTGGTAAATGTTGAGGATTGTTGTGAGCTTATTGAAAACAGTCGAGAAGGAAAGGGCTGTTGGCTGAGGAGGACATTTCCACGCTGGACCCATCTCATGCCAATGTTGTTGCTTTACAGAATAATGCTCTTCATACCTTTGGCTACAGGTGTCACTGCTTTTGTCTTTCACTGGTGGAGGCTGCACCTCCACATCTTTCAGCTTATGCACTGGCAAAGATGGATTCAAAGGCTTTGGCGCACGCATTTCTGGCACCTTTGGAGGGGAATACTTTTAGTTCATCCACTTTCTGCAATTCCAGGCTCCACAATGACAAGGAATTTTGTGCTGATCATCCTCAAAATCAAACTGGTAATCATAAGTCAGCTGTAGAAAGAATACAAACAAGGTGATGTTTTGGACACAATTTTGTGAACGTCTTAATCATGATCACAAACCTCTTCTCCCTTTGGAATCTTTCGACTAGAGATTATGATGATCTTGTCTTCCTTGTCAAATGTTACCACCTCTGCCACACAGTTGGGGGCACAGGAGTGGTTGACATATCTGGACAGAGAAACAAGGGAAGGATTTAAACATTGCAAAATTAGATTATTAGGCTTTTCAGAATGGATCCAGACTTACCGAGCTGGGCCACCAGTCAAAGTGGCATCAATGACTTGTTCATTGTTGATGCGAAACATGTAAATGCCACGATTCTGAGAAAGAAATTGATTATATTGTTGCATTGTAAGGTTAAGTGGGCATTTGAGACCTGGTGATACAATTTACACACACTAAAGTCATGTTATGGTTAAATATTTTACCTGAGACTCATAGATCTTTTCTCGCCGATTGGCAACCTCATTGCGTATAACTGTGCCAATGTATTCAATGACCATGGTGTGCTTTTCCAAATCTTTAGCAGCATACAATCCTAAACCCTGGATTCGGGATCGGGCAAGATAAACGTTGTTCTTCCACTCAGTCTTTAGGCGCCGATATTGGGACGATTTGGAGTGAACAAACTGTTTGCTGTACGGTGTGTTGAGTTCTCCAGTGAAAGTGCTCTGATAGGCTTTAGAAACACTGGTGCTATTGAGCGTGTGAGGCCTAAGAGAGAAATGTTAATATATTTACACTTTCTAATACTTAATATACTTGATTAAAAGCTATTTGAAGGATGGCGTACCTCTTGCACTGTGCTGTGACTTTGGGCTCGGTGCGAGCAGAACCAGTGGGATTTATCATGAGAGGGAGCTCCATGAGTGGATGGCGGCCATAACGGAACTGGTAACTCTGGCAGCTCTCCACTCCAGGCAACTATGACAGAAAACATAAATATTAAAATGGAACAAGGACACATGCCATATTTGAGGAGATCTTACCGATTCTGTGATGCGCATGACAGCATTGATGGTGAGTCCATACATTTCTTCTCCTTTAAGGTGTTCAGTGAACAGTTTCAGCATAGAAGAATCCTCTCGAAGTTTTGCCACCTCCTGAACCACTCTGTTCCAAATTCCTTTGATTACAAATGCAAAATGCATTTGTTATCAGATATAAAACGTAACATATATGACTTAAGCTAGAAGTTGTACCTTCTGGAGTGTCGTTACGGTAATGCAGATCCTCCATGCCATGTTCCAAGACTCGTACCTCAAAAAGCGGCCGGCCATTTTCTTCATTGATGCGACATCGGTATCTGCAACGCTTATTGGGCACACGTGTGCTCCAGTAAATGCGCGTAGCCTCGTAGCCCACAGGAAAAATGGCAGTTGGTGAGTGGAAGAGTGGCATCTGTGAAGGAAGGAGTTGGCCAACGGCGTGGAAGATCAGGCTTCCTACTCTGAACAAGTGGATTCGATCTCCTCGTTGGAGGATACTGGCAATCTGCTTCACTTCATCACGCTCAATGTAGACCCGCCTTAACACAGCAAAGGCGATCAGCTCATCCTCACTGGGGCCCTTGAGTTTATGCTGTGTGCACAACATAGTCTTGTCCTTAAAGAACATGCAGCGAGCTCGAATGGCACAGGCAAAATGATAGACATTGGGACAACGCAGTCTGTTACAGCTGTTTGTGGCCCCAGTTTTCTGGCAGTAGGCACAAAGGGTGCGCAGCCCTCTGCGCAGGGCCACCTCTACATTGATGAGAGCTCCTCCTTGCGTCTCATAGACCTCTGTGGACCACAGAGCGCAGTTTAGATGCACCCACAAATCCACATCAATGTTGAGGAGACGCCCTGGCCCGTCCGTGGCCCCGTCAGCTTCATCATGACAAAAGCAGCATTTGCGTTTGTCCCGAGGAATTTTCTCTGGTCTGAAAGTGATACGCAGTCGCTCCATTAGCTCTGATACTTCACGACTGCTCTCCTTTTTTGAGCCCCCCTTACGGATTGTAATGACAAACTGAAGACGTTTCCAGCGAATCCCTTTCCATTTTTTTACTTTGGGTCGGACTATATCTGGTTCAGGTGACAGCGGCCTGCTTTGTTTTATGGATTTTGGGGAAGACTGCGAATCATTAGGAGCATTATAATCAGTCTCTGGGAGGTCCGTACTCATGTCCTCCTCCTTAGCAGTAACAGTCACCTTCAGCAACTCTTCAGTAGATATAGCCTTGGAAACTGACATTGCTTCAGATTCAGTCTCGCCTGCAGTAAATATTGGTGGTTTAAGTTCTGTAGCTCCACCCTCTTGCTCTGGCTCAGTCTTGACCTCAACTTCTTGATTTTGCATGGAAGGAATGAAAGGAGAAGATTTCGACACATCTGTCTCACAAACAGGTTCTTGGTCCTCAGGAGCAGGTGGTGATGGTGGTGGGGATTCCTCAACTGGAATAACAGGAAGGTGCCGCACATCCAAATCATTTACTTTGGTGGTGTAGTAGTGAAGTGCCGGCTTGTCCTCATTTTCTATAAAGTCCTAACAAACAAAGCACAGAGCAGATAGGTAAACCAATATAGACTATAATATTTAGTTATTCAAGGATTTATGACAAGATAAATATAGATTAAAAAAATAAAATAAAAAAATAATATGGCACCTGTTTGATTAGTGAAAGAATGTCCACGTGTTTCTTGAGCGTGCAGCCGGGGAGCGACACATCAAACTGTCTGAGCCATTCATCCGGATTAGGAGTCAAATTGTTCTTCGAACAGAGGGCACCTGGGAAGTCTAAACGATAAAAGTATATTTGGAATCATACCCATCTTAAATGAAAACTAAAAAACAACTTTAAGACAAGTACCTGGCTGTTCTGGCAGCTTACTGGACCCATCAAAATTCAGACTTTGAGGCGGGAAAGTCACTTCATAAGAACCCGGCATTCGTATGCTTAGGAGCTGAGCCATGGCCATCATCACATGGTTTAGTTTCTAAAAAGAGATGTTTTTTAAGAAGTGCATTTTGGAATAAAACATGTGACTTCTCTGACAAGAACTACCTTCGCGGCTGCCGAGGACAGTGTGAAAGTGACAGACACTTCATTATTGTTTGGTCTATTGAGATTATTTGCTGAAGAAGGCACCTTCTCCTCTGCAATTGGTTTATTTTCTTGAAATTCTTTAAGGGAGACAAGTTTCAATCATTTTTATTAAACAATATAAGACTGAACCCATATTTAGTATATATTTGGTAATCAAAAGCATGCCTGGAATAGGTGTGCGGGGAATGAGGGGGATAATGGGAGATATTGCCCTTTCAGTCTCTTCTTCCTTGGGTTCTTTGAGTTGAGGAAACCGTGTTGTTCCTTCACCCACATTACTCTCTGGGGATGATGCTGGAATAATGCTCTCTTGTGCATCCTCATCATCACTTTCCATCCTGTTGAAAATGTTCCTTTTGATTTAATAAAAATGTAAATTAATACCGAGTTGCACTGCAGTTGGGCTTTACCTGATGTCTTCATTTTGGTTGTGTGGTGGCGTAGGAAGAGCTGCAAGAATGTCAACACTCTTAACCACTTCAGACGGGGCGTCTATCAAAACACAAAACATTAAGATCCAGACAAATCATATTCATAACAACTCATTTACCTCTTGACTCTACAGCATCAGTATCTTTACACTTGGACAGCTCCTCCCCAGTGGTTATCCCATTTGGCAGCTTGTGCTGTACTGAAGGAGGTGGTGTGGGAGGTAGCGATGACGGAGGTGTAGGAGGATTGCTAAGGTTACTCTGAAAACATCAAATAAAACATGTTGGCATATTTAATTGGAACTCAAGTAGACAGAGATAATACCTTTGTAAGTAGTTGAGAATAGTAGTCTGGAATGTTGTCCAGCACGGCACTTCCAAATGATCCTTTGAGCTGGGCTTTATCATTAGGAAGACTGCTCCCAAAAGGGGCAAAAAGATCTAGGCTTGCAGTTATGGATGGCTCCATTAATGGAAGCAAAGAAAGACCCTGAAATGTTGACAGTAACTGTGATAAGCATGTGATTGGTCTTCGACTAATTAAAGAAGAGAAGAATTACCTGTTTAAGCTGTTTAATGAGAGCTTCTGGACTTTTCCCCATTTCATCCTTCTTGTTCTTTTTTCTCGCATTGGGCCCACTGGTAACTTTATTTGGACGTTTGGGCTTAGGCAAAGGTGGCCTTTTTGTCAGAGATTGCAAATCCTCCATATTTTGTGGTGTCCCTTGAAGCTTTTGTTCCAGCATAGCCAATTTATTGTTTATGTGCCCATTTATTTCACTATGGATTCCATCAGATGTCCTTTGAGCGCCAAGCTGAATATTCTTAGTCCGAAGTAGTTTTTGAAGCAGTTGTTGTCCCGTCTCTGGTCTATTGTCTTGAAGTCTCGGATCAAGAGCCATGTTCTCTGAGCTAGAATAGTTTGCTTCTTGTTTCACAATCCCATGTTGAGGGCCTGGCAGCACATTACAAAACACTTCCCTCGGCTCTTGCTTTATGTTATGAAGCGTCTTCACACACATTCCCCCTGCTCCAGATGTTTGGAGATTAGCAGAGGGGCTCTCCTGAGCATGATGGAGTTGTTGTGGAAGATTAATACATTTCTGAGGACCATTAGGAATACACACGCCTTCATTGCTTGATGTTTGGGCCTCAACCTTCAGTCCAGGACAATCTAATGGACTTTTTGCACCTGGTGATCGGAGAGGGGAGGCTTTTACTGAATATGGACTGCCCATACCAGCATGACTGTCTGTTCTGGGTGAGGACACGTTTGATGCGTGGGGCGACGCTGAATGTGCCGGGCTCATTCCAAATTGCGGCCTGGGTGAATAGGCATGCGAGGGAGATCCTTGAACTCTGCTAGTTGCTGTGGACAGCATCACCTGTTGGTTTGGAGTAGGAGGACGCATGCCCATGAGAAGATGCCGCTGTTGATCCATTTGTGGGGATGATGGCCTTAACATGCGGCTTGGGTCAATGGGAGAACATGGCATTGATACCCGTCCTCTCATCATCTGCGGATGCAGCATCTCTCCGACTTGTGGAGGCTGTGGCCTGTGGGGCAGTATACTCTGCTGCATCTGTGGGGTGACACCAGGTTGAGATCCAACAGTTCCCATGGCCTGCCTCATCTGTGGCACCTGTCCTGGAGGCATGTGGGTTCTTAAGGGGCCTTGTTGACCAGGGTTGATTGCCATGCGCATCATTTGGCCTTGCTGCAATTGCCTCTGTGCTATCATGGCTTGTATGTGTTGTATTTGTTGGTTAGGAGGAAGATTGCGTAATTGTGGGTTCTGAGCAATGATGCCTTGAATATTTATATTTATCTGTGGCCTGATATGAGCAGCTTGAAAGCCCGCCCTTGGTGGCATCATACCCTGTTGTGGTCCTCTTATCATACCTATGGCCTGTTGTTTTTGCTGCTGGGCTAATAAAGCTTGGTGATGCGGGTTGAGACCAGCTGGATTCTGTTGACCAAGTGAGGTCTGATTGAAGCTCTGCTGCTGGCCGTTTGCGTCCTGCAAATGCTGTGGGGCATTTTGCTGTTGAAGACACATAGTTGCGTTTGTTCCTTCTTGCTTTACTGTTACATTTTCAGACTTCTCCGCGGTGGTTGACACTTGCTGCTGGATAGTGGGCTGCTGCTGCGTTTTTCCTGACTGCTGATTTTCATAAGATGTTTGCTCTTCGGCAGGTTGGTTTTCCAGTAATGCATTGACTTGGGTTTGATGCTGTTGATTTTTATGACTTCCCAAGTCCCTTTGATTCTCTCCGGTGACATTTGTTTGTTGTGATGGGTTTGGTGTGGAGGGCCCACTCTGCTGTGGTGGTGATTTTGAGTTTTCAAAACTAGACAGTGGTTGAGGTGTGGCTCTTCCTGCTGAAGGAGGGGAGCCTATTTGTGGAGTGGAGGGCTGAGATGTAGCTCTCTGCTCTGAACTCTGTTGAGCGGAAAGTTGGGTTTTTTGTTGAGCAGTTTGTTGCTGAGAGACAACCATGTGTTGAGGCAGACAGTTTTGCTGTTGTAAAGTCGGGGGACTCCTAAAACAAGGATCACTAGGTTCCTGCTGTCCAATAGCCATTTGTGGCTTCTGCTGTTGTGCACTTGATTGGTTTGCCATAATTACAGATTGAGTGTGTCCCCCTAAAGAGGCTTGTGATGACTGTGAAATAGTTTGACCCCCACCCATTTGTTGATTGGCCTGATTTACCATCATTTGTGGAGGGTTTGGCTGTTGCTGTGAAATGTGAGGGTTTCCTACCATCCCTGGTTGTGTCTGGGGCAGTAGACCAGACTGTGCAGAATGTGCAATCATAATCTGCTGTTGCTGCTGAAGCTTTGCCATCTGCATTCTATGTTGAAGTTGTCTTTCTTGGACCATTCTTGGGTCTGCTCCTTGCATTCCTGGTCCCATATGAAAAAATCCAGGTGGGCCACCAGAAGTCCCGGTTGGCCTAGTGCCACCAGGCAGTCTGGGTTGTGGGGGTCCTCCCATGAAGGGTTTACCCGGCGGCACTCGAACTGGCACGCCACCATGTGGCCCCATCACATGGCCTCCTTGTTGCCCCATAATCATCTGACTAGGCATTGTGGGAAACATGTGAGGTGAAGGGCCCTGTGAAGGGTGGCCAGGTGGGGCATGTGTACGTGGAAGAAGACCTGAGCCTTGTTGATGTTGCTGCTGTTTGCTCCTATATTCGGCAATAAGATTTGTATGCTCCTTCTGTTGTTTCCGTACCTGTAAAATAGCAGTAGTACATGTAAAAAAGGTATTATATTATATGTATATACATGTACTAAGTATATACACACCTGGTCAAGCTGTTTTTGAATTTTACTTTGTTCTTCTGTAACCAACTTCAACTTTTCTGCATCTGCCTCAGCAAACTCCCTGCCTGCCTTCTTTGCTGTACGCTGTTTTGCACAAAGTGCCTTTCGAGATTTGCGGTGGACTCCAATCTGCTCCTCCAAAAACTTCAACTGCATTTGTAATAGTTGCTGAGTGTGTAACAGCCATTCCTCATATTGATGTTGCTCTGCATCATCTACAAAAGTGGTATCACATAAAACACAAGAAATGTATAATATAATAATAAAGAAAATATAAATGTCTGGAAACAAAAACAATATACATACTGATAATTCCTTGGACAAATTGGGGAGGGTTTGGCCTCGACTGAGTAGCATCACTTGGTTCGCCTTCCTAAAATTAATTTTGATGAAAACATATATATCATATCATATCATATCCACACACACACAAATATAATTGCTGTTGCTTACCTTTATTGGTCCTGAGGAAATATGTCCTGTATCAGTTCCAGGAGTTGCCAGCTTTTGAGCAAGCAAGGAAACCTGTTGCCTGAAATAAAGAAAGAGTAGTCTTTAAACATGTAGTTATTTGAGATAAATAAACACACAATACCTGTTAATGCCAGACGGAACAACCATTGGGTCTGTAAGAACTCTTTTTATTCCTTGAAGAGCCACCATCTTTGCTTTAGCAATGGGATCCAGGATGTCATCAGTTACAAATTTGTCCAAATCTATAAAATGACAAATTATATGATAATATTAAGTCTATATTAAGTCTAATATTAAGAAAACACGCTGTAGATGTGTAAAGAATGATATTCCTTGCCTTTATCAGGAAAAAGATTGTTGGTCAAAGGGACCCGTTTGACTCCAGGCTGTGAGGGCATTGCTCCAGGATGCCCCATACGCATCACTGATTGCTGGTGGGGCATGTTCATATGAGGTTGATTTGCCATGGCAGGAGCCATGAGCCTTTGCTGCATAAGATTTGGCACTCGAGGAACTATTCCTTGTTGGGTTACAATCCCAGCAGGAGGACGATGGTGTGGCATCATCATCTGTGGGTTTGCATGACCTGGTAAGTTGTATGACGGTGCCAGTCCCCCCTGATGGAAGTTGCTGAGCTGCTGCTGTTGCTTTTGTTGTTCTTTTTTCTCATGCTCCAAAAGATCTTGTATCAATAATGGAAGCTCTCCATCCAAAGAGCTGTCAACCTTCGCCAAATCCACAGCAGGAGACTGTCCACCTACGTCAGGCAGTCCCATGGGATCATCTGTAATATCTGCATGTGGAGTCTCTGAAGCAAAAGTTAGGTGATCACTCTGCCCTGTGAGGGGATATGAAATCCCTCCTAATCGAACAGAGCTAAGAGAAGTCTGCTGGCTTTCAGAATGAGACTTTGTACCACCGAGAAAATGGACAACTTCAGTTTTCACATTGACCTGACCAGAGACCTGCTGCCGAGAGTCCAGACCCTCCACTTTCACCTTGGTGACATCTGTGTTTTTTGCAGATGTCGGATTGAAGTTGCCATCAGTCTTTGAAGAGAGGTTTTGCTTATGTGACTTATCTTCTACTTTAATTCGTGCACCTGAGGAGGTCTCACTTTCAGCTTCAACCAACCGCAGCTGGTCTGAGAAAACATCCTTGGGGTCACCCTGGTCCAATTCAGGATCTGTGTAAGCCAACAGATCAAACTCATCACTGTTTAGCAAGTCATCGAGATGTGGATCATTGGCTTCGAGATTATCCAGATTGCCCAAAGCATCATCCCCTTTATCGGGATCCAGGTCAAGAGCAAGATCATCCTCATCCTCAACACCAGCATCACCCCCAGAATCTCCCAACCCATCCAGGTCTGCCTCTGGTAGTTCCCCGCTGTGCTCATTGGCCGACGGAGTGACTAAACTTGGCTGGGGAATGGAACTTACAGTTGAAGAACTTGAAGTCACGGCACTTGTCATCTGTTGAGGCATCAAAACAGATGACAAACTGTTCACATTTGGAGCAATAGGATGCTGTTGCACATATGGTGCAATCATCTCCTGATGGGGAACAAAATGTCGTGGTCTTGGTTGTGGTCCACGTGGCATAAAATGTGGCCTCATCAGTAGCCTTTGAGAATTGTGTCTTAATTCAATGAACTGTGGTGGAGGGCCATGACTCTGCAGGCTTTCTCCTTGTACTGGGTTGCCAATATCCTGCATGTTGACAGGGTGGTTGAAATTATGCCTTATGCTCATGGCGTCCATGCCTGGTTGCATGTTTCTATGTGGACCTGCACCCTGAGCCTGCCACTGAGGCGGCAGGGGTGGACGAGCAAACATGCCTGAAGGTTTAGTTGTTCCAGGCAGCCTATAAAAGCACAAACAATTATTAATAACTACAGTTGTTGGAATTATTATCTATATTATCAACTTTGATTACTGGCACTATCCAGCCTAACTCTCAAACTGTATGGGTGTCAGTAACTACTGGTTTATATAAGTAGTGGGACAATACATCACCACGATGGAATTGAAATTGAACAAAAGATATAAGATGAGCTTTCATTTATGGGGATCATGGGGGAATTACTTGTAAGTTTTGTTTTCAGGAAGTGAAATGCTGTTTTAACACAAAAACGTTTTTGGAAAATTCAAACATCTGGCGCACCAGCGTTCAAGGGCACATGAAATGCATTACAAGAAAGGAATTGACAAAAAGTGAAATTCAACAAAACTTAAGATTTTTTAACCACCATGTACCATGCGTACAAACAAACCGGTCGTCCACAGTCTAGATAAGAAAGTCGTCTAAAATCCTACGTCGCCACTTTCTCATCATCAGCTCATATACAAACTGTTCACATCTGAACCCGTGCAAACACCTTTTATCTAAAAGCCTCACGGTTTTTGTAATCATGTCTTTGAATTTGTTCCATAACGTGAAAAGTCACACCTTGATCCAGATTATGGGGCTCGTTAGCGCCTCACAATCAACAGGGAGTGAAATATAAAGTTAGCGTCCCCTTTTCTACAGTTGATGAAGGCTTTTGGGATGTTAAATAAATATACATAGTTTTTATATATTTATGCATACAATATTATTTTATTACACACAAATTACTGTAAATTACACTATCTCCCATGTGCTTAGTGAGTGCTCACAAATTACAATCAAAATGTCTTTTTTTGGATGCATGTACAAATATTAGGTGTACATGCATCAAAAATATCACTCTTGATTAGAGCCTCTAATTGGTTGTTATTACAACAGCAAATTTAAATACCCATAAATTAAAGCTTTTTTTCCCCCAAATCAATGAGACTAATTCATATTCAAAAAGGACCTGCCAGTTAAAAATGTTGAATTAGAAATTAAACAAAAACAGTGTGGCACTAACCGTACTGCACTGGAATCCATGATTGGCAGGTTTCCCATTTGTTGGGGACCACTGGGACTCTTGGACACTTGTGTTGAAACGGTTGGAGTCACAGCACTGACACGATCCTGAAAGTCACCATAAAACACACAAAACACAGTCTCTTAGGTTAATAATTATTCAGAAAACTCACATTGAAGTGTAAAACTAAGGCTGCACAATCTATCAAAAAAATATTGTTATTGGTACATGAAAAGATATGCAAGAATTTTCATCTATTTATGTATTCATTTCTTTTATGCGCACTGTGACGATTCTGCAGTGATAAATCTGCGACCTAGTGCCGACCACATGCTAGAGAGGAGCACGCAGAGAAACAAAACAAGCAGATGATTAAGAGACAAATGCAGAGAGGAACATGCCAAACAATAGTCGCTACGTCAAAGGGAAACAACAAATCTCCAGAGCCGTACCTCCAGCACAACCACAAGGTACTTTATACTGGGTATTTACAATCTAAAACTCCACAGCCAGCTCCAGTCAAACGAAAGGCAAATGCGCAAATGAGCATTAATGACAGTTTTGCATCTGTAGCTCCTTATGAGAAACCGTTGAAGCAACAAAAAGCTTTAACTGCAGCAATTACGCAATATATAACCAAGTGCACACTCTCCGTTAATGCTGTGTGTATGGAAATGGCAACTTTAGGCAAGATTTGAGGTTAATTTGAGGTGCATTTAAATGCAATTAATATTGCGCTAAATTTGTATTAAAGATTTTTCTCTTGCGGTTTAATGTAGATTGCATTTTTAGGTGAAAGAAATATTGCTATAATATTGTTATCGAAATACTAAACAGCCAAATCGAATGTTGATTTTTCTTCCAATATCGTGCCAAGTATTGTATCGATTACCTGTGGATAAGGTGGCGGTGCTCGGTTGATCCTTTCTGACGTCTCACCTCCAGACCAACCAGGAGATGTACTGCCAGCTGCTGCAGCAGCCGCCTCCTTTTTCTGAATCTGTTGTCGAATTAGAAACTCCCGCAGTTTCTGACGCTAAGAAGGGCAGGGGATCTTTTTTTTTTAACTTTTTTGTTTAAAAAACAAGCCAAGGTGCAACAATTAATATAACAACAACATACCTGTCTGTGCTTCTCAATGTCAGAGGGGCTTAATCCAATCAATGCAGGGTCTTCTTGAGAACCGTCTTGGGTACCGTCGTGAGAGCCAGACAAAGTCGTCTGAGGAGATGCATCAGCAGGCCGCAGAGGCACCCCATCTTGAGAAACAGCCGCAGCTTGTGTATGGGGTTGATGAAGCTGTCCCTGATTCACTTGAGTGTGCTGTGGTGCTAATGGATGAACTGAATGGTTTGGACTACCACTGGGGGGAGCCATTGATGGTTTACCAGAAAGAGGATCTACTTGACAATTGATGGTTTGATGAGAGAGAGGCTGATTAGGATGTGGAGAACCTTTGTAACCTCCATTACCCTCTGATGGTGACGAACGAGGTTTATGTGTATTAGAAAAAGGATCTCTAGATTGAGGCCTGGATGGGGGTTGAGAGCCTGGGTCTGGTGATTGAAACAGTGGAGGAGCTGGTGACTGAACTGCTTCGTTTGAGAGACCACCAGGAGTGTGAGGAGACTGGGAGCTTCCCTGGGACTGAGGGCTGGAGGGTACCCTGGAGCACAGATCCCCCTGGACTACATTTCTCTGTGGCAGTGTGCCGTCTCCAGATTGAGGTCTTGAAGTGAGTGGAGACTGGCAATGTACCTCAGTGTAAGGATTAGAAGGAGATTGCCTGTAGCCTTCAGATGGATGATTTGGAGATGCTCCCGGCTGAGAGGGACAACTATCGCCTTGCAATCGAGGAGTTAGGGGTGCCTTGAACAAGCTACCAGCAGAGTCAAGTATGGCAGCAGGGGTGTTAGCGGTTGAGTCTGGTCTCACAGAGGCGGCCCGGGGGGAGGTAACACTCAAATCAGCTCTGTACTGTCCTTGGCTTGCAGGCGACACAACCAATGTTGAGGGAGATGGTGAAGAACGGAAATCATGTCTCCCCACTCCTTGCTGAATCCTAAAAGGATCCCCGTAATGCGAATTGTGAGTGGGAGAGAAAACAGAGGGGTCTCCATATCCTTGTGAATGAGGACTTTGTGGAAGTCCTAAAAACTCCTGAGAACCATGCTGAGATTGTGACAAAAGAGACTGGTGCTGCTGCTGCAACTGTGATCTAAAGTAAGGATCAACCTGCTGAGCCCGTCTAGGGGTTCCTGGGGTTCCTGGTTGCATGTCAAAGGGGCCGAGACTGGCTGGCCGTCCCTGAGGAGGACCCAGTGGGCCGGAAGAGGAAAAACCTGAGGAAGAAGCATGCAATGGACTTGTCCCTGAATGGGAAAATTGCGTAGATGGGTGAGTGTAAGAATGGGATGACTGTGAAGGAAGCCTTGATAGGGGATCTGCCCGAATTTCAGCTGACCCTGGCGTTTTGACGGGTCCATCCGAGAAAAAGACAGAGGATGAACCAGAATCAGGGGGATAAGGGAAAGGGCTTCCTGCTGAACTGGGCTGAGAAGAAACAGAGGTGGAACTTGAAGGCGGCGGGATATGCAGGTGTAAGCTGGGCCGTTCCCCCTTCACCTGACCAGGCTCAACATTAGCAGGGCGGCACACTTGAATCTCTGCTTGCTGTATCAAATGAACAAAAATAATACTTTAATGAGCAATGGACAATATTATAGACTACATTAAAGTCACAGACAACTCACTTTTTGTGCCTTGTTGATTCTCTGAGCAGCTCGATTATCTTTGGCCTTTTGCTGTAAGAATTAAAATGAATTACTGAAAGACAGAAATTACTCAGGTGTGTCCTAAAACCACACAGATAAAGTTTTGTGTCGTTGTGATAAGGTTTTATCAAACAAAACAGATCAATGTCTTTTCTCCCTGAGCATCATTAGTACAGTTCTGCCTGTCCATAAATATTTTATATACGTTATTGGACTCCGGCCAAATATATACTAACATTTAATGAGTAAACCATGGCATACATTCAGTATTTCAATTAGATCTTGACAGAACTAACTATTTTTTTTAACTAAAAAAACACAAACACTTTGCAATTGTAGCATTAACATTTGCAGGGTCATACAATTTTTGATTTAATGACTCTACCCAGTCTTTCAAAAAGGAAAACAAATACGAGAATTACCAAGTATGGAACTTTGTCAGCAGCAGACACCTTCCTCCAAATTTTCATGATCTGCTTACATCGACTTGTCCAGTCTGTGGGAAAATGCAAACGAAGAATAATATGAAATGCTCATTGTGTTGTTGAACATCAAAGAGCTGTCCAACAGGAAGGGTGGAAGATGCAGCAGGATGGAACACCATGCCACAGTTTGATCTTTCGATTTTACTTCCATTTTTTGAATAAAAAAAAAAAAAATGCAGGCAGTCAGCTAAAGCAAAACTTGTATTAAAATGTGTAACATTGAAATAAAAACTAGCACAAATAGGCCTGCAGTTGTTATATTATGTACATATACTATCTAAGGGGTAAAATCTGTTCTCTTGATTTAGCCTTTAACCAAAAATGGTTGTGACCCCTGGTTTTGAGAGTCATACATTGCTAGAAACAAAGGAACATAAGAATAGTCACCTGGATAGTCTTGTTTCAGAGTAGGAAAGTTGGTATTGGCATAAAGCACAGGGGAAATGGTGGAGAGTTCCCCTAGTTCCTCATCTTTCTCCCAGCGTTGTAGACTGCGCTGATTGTAGGACAGTCCATCTCCCTCTGCTTCAGTAGGAGTGGGGGGTGAGGATGGTGTTGCTGGTGTAGAAGGAGTAGCCCATGGACTTTCATCCCCACCATCTGGACTGAACAGCCCACCACGGTCACTTAAAAATAAACATAAAAACATCATATTTTAGTTTAAGAATACTTTCATTATCAAAAATTAGAAAAGCAATACCGCATGTCAAAAAACGGTGATTGAGAAAGGGCAGGAAAAGTTTCCACCATTCCAGTTGAGGGCAGAGACCCTAAAAAAAAGAAAAAAAAAGAAAAGAGAAATCAGTACTGAAGAACAAGCAATGTTACACGTACAACAATTTATATACATTACCTGAGAGGGGAGCTCGATCTGACGTAGCACTAGTGAGTTCTCCCTTGTTGCCCTCTAAAATAGGCTTCATGCTGCCCAAAGAGGAGCCCTCTGACACTCCCAGAACCTTTTTGAAGAACTGTTCTGAGTCCTGATTTTCCACTCCTTGAGGAAGACCTAATAAAATTGGCCAAAGAGTCAAAAAATAATCTAGAAAATAAGACATAATGATCAGTAGGTTTTGAATAACTTACTTTTATTTTTCTCTGCATCCATGTTTTTAGAATGAGATGGAATCTGTTCGTTCATTGATGAGGGGAACGGTACTCCTACAAATTAATACATCATGAAGTCACACTTTGAGTACCAAATTTATTTAATTTTTATAAACAGTAGTCACAATATTTCTGCCATTGCCAGAAACAAGACGCGAATTTGCTTAATGGCCACTCCAAGGTGGGGAGAAGAAGCTGCTGCTGCCCCTTTGGGCATGTGTCGCTGATCTGGTAGTCACAGACTATAGGTTCATTTTCTATTTATTTTTGACTGAAAGTCATGTCAGCGTGCACACATCATCAGCAGGATAAATGCACTTGAAAGACATTTTGGATTAGTGATAAACTTAACACACAGTTCAGTGCACGTGGGTATAATACCCTTAGATCATGTATATAGATTTCATACGTTTGAGTTATTTATATAATTCTAAAACAGTATATCAAAAGAAATGTTGGTGCACTTCATAGCTGCGTGAGGAATGACCCTGGTCAACTAACATTTGTAGCTTCTGTTTGCCCTAATGCGCAGTGCCCCATCTCCCATGTGCTCTGCGCAGATTGTGCTAAACGTGCCACAGACTTGTGTGCCTGCGTTTCCTACAACACACACTAGGTGGAGGGAAACACTTTGACTTGCAGATTTAAAGGAGAACTTTGAGCGAACCAGTGAACAAATTAAGCCAAACAAATGTCATTGTAGCATCTGACAGTGACAAATTTATAAAACATTAAATGTTTGAAACTCTAACTATTGAATTGATGTTTTTCAAAGTAACAAGTGTTTTAATCTTGATTAATTTATCCATTGTCAGATTCTGATTCTGGTATAATCATAACCTAAGGTAGATTAAAAGGGAGAAACTTCACTTACCTTCTCCCTGAGCTTGAGGAGTGCCCCATTCCTGTTTAATGGGATGGTTATTGATGATACCGTCCTTTGTCTCATCTAATAAGTATAAAGATGACAATGAATATTTTCAAAGTGAATTTATCACAATGAGTGGGGTCTTACGTTCTGGTGCAGCCATTTTAACACCAGACTCTAAAGCTGAAGGGCGAACATGGCATGGTCGAGGCATCATCGCAACTTTTTTACTCAAGTCTATCAGTGTCTTGCCAAAGAAAGCCTCCTGCAATAATCAAAGAATAATATTGAAAATGTTGAGGGCAATTGTTAAAATGTTCTATAAAAATATAAAAATTAACCTGTAGATAAGCCGGAAACATATCCTCCAATTTGCTTTTCTTCCGACCTCTGCGTTTTTTGGCTTGTTCCTCTCCATCCGCTGGTTTAGGATCCATTATGTTGTCAGTGTCCGCATGAGGTCCTGTTATTTTTCACCAATAAAAAATGTATACATATTTTCTTTACAATTGAATGTATCTGGTAACGTAGCATTAAATCCATCTGGATGCTGCATATACAGTAATTACCCTCTTCAATAGTTCTCTCAATTGGTTGTCCATCTAAAGTGGTTTCTCCAGCCAGCTGAGCAAAGAATTCTTTTTTCAATCGTGTGTGACATTTTCTCTGTCTCACCATGAAACCCCCTATGCCTGTAGATTTTAAGACAAAAAATGATAATCATGCATATAGTGCATACCAAGAGCATGCACTAAACAGTTATTTCTTACCTGGCCTATAAGGTTTACGCTTTCTCTTTTTGCCATCTTCCATCTCTTCAGTTCCTTTGAGAGCATCACATTCTGTAATGCCATCAGGACCAACATCAACACCTTCTCGGTCGGGACTCCCGGGATTCTCCAACTTAGAGTCACAGTCCATGGCCTCCCCACAAGCTACATAAAAGTTATGTTAACCCCTCAATAATAGGAAATTGTAAACAAAATTGTAAAATAAATAAATGAATGTTTACTTTTCACATAATCTCCTTCACCATCTCCCTCCTTCATATCCAAGCCATCTATGCCTCCATCACAAGACAGCGTGCCAAGACGTGAGCGCCTTTGACGTCTCTTATGGAGGGGGGACATGGACATGCTACGAAGCAAGGACATGCCTGACTCAGTTAGCCAAACTCCCTCCAACCTGTAGAACTGAGGTTCTGCAGACAGAAAAAATTATACATGAACTAAGTAACTTACACAGGAAAAGAAGAGAATATTTACATAAAAACGTATACATGAACAAACCTGGCTCTTTTAGCTTTATAGAAGCCATGATAGCAGATTCCACTATCATAAAATGGGGGGAGAAAGGGCAGTAAATTCATAATGCATCTTTAAAATGTGACAAAGAAAGTGTGTGCCAAAAGGTTCTGAAATCCTCACTTACCCACTGGCTTTGGAACAAATGGAGAGCAGGATGTGCAGGCAAAGCCCTCATCAGAGGCCTGTTCCACCTCATCTTCTGTGTACAGACTCTCACAGACAGCATGCACCCATCTGCAAAAAACATGAAATACATAACATTAGGTTTTTATTTTCCCTATGAAGGCCTTTGTGCATTAGGATATACCTGTCACAGTACTGGCATTGCAGCAGCAGCTCCTCCTCCATAAAATTGTCTTTGCATACTGGACATGCAACAAGGCTGGCACAGGGGCCACAGTGGTTGTAGTTATTCTGCCACTCACAATGAAAGCCTGGCGAGTCTGCACCACACTGCACGCAGCAAACACACCTGAACACAAGAAACCCAAAGTTAGAACATGAACGTAAGAAGTAGATGAAAAAGAATGAGTTGCTCATGTTGCTCATGTGTGATGCAAATCTGGTGCTGACATTGCATATTTACATATGCATGCAAATGTTGGCAAGGGTTTATTTAAATTAGAGAGATAAGGACCAAAATGCAATATATACATTTATTTTCATTCTTACCATTTGCACTTCCAGCCTCCCTTGGGTACAGTGTGCAGAGGGGGGTCTAAGCAATAGGTGTGGTAGCTGACATCACAGTCGTCACAGAGCAGCAGCCGGGAAGGGTCTGAAGCCTTTCCACACATCTCACATACAATGCATTCTAAACAGCGCCAACCCTTACGAAGCATTGTTTTTGTGATCTATAAAACAAGATATATTTATTAAGACATCCACTACTTGGCAAAATATGATATTTGACTTACTTTACTGTTTACACAGTATGGATGATAACACTGAGAACATTGTGCACATGCCAGGAGCTGCCCTTCTACACCTTTTCCAAAGCTGCCACATACGACACACATGTCCTGAAATAAAAAATAAAAAATAAATTACGATATTGCAGTGACATAAATTAATTTGAAAAAACAAATGAACAAGTCACACCTGAAGCAGGACAAATTTATCAGTGTTAGAAAACAAAACCACTGTGTTTTGCATGCTGTCATCTTCTTCATCATCTTCCTCCTTACTCAATCCTGTGTCTGTGGTCATGCTTAGCTAAAAAAAAAAAAAAAAAAACATTTCAAAATATGAAAAACAAAAAAACCAAGCACATCGAAAATATTTTTAAAAATAGTAAAATAATGTTCGTACCAAAAAGGCATCAATGCAAGAGGCCATTGCTTTAAGGCGCGATCTTCCTCCGCGCCCCCTGCCTGAACCACCCCCACGTGGACGACGTCTCCCTGGAAAACCATTACCACGCCCCTAGATATGCATGTGTGCACACACACACACACACACACACACACGAAGATAATTAGATTTTTACTTTTAAAATGCCCAAGCAAACTGAACTGGCATTACAATGGTAAGGTGTCTTGCCTGTTTGATCCTTGAGCGTCCTGGAGAGCCTCTGCGTTTTGCTCGCTCACTTCTCGTTGGCTCAAAGGGGAGGGAATCATCCGTTTCAGTCAAGTTATCAGAGCGGGGCATGAGGTCTGGCTCCCCAGGTGAGCCCAGAAAACCACTACTGCTCTCGTCACCATGGCTCATGTTGGACATCTCATCCAAAAGAAGCTCTGGTTTAGCCACAGTTAAATTCTGCTTGACGTTGTCTTCCTCCTCTTCATCATCATCATCTTCGGAGTTAAGCAGTCGTGATTCAGAGTCTTCATCTTTTTCATCTAACGAAAAAGTCTGCAAATCATCAACGCCCATTCCTGAATGCTTTGGAGGAAACGTATCCATTTGCTGTGGCTCCACCGCACAGTCATCCGTATAATCCATGTCCATGTTCTCAGAATCAAGGTTTGATGTTTGGTCTTTGTCATCTTTTCCTTCTGAACCCCTTTGCTGGCTTGTTTTAGACTCCAGACAAGAACTGTCCCATTCTGTTGAAGGAATATTTATCATTAATATTGGACACAAAAAATTATTGGGAACACAATGCTGATTTGAATAATTGCACTTACTTGTGGTGTTAATTGCATTGGTATAATCATCATAAATGATCCCCTCAGTCTGGGATGACTCATCCATAGGTTTCTCTCCGAGCACTGATATATTGACACATGCTTCTGTGCCTGTACAAAGATTTGAATCAACATGGTTCTAGGGATTATATAAAACATGCAAACATACCCAGTGCTGTCTGCTTTTCACTTTCAGAGTGACCCAAGTCTGGTTCTAGCCGATTATTCCCACATTTGGTTTCTTTTTCAACAACGTGCGCACACACTTCACCACTTTGATCAGCTGTGTGCTGATGATCCTCTTTACAAAGTAAGCAGATGTACTTTTTTCCAAGTTGATTCGGCTTTGAGGTGCACTCCCTATGTACCCATCTAAGAAGATTTAGAGACCGTTAGTATGTATGCATAATAATTTGAATTGTATGGGGCACTTATCAGAGTCAAGATGAGATTCACCTGTGGCAGAGCACGCAACAGCACTGAGCAGAAGGATTTACTGTTGTACTGCACACACAACACACTGAAGTCCTATCCCGCTGACAGTCATCACAGATAGCATAGTTGTCGAACCACTGGGCAGACCCTGGGAGTGCTATTCCCCGAACCCCACACTCTGTGCAAATGCGACACCGCTGGCAAACGAAACGATATACTTCAGATAACTTGCCATTAGAACAATATCTATTCTGATTTTTTTCTTACAAATAAATAAAGCAAATTTATGAAAAACTTTGTTATATAGGACAATAAAAATATACTTACTCTGCATTTCCATGGATCGGAGGGAAGAGAATCCATAGCTGGCTGAAGACAAAAAGTATGGTAGCCCTTATCACAGGCATCACACACCAACATTTTGGAATCTTCTCCAGGTTGCCTACAAATATAATGCTTCAATGTAATAAGCGTAAACAATCTAAAATGTGCAAAAAAATGGTTTGCAGGAAAAATAGACAGTGTAGTACTGATATGTTTTCAGATTATACCTGCAAGTCTGGCACACTTTACATTCTGGGCATTGCCAGCCAGCACGCTGAATGGGTGTTGCAACAATTTCCAAACAAGCAGCATGATAATGTAAACCACAACTCGTACAGAACAATAAGTCTGGTAGCTCCCCAACAGAGTCGCACACGGCACACCAAGAATCCTCGCCAGCTACAAGTACCGAAAAGACAATATTTAAAATTACAATAAAATCATTAGACATCTTTTCCTAATATCAAGAGAATAACAATATGGTTTCTTACCCAACTCCTCTGCCTTGTCTATATGTTGTGGACAAAGAAGTGCAAAGTGTTTCATGGACTGGAAGGACCCACTTGCAGCAGAACATGGGAAGTGATAAAACCGTGAGCAGCCCTCAGCATGACAGCTGATGGTTGCGCCTAGCTTTTTGCAATAGTCACACAACTTTATGAAAAGAAAAAAATAAGTTTAAAACACAAAATTCCCATCACGGTTAAGAGAGAAACTTTACCCACCCGCTGTGTCCCTGAGATAACAGCCTTCTCCACATTCTCAAGTTTTTCATTGTCCACCTGTTCGACTCCCTCTGACCATACAGCACACCAGTGATGAACCCAGTAACCCCCTGCACATTACACAAGAAGGAAATGAGAACAAAACATCTTAGAAGTTTACAAAAGTTTATTAGAAACGTACTAGAAGAATACATGGTAAGATAATTACCCGAGTCATCCAAGAGTGCCGCCAGACATATGGATTCAGAAAATCCTATGGAAGACAGGTCATCATTTCCGGGCTGTGGCAGTGAGGAAGCTGATGGCTTGCGGGGTGGTTTTTCTGCAGATGGCCCAAAGTGTCTCAGTTCCCGCTGCCCATGCAAACTACGCTCAACACAATTGCAGAGAGCGCAAGCTGGACCGCTGTCACTGTCCAAAATAAAGTGAGCGGTTAATATTTACAAATAAACGTTGTTGATTAAGATAATGATCCATCGTTACAGTGATGAGGAGCTAAGTGTTGATCCATCCACAGCCCGTAGTGCTGTCGACACCTTTTCAGGGAAGACACAACGCTGATCAGGGGCATTTTCATCAGCTGTTGCACAAATTAAGAATGTGTCATTCTGTTAGGATTTTATGGTTATGCCACAACACACACACTTCAAATTGAGACACTTACATGTTGGTTCAGAGTCATTTTCGTCGCAGTTGGATTTTTGCTCCTCCATCCCCTGCATGGATTTTGACCTCCCTGACAGAGATCTGGGAATGAAGAAAAATCTTTTAGTGGAGCACAATAATATTATTTACTATCCAATGTGTATACAGTTTATTCTTACCACAGTGCTAGTATATAAATCAATTGCAATAATAACCAGTTTTACATAGAATGTGAGAATGAGTCAAACCAGTCTGCAAGAAGACAAAAGATATACCAAATGAAATGCCACGTTAGAATGAGTATCCAAAAATGTGCAGAACAAAAATTATATATATTAAATTAATAATAAAACCATAAAGAACGCTTAACTTCCGCATGCTGTTGTAGTGGTAGCGTTTTCGTGTAAAACCGATATCATTCACATAGTTCCGCTGCTAGAATCACTGAAATGATGCTAATGACGCGCTACAAACTGTATCAAACGGTGCGGAACCACCATTTTATCCTAAACAACACAGTGCCATAAGCACACGTTATGCACCTACAGTCTCTTCTAGGCTTAGCTGCACAGATAATAAATAATACGACACCCACCACGCTGCTGTCCCAAGACTCATGCTAAAAACAAGAACAGATTAAAAATGTAGCATTGTTATTTTAGAGAACACTGAAATGGAACACATTTACATAGCATGTAATATCAGTGTAATTACGGCTACTGTAGGTATGGTGTGCTGGTGCACGTTTGATTTTGACATTAACGTGGAGGGAGTTTTTAACTTTACTTTTGTGACGTAAACCAAGGAACAGATTAACCAACCTATCTGTAAAGCATAGTCAGCAGTAATATGTTTCTACATACATTATGTTGGATACTGCACAATACAACAATAACGCACTCGATTAACAAATGCGTTGAGCACTAACAAAAAGGCCTGTGTCAAGTGCGCAGTTTTGTCAGATTTACAGGTAACACTTTGCTTTCCGAACTCAAAACTGTGCCATCTCAATGATCTGAGTTTGTGTGAATTAAACCCCGTTGAGCTAATGTTAAATGCATCTAACAGCAAATGGCTAAAGTGAAACAATGATATCGTTGGAGATGAACGCGTTACAATAAGAGAAAAGGAGACATGAAATCTCCCCAAGCTAGCTCAATGAACTCAGTTTACATTAGGTTACAAACTGTATTTCAAATGTAAAACGCGTATAATATCAGTGTGCTGTGTTCGTTAGCATTCGTATGTATTCGGTTAACATATTCGTAGCATAATCAGTTAAATAAATATAATTCAAACTACAAGTAAAGCACTTTATAAAAATGTAAACATCGACTTCAAAGATTTGATACTATTCCAGTAAATAGCCTGCCCCATACCAATGGCAACACACTGCTACGGGATGGTAACAACTGCCGATCGTGACGTATCTGCAAAGTGGCCCAAATCACCACAACATTGACATTATCACACCGTTTCTTTAGGGTAGATTACATTTTTCAAACTGTACAATTACTAGGACAGTGTATCACCTGCAAACGATGTGCACAAACAAACAAACACCGAGGTGTTACTAGTGCTCTGCTATTTCTCCAGGAAATAGTCATTCCCCATCTGACAGCAGCTAACGCTAATGCTAGTTAGCATTAGCCTCGGATAGGGCAGTAGCGCTCACATTAGCCGGTGTAAGGTCAGCTTTGGCTCGCGTCAACACTGTTTGTGCTGTAATGTTTGCAAATTGGTGCAACTCACCTCTCATAAACGATGCTGTTTCTTCATTCGTCAGCAAAACCTAGAGTGCCACAAAGCGTCCATAGGACTGCGAGTCGCTCCATTTTGTAAACCGGACTAACGCTGCAGCTAGCCGGCTGCAGGGAGAGTGGGGGAAGTGCACGTCGGCGGAAGGAGGCTGCGAGGCGCTAGTAGCATTAGCATATCATCGTTAGCATTTCGCTGCCAGATTTGTAGCTAGCGCTGCGCGTGCGTGGACGAGCTGTACAGTAACACCATTAGGACAAACACTGTTTCCGAAACAAACACCATAGATTGTTGACGGGAAAGATGAAAGAGTAGTCGACAACCAAAAGACGTTTTTAGACAACATGAAAGGGTAAAATGACAAAATCATGGTTTGCAGTATTTCTCATATTTTTATTAGCAGTATTTATAAATATTATGCATATGGTACATTTGTGTCATTGTGTATTTTTGAGACAGAGAAGATGTGATGACGCTGACGTTCAGCGCGATGCAGATCAGGCATAAAAGATTACCAGCGAGTGCGACTGCTGGAGAATAGCGCCATGCAGATATGCTGAAGTTCTCAAACCAGAGCTTCAATCGTTATGTTTTTCTTATTATTATCAGTTTGATCAGTTTCTAATTTTGAATTCTTTCTTTTCTATTTTCGACAAACAAGTAGCCTAAGCAACTGGATGAAGACATCCACTCCGGGGGAGGATCAAACAATAGTTTACCCTACAGATTTTATTCACCAGCTGTTAGAATTCAACGTGTTTTGCATTCAGTCTGACGTCCTTTTATTTGTTCCCATTTTTTACCAAATTCAACCATTGAGTACAATAATTAATTCAAGGGTTGTCAAATTCACAGCCCATTGTTGCAACATGGCCCAAGTTTAAGGAAATAAACTAGGTCTATGTTCGTCCAAAATGTTATCAGTAGGCATACTTGTATTGTCTATCTGAACATTTTTGTTTTTGACCTACATATTTGTTGTTATTGTGAATATTGATTAATTGCAAATAGATTTACATCAGACCCTTGTCAGGATTAGTTTACTTGCCATTCAGCTTTAGGAATATTGGATTAGATTTTGGGGGCCGAGACTGGCTGCAGGGCCACCTGTGATTGGTCGCGGCAGGTAAACAGAGGAGAGCTTTAGGACATAGGACTAATCCGATTGGTCAGTTTGCAGAGCCAATGTTATCCCATCTGCCTCCTGCATCAAAGGATTATCCCCTGGGATACCTTCACAGATGTTAATCATAAAACTTGAAAATATCATACTAAAGAAGACTTTTAGAGCCAATATAAATATAACGATCTGTAATGCTTATTCTTACAGGTAAAATTGTTTTTTGAAAAACTACATAATTGTTAACATGTCTAGTGTTACCCCGCCAGGGGGCGTACAACAGTCCCATGTAAGACATAAGACATACATGCACACCGATCCTTTAATCAGTAAACAGATAATAATACAGTAGAAGATAATACACAGGAATATATTATAGTACAAAAATATATATCTGTTGTCTCAAAACAATATATGTAAATCAAAAATATACTTTTAATTTTTAACAAAAACATAGTGTTTACATATAAGGACTGTGGCAACATATTTCCTCTTTATTTATTTGTTCATTTTGATGGTATTGTGTGTTGATGAATAGCAGTTCTATAAATACACCAATTGTAGCCATGGGTTAATTACCATTTGTTGTCCCACAGTCACACACACAAACACACACTAATTCACTCTGAAGCACCCGGAGGAAACCTACGCAGACACACAGTCTGGAGGTGTAATCGAGCTCAGATACATTCACTCACAATGTGGGCCTAATCTATTACGAACATTTTGATAAACTTACATTTGTCAGAAAAAAATACCTGTGCAGTGCATTTTGTATGGAACGAAGGGGCTGTTAGTGCAAAGATCAACAGTGCAATACGCTTTAAGGGTAAAATAAGTTTGGGTCTAAAATCACAAATCCAAAATTGTACAACACCTGTGCATACCAGTGTACAGAGGAAGCCTCTTTGCAAATGTGTAATTTCCTTTTAATTTTCAGTCCAAGTAGGGAACTTTGAGGTGTTTGTTTTGAGATAATTCCTTTTCCCTTAAAGAATTCAACGTTCTCGGTTTTGTTTGCAGTATGGTTTGTTATAGATGTCTCTCCCCATAGCAGCTGGTTAAGGTTGAAGAAAGTTCTCATCGGCCCAAAAGCCCAATGTGCCAGTCTGTGGTCTTCCATTAAAGCATAACTAGATGCGAGGACACCATTTACGAACAAAGTGCCTTCTTCTGTTAGCGGCGCATACACTCCAATACTCTCCTCTACTGAAACAGAGTTGATTCGCGATGGAGCAACACTCCCCATTTTTTGAATAAGAACATAGTCACCTACTTTTGCTTTGCTAGAGAACTGCACCTTGTAATTAGTAGGTGGTACTCCCCTGTGAGGGGCAGTGAAGAGCAAGTGATGTGGAGTCAGGGCAAGCCTATGTCCATCCTCTGTCTCCAGAGAAATAAAGGTTCCCATGCTCACTGAATTCCGGTGCAGAAAGAGGATGACTGGGCTGAAGATGACCTGACCTGTCCGAGATAGGGCCATCACTCTGTCCCCCGGGAGCACAGAAGCCAGGGGTCTCTGCTCCCCTCCAGCAACAGTCACCTGGGCCCAGCCAGGGAAACAGCCACCCTTTTCCACCGCCACAGAATGATCTACAGATGTCAAAATTAATATTCATAAGTCAGGTGTTCACTTGAAAGACAATTTAAAATACCTACCAGCTTTTACAGAGCAGTGGACGTGATACTTGGATTCATAGTGAACCCAGTCAAAACCTGCCTCCACAGCCAGCTGAGCAAGAAGCCCGTACTTGTCAGATTCTCTGTCGTCTGTGGTTATATCCACAGCTCTGCCTTCATAATGCAGAGATCCAGAGGGGTGGTGGCCATCTTCATCCCAGGCCTCGGTCACACGCAGATGGACTCCAGGCCACTGGTTCATGACAGCAATGGCCAACCTGTTTAGACAGTCCTTGCAACGCTGGAAATTCAGAAGAGACGCATTGTAAGTCAGAGCTTTAATGATTCAGTGTACACCAACCAGGATTACTAGAAGATTAAGATTAAGAGATCCTTTATTTGTCTTTATTTGTTAGAAAACTATTATAATTAAAATGCAAACATTTATATAGGCAACTATGACATGTGTTTACATAATTGGAAAGCTTATTCTCTCAAGAAAACAACTATATAATATATTTAATTATATGAATCATAATGCAAATAATAAAAGCAATTAGTTGTCAGTCTGCAATGAAAAGCCACTTTTCCAAGCTTGTGCTCATGGTGTAATTATCATCAAATCAAAATACCATATGTAAAATACATATGTAAAATATATAATAATAATAACAATAATAATAATGACGAACACACAACCGCAAAAGATGAGCTAAAAGAAAACTTTCCATAGAGATAAAGACCTTAGAATGGTAAACCCGGAAAAAGGTGAGAACAACGCAATATACAGTGGCCCTGGATCAACACATTGTGTAATATTGGCTACAGGAAATAACCTACACCAACTTATAAATGAGTTAACAACTGACTTAGTCAAACTCAAAAAATGGTTTGATAGAAAGAGATTGTCATTAAAAATAATAGAAACAAAAACTATACACTTTGGAAAACACACCAGGAGGGAACACATTAAAATTTAAATAGATGATAAAGAAATAGAAATGGATTGGAAACGACAATTATCTAATATCCGAGTAAATTTAGTTAAAAATATTGCAGTTATGAGTAGATGCAGATATTTTCTCACTGATCCTTCCCCACATCTGTAATGAGGTGTGAATCACCTACAGTAGTAATCTGGAATTGTTGTTCGGACTCTAAAAGGATAGTTCACAATGTTGGATATAGGGAACACACAAACACACTATTCTTAAAATTTTGTGTCCTAAAACTCGAGGATCTAATAACATTAAGAACTCTGATGATTGTGTATAAGGTGAAGCATAACAAACTCCCAGACCAGATTCAGAACATGTTTGGTAATCGAGAGGGGGGATACAATCTACATGGAGCATTTAATCTTGAAGTACAGTGTAGTCGTACCACCCTCAAGAGTCACTGCATCACACAAAGAGGCCTGAAGCGCTGGAATAATCTTGATAATATTCTAAAAAGCACAACAAGCCTCATTTAATTCAAGAACACTATAAAGGTAGTACACACTATAAATGTGCATATGTATAAATGTAAAATTCTTCTGCTTTTCATTCATTTGCTATTATGACAAATGCACAGATTGTATTGGAGGTAGATGCTCATAAGTTCTTCTACCTACTCCTTTTGAGCAGAAAATATGGCAGTAATAAAAATGTTTGGTAATTAACATTATTGTATGTTGTGAGGTACAAGATAAGATAAAACTTTAAAAGTAAAGGCAACAGAGTCCCTTGACAATGTTTTATTTTTCATCAAGTGTAACTTTTTAACACTTGACTAGGGATACTTGAGTTAAAATGTCAGATGTACAGTAAGTCAAATGCTATGCTGCTGCAGTAGCACTCTTGGCAGAATAAAACATTTTGAACATAATCATGACACTTGTGTCCCAAAATCTTCACAACTACAAGATTACTATCATTCTTTTTTTTTTTTTACTTTTAGAACCATAATGACTAAAAACTGTCACAAAACATATTACTCTTTATGGTGTACTCAAGAGTACAAGAACAAAGCTACTGTAGCCAGTTTGGCACATTCCTCAGCTTTTTGACAGGGTAACAAAAAATCAAGGCCACTCTCTGTCTTCACAAACTGTTTAAAGCATTTCTATTAAATCCTAGTTTAGACAATAAATAAAGAGCAGATGGATTTGTCATTTTAATTGTTATAGGAATATCAGAATTATATTCTGAAGTGATCATTTGATTGTCATATTTGGATGTACAATAATCGACATAAAATAATATAGAAGAAGATAATGTAGAGAACCAGAGGATGGGAGTACACAGAGAGGCCAAAGGGGAGGAATGTATGGGCATGGACTGGGAATGTCACAGAAAAAGTGAGAAAAAGTGGGGATTGAAAACAAACTGGGCACATTTTTTGTGGGAATGCCATTGAAGAGAGGCGTCTCATTGTCAGAACTACAATAGCTGCTTTTCCGACGGTGCCATTACTTCAGCAGGCGAGAATTTAGTAGAGGCGACCTCTCTGAAAGATGCACAAAGAGCATCTTTCACATCTGGGCACAGAAAGGGCACATCTACGCACTCACACACACTGGGCATCAAGGGGACATATATAAAACCACAAAGCCACAAGAAACACAGGCTGACATGTCTAGGTTTAAACCGCAGTATATAAAATATACACATTTAACCATAGGCTGCATGATTGTCTTGAATAGGACACACTCAAGAACATTGATTAACATTGAAAAATTGAATGGTTCTGTGTGCGTGAGACTAACATCACTCACCTTGGTCATGAAACGGTCAGCGTTGGTGTTCTCTTCATCCTTGAAGACAATATCTGGATTGTAGTTGCACACCAGTTCATTGAAGCGCTCAGAGCTCCGAGTGATCTTGCCTTCAGCTCTCCCACTGGCACCAAGGTTGTTTTCTGAAAAGTTTGGGAAAGACTGCTTGTAGTGCATAGCCGTGAGCTTCCGGGGTCTAGGGCGGATGCCATAGCCGGGTCCTGGTCCACATCCCTGGACCCAGCAGGTAGAGGTGGTCCAGAGAGCAAGGAGGCTGAGCTGTGCCAGGGGCATCCAACAGGACTGATGCATGGTCAGTGGCTCTCACAGAGGCCCCAGGGCCAAGGGCGACACAATGTGTGGCACAGGCTCACGTCTGGATCATTCTCAAGCAAAACACTACATTAAAACGACACCAAGACATTTTAACCTGCTAATCTATACAAATATAATGAGTAATTACAATTCTTTTTTATCTCATCCAGTAAGTCACTGGTGAAGTGCTGTGACGTATTGCAGCTAAGTTAGTTAATAAGTAAAGTAATAAACACATACCTCATTTTCCTTGATGATGTAAGGTCCAGGTTTGAAGTGTTGGCTTTATTGCTGATGTGGCCAAATGTTTCTGTCGAAACACGAACACCCCTTTTATGTTGCTGGGAGTGAACAGAGTACTTCTATCCCATTCGAGCGATCCTGCCACCTTACACCAGCCATTGGGTCTTATTAGTGCACTCCGGACCAGTTTGCCCTCCCTTCCTTTGCACTTGCACTGAGCGAGAGCACACGCCTCCTCCTACAATACAGGGCCTACATGCAACCCTCTCTCAGCCCGTAATGGCATCTTAGACAACTCATTTATCTAAAGTATCTTAATACAGCCATCTCAAGTCGAAGTTTCTACGTTGACTTCCTGGTTGGAAATGAGCTACAGATATGACTTAGACGTGGTTACCATGGCAGCCACAAAGTAAACAAGGCCTAATCTGAAGTGTTCATTTTTACAATAGATATGGAATGTCAAAAAGAAAAATGTGACATTTATTATTATATCGTTGAATAGATGAAAATGAAAACTTTTGGCAGAATAATCTGGGCAGCGCCTGGTTAGTAGTGTGATGGGAGACCCATGTGACACGGATGGCGGATGCTGAAGACAGCTTCACCTAAATGTACAGAGCGAATGAAGAGTGCGATTTATGATATAATATTTGTACTATATGTAACACATTACTTTCATGACTTTTTTGATGTTTTAAACAGTTTCTTTTTCATTAATCCTTTATAACAAACGCTCACTTGACTTCTGTAAAACTACTACAAATATCCAACAGGATTTTTTCCACCACTTGAATAAAACAAAAAAAAAATGTAACCCAACACTTGAGTATTTAAACTAAAGCATGCTTATTTCTCCTCATGAACCTGAGGTTAAACATTCCCTAAATTTGTACTTTTCAAGTTTTACTTAATTGGTATTTCATATTATTCAGAACTTCTCATTACATTAATAAAACTCTACCCTGAGCCCTGGTTCATTCTGCATTGCTAAACCAATCAATTTAAGGCTTGTCAAGAAGCACACATGTTTAGCCTTGACACCTTTGACTGTAACTGTCGTTTTCCTGTGTTTGGGGAATCAGCTGACCCCTTTAACCTTATGCACATCAAGTCTTTTACTTAAGGGAAACACCTTGATAAATAGCTTATCTCTGAGTCTTTACTCAGGCCTAGTCTTTGCCAAAAGGGTGAGGTGGGCTTCCCAGTCCCGTCTATGTTAAATAATGATCATGTTTTTAATAATATAAGGGAGAAAGTAGCTTTTCTGTTGAACTCTGTCAAATATAGAAGTAGTTACTGAACTATAAACTTTATTTGTGCCGTTCTCACATGCCTAAAATGTAGGGACTGTCCTTGTTGAGCTAAAAAAGCATTTCGACCTCAGGATGTTGTGGGGAGGGGTGGTGCAGCAAATCTGCATCTTCCTGTCTCTTAGAAAACATTGGGGGTCTTTCTCAAACACAGATGAGAGATCTCAGTGGTCATGGCAAATGTAGGCGACATTTCAATCAGAAAAAGCAATAAACAGTTTCATTACTGTTTCTAAGTGTACAGAGAGAGCAGATTTCCATCTCACATGAAAGGGAAAGGAAGGAAGCAACATGTGTGCCTTGAAGATATTTAAATCCATATTATAGGCTTTGTTTTGGGGAGATTTGGTGCACCATCCTTTGGCCTTCCCCACGCAGCGTGCTTACAGCATGTCTACTCCTGTTTGGGAGTACATGACAGGGTGATTGCTTGGGTTTCCTGAGTCTTAGTAGAAAGACCTTTTCTTGTTAGTTTAGTCTATCCCTTGCTTTTGGCCTGTCATGTGGTCATACTCTTAACAACATATTTGAAAGATGAATCATTGAACCATTTCAAAACAAATAGGGTGTTCTTAATATTGCATTTGCTTGAATTCTTATATTTTTTAGAGGTCAATGAATAGGCTACAGCCAAAGAAAATCTTGTATACTGCAGCAATTCGGATGGCTCTAAAGGTTTGTGAATGTGACTTCTGTTCAAATCATATACATGATCAGTTCCATCATTAACACCAAAAGTTATATTTAAAAAATAGTCTCATACAGACCGCCTAAGATTGAAAATCCAACAGACGAGAACATGTAACCATCACAAAGAGTGAAGTTCAAAACTGCACAATAGACTGAGAAGGGTGGGACATCCTGTATCAGACAAAAGGTTAAAGGTCATGTGTGATAGCATACATTTGAAGAACAAGACATAAACATAACCTATATTACCTCTGATTTTATATATTCACAAAATAAACGTAACTTTGCCGGGATAGCCAGGACCACACAATTGTACAACACTTATCGATTATTTTCAAATACATCATTTACATGATTATGAAAATGACAATACAGAAGGCCCTGGAAGGTCCGTAAAGTTTTGTGCCAACAAACTGTGTGAAGTGAGTGTGCCATGAGTGTGCAGCCTGATTACAGGCAGCTATGGCAAATGCACTGGCAGACTTTTTATCAGTTGATTAGCAAACTAAGTCTCGCCTTTTCCTGAGAGGTTCTGCATTTGTGAGCGCACATGCAACACTGGCTAATGCACTTTGGCACAGACTTCAAACAGACGACTGTCAAACTAATCTGTGCCTTTTCCCCTTCAATCGTATGTTTTGACAATAAAGATAGCCTATCTCATCCCATTATGAGACTTTTGTCTCCTGCCCTGTCCCTGATATGCCCCACCACCATGTGTGAGAGCAGACCCACTGAGCAGTTAGTTTGGCTTCATTAAAGCTCTCATATTGGCTTATATTCATTCATCTTTTTATTTGACCATCCATCCATCCATTTATATGGATCATATATAGATTATACCTCGTCACATTATGAATGCCAGATAAATAAAAAACCTTTGTTAATTAATTTCAAGCTAAGTAATGACATGCAATATCTACTTTATTTCTTAACTATTGGTATTACAAGTTTGTGATGCATTATTGCAAAAAACAAACCTAACAGATTATGATCATATACAACACCCAAGGACACTGTACAGGACATAATAAAAACATTAAAAATAGGAGTAACAGAATAAAACAGTTGTGCAGTATGGGATGGTGGGTAAGTGTGTGTTAGGTGGGATAGTACAGTCTGAACAGATGGGTTTTGAGTCTGGATTTGAAGAGTGGAAGAGAGTCAATGGTACGGAGGTCAGGGAGGAGAGAGTTCCAGAGCTGGGGGCAGAGTGGCTGAAGGCTCGACGGAGATTGTGAGGGTGGAGGAGTATATGTGGAATAATTTTTTTTATATATATATATATGATTAAGTTCCCCAGAAGTGATTACAGGTAGAGCTCCTCAAATATCCCTTTAGCAAAGGAAGTACAATCCAAAACAAAGATACACAGCTGAGGCTAAATTAAACATAAGAACTGTAAACAAAAATCAAGAAAGGCAAATTAATCAAGAGACTGGCTTTTCTTGAACTTCAGGACATTTCAATGGAAAAGAGGGGAATAGAAAGAGAAGAGATGAAAGTGCAGGAGGTGGGTGGACGAGAGTCACAGGAGAAATGATGACTGAGAGAAGGCCTCAGCACTGCCTGATCTACATCTCTATCTGGCACTTGCATCAGACGGGGAAAGCGTGGGCACGACTCTAGTTGCCGGGACAGGGTCAGTGTCGACAGAATGAAACAAATAATACTTTATTCTGTCCTTGATTAAAGAACCAAACGACTGAAAGAATGTACTCACTATGACACATACTCATGGCGACACACGTGTGTGTGTAAAAGGAGATAATAACCATAAAAACTGAAAACATGTTTATTTAACATTATGCTTGTACATACAAGATCTATTTGTCAGAGCTTTAAAAAAGTAAACAAGAAACTTTTTTCCTTTAAGAACATTGCTTTTTTTCCTTTTCCTTTTACCTCAACTTACATTCAATACTTAACTATGTAGTTGAAATAGATTTCTATCACAAAATCAAGATCTTAAAATAAACCTTTGGCTTCCCCAAATGTCAAGAACAACTAAAAAGACTCCCACAGTGATCCAAAGCAGCAATAACTAAAGTGAAACAATAAAATACACTACAGTAAACCTGAAAGTGAGGTGTGGGGATTTCAGGCACTTGCTGGATTGTCCCACAGATATATCTGCTGATACAGCAATAATGACATCAGTGACAAGTCACTAACAACAAAATGGCAAGAAAAACATAAAATACTTTCCCATTTTGTAGATATAAAAATTTGAGCTCTTGTCTTACAATAATAGTACTATTTTACATACATTCTTTAACACAATTCTCAAGTCGTAAGACAAGAGGATAAAAAGATTTTGTAAAATGTAATACATGTATTCACAATATTGCACTGTCCCACAAATATTCACAAAAATGCAAAAGATTTTTTCCTGTCTGCTAATCAGTTATTGGAAAAATCTATAGAAAACAAATATAAAGCGTCATTACCTCCATGTGCAACTGGCACTGGCAGTTATAATTCATACTCACTGTAATGTTATATAGGATATGGATATTCTCTACACAGTCTACTAAATCTGCTAATTTTGTACAGGAGAGTTTTTAGAGTCTCATTAAATCACAGAAGAGTGCCAAACACACACCTGCTCCTAAAATAGTGGTATCACCCTTCCAAAAGTGGAGGGGCCACACAAAAACAACAGTGCACTTACACGGCAGGAAAAGGAAGTTACACTCGCTTCACTATGTCATATTTGAAAATAACTGCAGACTTTCACATATGAACAGCCCATCCCCAACAAAGATAAGGCACCTGGTTTGGTCATTGCACTCTCCATTAAACTCTCTGGTTCGACAGAGTGATGGGAGCTAGTTCTCCCATCACTACTGCACCAGTCACTAGAACAACTCATGCTTCCACTGGTCCGTTTGCTACGGGTCAGAGCAGAGCTTTAAAAGCATTTTGGGATTGCTCGGTATTCCAGGAGAAACTTCATTGCAAATGCTTTCTGGAGAATAACACTGATTTAGTATCGTAATGGATACAGGTCATTGTATTTTTGACAGTCCACTTGCTAGGAGGAGTCTGAATGGCACTGCTGAGCGAGACACAGTTAAAGGCAGTTTGTGGAGACCTGCAAAAAAAAAAAAGGACAGACTTACAGCATTTTCAAACTAGAACAATGTCCATTGAAAAAATAAAATAAAAATGCAAGTAGTAGGCACTGGTACAAAGGTGGGTGTGTCATGTGTAATGCCAGATTAATGTTTATGTTGGGAGGAGGGGTGTGTATTTAGCAGCAGGAGGTCCAGTCTCATGTTCCCCATGGGGTCCCAGCAGCACTGTTCAAGTCCCTATACCCTTTCCTGTAATAATTGTATTCTTTCTATCTGAGGAAGAGTGTCCAGCCCACAGGGAAGTTGAAAACTCATGATGACAGTGAGCCAATGACAATCGCCCAACAGACAATGACAACTTTGTTGTAAACTTACCAAAGGCACGAATGAGTTCTCTCTGTACGGCCCAGGTGACTGTCTTTATCAGTGAGGCAGATGTGAGCCCAGCAAACATCATGTTGTACAGAAACACAATGTAAAAGTTCCCAAGCCAGTTATAGCGACCAAAATCTCCAAGTAGATCAAAGCGGGTGATTCCTACAGGAAAAGTAGAGGAAAAATGCATGTGGTCAGTGACTAACATATGCCCCCTAATGGTCATTTCTAAAATAATGTGAAACATTTTACACTTGTGGGAATATTATAGGTTTGATCCTACCAAGAGTCCGTGAGAAGACGGGCAGTGCTGAGCTTAAGATGAGTAGCGACACGCAGTTTCCAATCATCTTAAAACAAACAATACAGGCAAATAAATCCAGAGATAAATACTTTCTAGTCTATTTGGAGACGCATGAAAAGGAGAAATGTGCCACCTGGGTGAGGTTGGTGTCCTGAGCTCGTGGAAGCAGGCTTGTGAAGAGTGGAGAGCAGTAGAAGCCCACTACTGATGACACCATGAGATAGCTGACACACTTGTTAACGATCAAAATAATAAACGTTACATAACTCTATATGACAATGGTCATAGAAAACACGATCATAGGTAAACTCTGAAAATGAGTCAAATCCAATATAATTGATGTTTACATTAAAATAGGATACAGTATGAGGACAACTTGAACAGCAGCACCCAGTGAACCAAACATGGAAAATGAGGCCCTCCCAAGATGAGGATCCTAAAAATTAAATGGGACATTTTAATAGTTGCATGTCAGCATACTGGCAAGAAGCAGTTGTCACTTACATCCATTCCTCTTGGCATAGCCTTCTCATCAAACAGCAACTCCAGCACATTGAAACAAACCATGAGCACACACATGACCTGTATATAGAAATGAAAATACTAGATCAAGGTCAACTGAACTTTTGATTCATATCTTTATGTATGAATGTATTAGAGGTACCGTCATTCCTAACAGAGCAAGCATTGCAAGTGGATAGCCCAAATTTCGTTGCCAAGGTGATGCTTTCCGACGCTTTTCTATAAAAGTAAAAAAAAGATTGTACATAGTTTTTCATTCCCCTGTAGTAGACATTTGTACAGTTGTGTGAACTAGGTGCAGCTGCACGGTCAAGGTTAGCATTTATACTTGGTAATTTATCTTTTGTATCAATAAAGTTGAATCTTAGACATAATAGCTCAAACAAGTACAATTAAAATGGTTTGAATGGGCAAATACTAAAAATAGATAACAAATGAACAGAAGACTAATCCTTGTACCTAGAGCAATGCGCTTATTCTGGACTGTTTGGTATTCCCTTTTCACTGTCTCCATGTCCAGCTTCACCCAGCATGATGTTCTTCCATCTAAATAACACATGATTATGAAGTAAATCAAGAAGACACAGTACAAAAAAAAGCAGCAAAAGTCTGCATGATGCTTTCCTAACGCACACTTAATTTGTCTAGACAGAGTCGCCTCTTCAAATGTAGTGCAGTCCAAAGTATCTTCTATGTCTTCTAAAAGCTGAGGTTTTTAGAAGACAAACCATTATTATCCTTATGGGAGGGTATACAGGAATTATTTTCATCATGAACCAGTACATACTCTTGGCTTGACCAACAGACTTCCAGTTACGCTGAACATACGAGAAAGTCCAAATGGGGTACACACTGCAGAGAGAAAGATGAAGTTCTAAAATGTATTCTGATTACTTCATGTACAAATTTAAAAAAGGCCTCTTACACAGAAGTAGTAAGACGCCACACAGTGAGATGCCCGAATAAAGGTATGGCAGATAGTAATCCCACAAGTCTAAAATTTAAAAGAATGCAAAAGCATGAGGAAGCAAAGTAACAAATACCTGGCGTTCATATTTCTGTGACTCACCGTAGAGGCTCTTTCTGGCAATATTGTCATGAAGCAAGGCAGATGCCACCCAGAAAATGCCCATGACGAGCAGAGCCAGCAACAACAGGAGGACCACTGCCTCGTACACCCGTGCCATAACACCCTACCAACAAACGGGCATAAAATAGTTCTGAAAGTAGATTTTATACAGACTCTGGAAATAACTTTGGAATATATGGTTACCTTTTTTGAGCCTGCAAATCCCTCAGACTCAATAAAGAAGTAGGCAAAGGGCATAAGAAAGACCAGTGACAAATTTGAGAAAAGAAAGACTAGGTTCCACAGGCCTGGGGCGATAAAACAAAAAACAGTAGATTTGTGAGACAGTAGTTCCGCTCTTGTCCACAAGGAGGCAGTATCATAGTGCAATGAGGAAAGCGCCACTCATTTTTTTTTCAGCATTTCAAACTCAAACACATTTAACATGAACTTTTCGCACACACACACACACATTCTACACTAAGGGGAATACGTAATAGTCATTTCAATTTAAACAACATTATGAAAACAATACAACAATAAATGTCACACATACACACACACACACAGTGATTTACAATACAAGCAGAGACAAACAAAGCAATATTCAAATCAATATTAACTTTGTCACAATGGATGATTATAATTGATGGTTAAGATCAATAGGAGCTATTGACAAGGATGACAATCTAGCCTCATGTATATTGTAACAAAGTTCATGAAGTAATTTGAACTTTTGATAAATAAACCCATTACCACGGATGAGTGAGCCATTGAGCCACTGCATGTAGTAGCTGTGTGGGAAAGCAAGCAGCACTTCGTTGGACAGGATGGAGATGGGGAGCAGGAGCACAGCGCACACAGCCACAGACAGTGTGAATGTGCACAACCACAGCCTGAAAGGGAAGCAAACAGTCACATGCATGGAGCTGGAAACATAACCAGAGCCATGGAAAAAGGCTAAACCAGCGTGTCAGGGCAAAGAACGAACTGCCACCACAGGCCTCATCAGGCATAGTCTGTGTGTAACCTCGTCAAAGTAGCACGAGCCTTCCACTCGTGTCAAGATCACTGAGGCCTTCACTCCGCAATGACACCAGCAGGTCAGTTAATGATTACGAATACTTACGCAATCTTGTTGACAGTGGCATCTTCAGCATCATCTGCAAGACACAAAGCAACATGAAGTACAACCAAGAAAAAACATAAGGATTAAATTGCATATTAGACCATCAGTTACAGGTGCAACAGTCTTATGCATTTATTACGGTAGTCTATTCCAGCCTTTGAGACAATATAACTAAACACAAACTACTTTGTGTTACAACATAAGTGCTTGCACAGCTGTTGGGTTGCAGTCCTAGTTACTGCTTCAACATATCTAAAATGTGCCAAAACAAAGCACTGTCTGTATAGACTTTTATGGTAAAAAAAAATAACTAAATAGCACTTCTTATTGATAAAATCACAATCACAAATCAACATATCTGACCAGGAAGTTCTATATGACGGAGCATTAGGCTCGTCCAATTTTCTTTTGTTTGCAGATGCTATGAGAATAAACTCATGTTATTTTTATTTCTAAATCAAAATATTATGAGAATATAGTCAAAGTTATATACAAATATTTGAATCAATTCCCCAAGCAGGTCCGCATGGGTACGTGCTGGGGGGAAATAGTAATATAAAACCACTGCCTTGAGTCCAGTGCATTTTATACCATAGATCGCAATATAGAATGTTTAACACTACAATATAACTTGTGCCTAACCCGAAAGAGGGCTCATTTCGGCGTCATCTGCGGGGTGGATGCAGCAGTGAGAAGAAGATGCAGACTTTGGGGACCACTGTGGACTAATGCGCTTTGGCATAACGTAAGGGTACGTACATATTCAAGTCCGCTCAGAAATGAACATGGGACATACAAGGGAAAAAAGTGTGTATGTTAATGCTGCAGATGAACAGTTGGTGGAGAGTTTAGAAGGATTGTTAGTGAATAATGTGAATATAGTGACTGTGTGGTTCGGCAACATCATAGCCAACAAAAGGACAGCTCTAAACAAGGTGCTCCGCTCTGCAAAGAGGATTGTGAGTTGTGAGATTCCTGTTCTGGAGGTTCTTTATGACTCAAGACTCTTCAATCGAGCTCTTAAAATAATCAATTACTCTTCTTTCCACCCTGGAAAAGCCATGTTCCAGCTTCTTCCTTCTGTCAGAAGATATGATAGAGTGAGCTGGTGCACACTGGTCATAACAAATAACACCAATATTAAACTGGATCATCACTTGAGTATATGAAAGCCTAAAACCTATCTAAAGCTTCTGGGAAATCTGGATGAGATTATTTAACTGCTTTGCATGATGGTGGTCTTTTATCTCATAATATTTTGAGTTTACGCTCATAATATTTTTAGATTAATCTCATAAAATTGTGACTTTTCCTGCTTTTACTTAATTGTCATAATATTTCTACTTTTAGGTTAAAATATTATTACTTTAATCTAAAAAAAAAAAAAAAAAACAGAAGAAATGAAAAAGCAGTTATAAGCTTCAATTGAGAAAGAAAATGAAGGCCATATGAGAGTGAGAGTGGCCAGGGACGAGGGAGTGAGGGGTGGTGTGAGGAACACTTTGTACAAGCATGAACCATATGAAGAGGAGGAGCTCAAAAACCAAAACCAAAACATCTAATACTTTACATAAGTTTAAAGCCATGAGCAAATGTGTCATATGCAAAAAAGCATTCAATGCAAGTAGAGACTCATATATTATTTTCATTTGGGATTTTTGGCTTGAGGTTAAAAATATGATCACAGTTTGATGTTGCACAATCCTCTTAAGGCTGCGAGGCACAACCGCTCTGCTGTTGCTAATGCAGATGTGACACAAACAACAGCGACTTCAATCTAAAAGGGAAAAAACGGGAAACATCTGGCAATGTCCCCAAAAATGCAACTTCAGCCAAGACTAATGCCTGGGCCAGTTGGATAAGCAACATCTGGTTGCAATAGTGGCATTCATTATGTAATGCACCAAAGGCATGTATGCCGCATGTTTACAGTCTCTTTAACCAAATATGTTAAATTATTGAAGTTGTCGGGGACAGAATTGTGCATACTCTTGACTTTGCAATAAGAAAAAGAGTGTCTTGAAATTAGAAAGTGAGTTTATGATGCTCGGTGGTTGCTTTCAGTTTTTTAGACTATTAAGAGCTTGAGCTAAAATCTTGGTGTTTATCTGCACATTCTTTCCCTCCCCTCCCCTCCGCAGCCCTGTTCAGGACAGCGTCTGTCCAAATGCAGGAGGCACAGGTCACAGGTTACATAATGTTCCTGATAGGTCTTGGATCATAAATATATAATGTATGGGTCCCAAGGTTTTGTACGTTCTCAGGATGGAAAATCAGTTTAGACATGTTCCTGGTGCATTAGTGTTGTAACTAAGTATTTTGAGAAATCAATAAATACAGCGAGAATTCATCTGAATAATCGATTAGTTGGGTCAAACTGATATAAAATATTGTACCAACTTTCTAAACAGAAAAAGTTTAAGTAAAGTCATCGGTGGCCATTCAGAAGGAGAAATGTACACTATTGCAACAATATTGTATGAAATTGCTTCTGTGTGTTAAAATTACACATCTGAAGTTCCTATCAAGAGCAGTTAATGATTACTAAAATATTAGTAGATTATTCAAAGAAACTTTATTAATTGTTACATTGTTGTATATCATAACATAAAATGCATATATTGTAATACAATGTCCTCCTATAGGGCACTGTGAATACATTTGTTTTATACACTTACCGGTGATGAACTCCGCTGCCTTCTTGAAATGGGTGAGGATGAGGTAGGAGAGAATGTACAGGCAGGTAAACAGGAGGACACAGATCTGCAAAAAGAAAACAGCATTTAAACCACATCATCCAGCGTATCGTCTCACTTAACAACTATGAAAGACAATCTACTCTGGTTACAGTCACACTTTATTTGAGCCATGAAGTCAACAGCCCTGATTGAAACCAGTGATAACCACAGATTTTTGCAAAGGAAACTCCTTTGTTATTGTTTGTACAGATTAAAGAGTAAGAGTAATGGGGGAGGGGTAATGCTGCAGATCTGGGTCCAGCAGATCTGGGTCCCTCTCATATTTAGGTTAAATCAAAGTCTCACACAAGCTGTTGTCTGGGAAGTTTCTTAAATCTCTATTGACCTCTTGTGCTACAGCATACAGCAATCGTTGACGTAACAATGCCAACAAAAGAAAAGTCTAATGAACAATTTATAATAATTATTATTTCAAAGAGCTACCTTTCTTTTGTGAGACTCATTAAAGAACTGTTGATTATAAAAGCTTGTATAGGTATTGCATTGCAGCATTTTTTTTTTACAATTGATAAAAATAGAAAAGACACTTGCCTGCCTGCCTAAGACGAAATTTAACAAGTGAATATTTAGTCTTGGAACCATCCATTCATTTTTGCACAGGGCAGGTCTGGGGGCGCTACAAATGTCTATGCGAGTATGCGTCTACACGTATGCTGCTATCGAATCAACCTGAACCTCTGACAGGAATCTGACAAGAAGGGAAGAAGCAGAAAAGACAAATGAGTGAAGATGTCTTTGCGGCTTCTGCCTGTCGAATAGTTTATTGTTTATAGTGAAGAAGATGACAAAGTCTGGACCCTCCCAGGTCTTTAATTGGTCCCCAGATCCATGCAAATGTTTCAGCCTGAGTTTCCAGGCTGTTGTGCAGTTCAAAACGATTCAAGCATTCCCAGGCTTATAACACACAATTAGCAATCTAACAATGTAACTAGAAGAAACCGAGCCAAAGCACTCACTTTATTAAAAAGCGCAAAAGCATTTTGACTCGGAATTCATTAGGGCACTAAGGTCCATGAATCTGATAATTTGCACAACCGTATCCAAAATTCCATGGGATCAGTGTAGTTTAATCCTGGAAAATTAACTACATTTCACAAACTACATGTCATCATTTACAATCATAACATTCCGTCAGGTAAAAATAGAGCCTGACCTAATAATATGGGGCTTTCCTAGTGAAGAAGATGACAAAGTCTGGGATCGTGTCTTTAATTCAGACAGAAGACATGTTTTATTGTCGTTGGTAGAGACAGAATGCAAGTGTATTATAGAGCATAGAGGAATGAAGTCCTCCAATCAGCATTTGCCACAGTGCAAGTAGCTTCAACCTTGAGATAACCAAAACATGCAGTGGAAAAGTACTGGCATATGTTAGAATGATGAGTTAGAACTTAAACCACAGTTGCTTCAAAGTGTCATGAAATCTCTAAACTAGTAAAAAAAAAAAGGTTAATATAAAAATAAAATGAAGAGGTATTTTTTATTTATGTTACAGAAAGTATAGTGTATTTTTGTTAATATTATCCTTGTGATCATCTAAAGTGGTATTGAGCAACGGCTCTTGTTCCTTATTGATGATAATAATAATACGCCTGAAATGTTGGTTACAGCATTGATGAAAGAAGGAAACTTTGTTTTGACTTTCAGTAACTTGACAAGCACACACACTTGAATATGCTAGCATTGAGAATGCTGTGTGCAGGATCAATGACAATCAATCTGTTATGAAGCTCATGGAACCAGACAACTCGCCTGCAGCAACAACGTCCGCGAACACAAAGAGGCCCACTGAAGAATGACAAATATGTGCCAACATCACAGGTACTGTAAACACTATAGGTAATGACCTCATATGCAATATCTCACTTACATATTTGAAAAAGGACCATCATTTGAGTAAAGTTTGTAAGTATCAAAGAGCTTTTTACAACAAAATAGGGACTTTTGTTTTTCTCAACAACCTTTTTATCTCATTAAGTTCCCAAAAATACAATAACATCCTTCTGTCGCTGATGATCTAGTTCAGAATGAAGACCTTTTTCACTGCATTAACAAAATTGCTAAGTGGTTGAAAAGAAGCTTTTGTCAACTAAATAAGAGAAAATAAAAATGATAACCTAATAATGACCCAAAGCCAAAAAAAAAAATTAGAGTTTCCTCCCCAGAGTTGCAAAGCTTAGAGCTAGGGTGAGGAGCTCAGTCACATGGGAAGGGCTCAGAGTAGAGCCGCTGCTTCTCCACGTTGAGAAAAGCAAGTCAAGGTGGCTCGGGGTCTGCCAGAAGGAGACCCCGAGCAGACAACCAGAACATGTTGGAGGGACTATGTCTCTCAGCTAGCCAATTGTTAAAAATTAAATCCTAGTGATGTTTATCTCTATCTTAAGGAATTCATAGAGTGCATAGTTGAATTGAAATAGTTGGTTACTTGGATACATTGTTTACAACAAAAGTCACTTCATTGGCCTCTCTCCAAACTCAAAGTTTGTTTTTCGTGGCTCACCTTCCAACATACTTAAATATATTGTAATTACAACTGCAATGGAAACATTCTATACAAGTGAAATTTTATGAAGATTATTGCCGGCATGCTTGGTAAATGAACATAATTTTTTAGGGCTGTAACAAGTTACTATAATAATCACTACTAATCAATTATCAACCAATTTAATCATTGAACAACCGTTTTCTGAACCTCACATAGGCTTTAACATGCTGAGAAGTTGTTTCATGACTCAGACAATTCTATAATGACTGCAGGTCATTAGTAAAAATTATTCAAAGTACTATAAAAACTAATAATGAGCTTTGTTTTGGCCAAATATACATGTATAAAAATAAAAACATTCATTCACAGATTTAAATCAATTAGTTGGCCAATTATTATTTTTATAATAATATATAATATTATAATATAATTTATTAATCAAAAATAATAATCGTTTGCCCATAGTGTATAAGGCATGGCCCAAGCTGATGGCAATGTAAACACTAAAAAAGGAAGATCACCAAAAAGACTCCAATGTGCAGACATCAGCAAACCAGTCCACTTTCAAGTTTGTAAACAAAAAGATGAGGAAGTAACCTGTCCAGATGTGACTAGGCTCATGTGTTATTTCAGACATTTTCCCGCCAAATATGTGCAAGGCATGCACGTCTAGTGATAAACCACCGTTATAAATTTGAATCATAGTGCAGGCTTCTCTATGCCTTTTTGTTATTTTAATAATTTAGGAAAGTATATTATGAATATTCATGAAAATTACACGAAGTGAGCAGGAAATTCATGAGTATTAAGAGTTTATTTTGCCTTTTTTAATACAATGGCATGTATTTTTGTGAAAATACTTGTTTGTGTGACCTGCTGGTATGGGGTTAGTTGGACTAACAAAAATACTCAAACGTGTTCTCCATACAGAGTAATCTACACAATGTAGGATAACAAAATGCATTATGTTGTTTATAATTATAATCATTACAACAATACCCCTCTCTGCAATGTGTGAATTGCAAAGTCTGTGGTGATATATTTCCATGAGTGGTGTAAGTGGAGTTAGGGTCAGACTTAGAAGCAAGGTCTGATCATAGATATAAGTGGAGCCTTATTTGACCCACAATGCCCAAATCCAGTGTTGCAGCACACAGATCAAATAAATTCATAGTTTAGATGGTTTGCAACACACTACCACCTTTAAAGTCCACAATTTTATGTAGGCCATGTCTTTAGTTTAAATAAACTCCACTCGAGGCATGTTCTGTAGTGTTTACCGTTTGTTAACAAACCGGTTGGACATTTTTTGGTTGTTAGAGAAAAGCAGCAGGGCAAGTGGTACTACTTCCAATATCCTGAGCAGTGGATGCCAGGTTAAACTGTGGTTCACCTTTAAATGACAAGATTATGTGTGTGTATGTGAGAATATATTTGTATGTGTATTTGTGTATATATGTCTATTAGGAGTGCAACGGTTTGAAAAAAAATCACAGTTCGGTTTGTACCTCGGTTCAGAAGCCACGGTTTGGTTCATAAAAAAAAAAAAAAAAAATGTTTTGTCATTTTAATAAACACGGCTCATGTGGACTCGGCACCTGCAGGAGGATCAGTGAGGGGCTGGTGCTCTGTGTACTGGGTGCAGCTCTGACTGCCACCCCCTGACCTAGAAATGAATTAAGGGGAAGGAAATGGATGGATGGATGGAAGCCATATTCCATCCATCCATCCAATTATGTCTTTTTAACATAATTAATGAAAAACAACACAAAGTGAAACATAAGAAGGCACTTAACCACCTTCCTGATTCTCCCAAGGAGGCGCTCCATTCTGGGCCCAGCCCAGCCTCATTCACTGCATTTATTTAATTTATACCATTATCAATTGTGACTGGGATATTAGTACTGGGCCTTTTGTCTTCCATCCTCCGCTGCTTTTGCGCTGTGTGCCTGTGTGACTTTCGTAGAGGGGGCGTGTCTGCAGTGCCGGACTTTTCATCTCCCAGTCTGCTGTGATAAAGTGAGCGGTTATCGTAACATAGCTCTCCGTTCCGCTCATGGATCTATTATAGGTTCCGGGGGACGTCCAAGCGTCAGTCGTGAGCGCAACTGTGGATGCGCGGGAGAGTTGACTTTAGTCCGGTCTGACTGTGCATAAAAGGGCTGATCGTTGATCCGAACGTATCAGTGATGAACCGTTGCACCTCTAATGTCTATATGTATATATACACAGTACAGCCCAAAAACTTTGGACACACCTTCTCATTCAAAAGAGTTTTTTAAATTTGAATTACTATGAAAATTGTAGATTCACACTGAAGGCATCAAAACTATGAATTAACTCATGTGGAATTATGTACGTACTCAAAATAAAAACAACTGAAAACAAAACAACTTATATTGTAGGTTCTTCAAAGTAGCACCTTTTGCTCTGATTACTGCTTCACACACTCTTGGAATTCTCTTAGGTAGTGACCTAAAATGGTCTTTAAACAGTCTTGAAGGAGTTCCTAGAGATGCTTAGCACTTGTTGGCCCTTTTGCTTTCACTCTGTGGTCCAGCTTACCCCAAAACCACCTGGATTGGGTTCAGGTCCGGTGACTGTGGAGGCCGGGTCATCTGTCTCAGCACTAATCACTCTCCTTTTTGGTCAAATAGCCCTTACACAGCCTGGGTGTGAATCTACAGTCAATAGTCATGAAAAGAAAGGAAACTTATTGAATGAGAAAGTGTGTCCAAACTTTTGGTCTGTACTGTATGTGTAAGTATGTGTGCGTATGGTTATATCTGTATTGGGGTGGGCGATATATATGGTAGACGATAATATCGCAAAAGTGAATAGGATGATATGCTTTTCACATTATCGTCAATAAAAAATAAAATAAAAATCCATCCATCCATCCATTTTCTTACTCTTAATTGATTTCTGCGTTGGAGGCCTGGCAGTCAGAGCTGCACCCAATTCACATAGCACCAGCCTCCTGCAGGTGGTGAGTCCACAGGGGATGCAATAAAAAAACAACAAAAACCCACTTTTTCTTCTTTTAAACGAAGGAAAGCATAAACTAAGGAGATGTGGTAAATTTAAAGTCCCGTTGGTGGGATCTACGAGAAAAAGTTTATGTGTGTCAGTATGTGGAGTTCAACTCTGGAACAGCTTGGAAAACCATGTAAAAGAATGCAGAAATGTACACGTTTAAAAAGAAATACAAAGAATGAATGAGAAGGAGGAGGTGTATAGTGAAAGGATCCAAAAGTTTATACCTTTATTGTTTGATAGTAATGTTCAAGATTAAAAATGACCTTCTGTCTGAACCACTACAGAAACTGTTCACAATCAGAGACAGTCCTTATGAACTGAGAGGAACAGACATGTTCAAAAAACAAAAATGTAGAACTAATGTAATGAAAAGCTGTTTGTCTATTAGAGGGGTTGATCTCTGGAAGGGATGCACAAACGAACTTAAAACCTGCAATTCACTGTACCACTTTAGAAGGATGTTTAAAACTATCATTTTGGATGGCTACCTGAACTCAGATTTCTGATGTTGATATAGTTGCAAATTTAAATGCTATTGTTTACATTCACTTATACTAATGACACCTGTAAAAAGGGTAGGCAATATAAGCATTAGCTTCAGCCTACTCCTTTTCGGTCTTTGTTTCTGCTGTAATTTACTATCCTGACGATGTGTAAAATGCACAAGTGACCGAAATAAAATAAAAGACAGAAAAGAAAATAGATAAAGTAATTGATTTGATCATTCATTTGTTCTTTCTTTACTGCAGGTCAGGACAAAATTGCCAATAAGAGCTAAACTGTAATCTTCTGCAACCTTTTCAGCACTTGCACTAGAGTTGCAAAACCCAGCTCAGGTCAAAGTTTGGCACAAAGCCAGGGCGAGGTGAATAAGAGGCACTGTGGCGTGAGCAGGGCATCAAGGGGAGCCATGAGACATGGCCAGACGTACAATGGTATTTAACAGGGGGCTGTGTGAAAGCACTAGGTGAAAGACACCAAAATCTATATAAAGAGTCAGCCAAATGCTTAATCCAGACAAATTGGGATCATACCAACTATTGTGTTACCTCATTTGGTCCCTGGTGTGTAATTTAACACGGAAAACTTGACGTATGTGCCGATAAAGACTCAGACTGGGCAATCTAGGAAGAAAATCCCTACATCACTAAATCACTAAAAAACATGCACACTAGGTTAAATCCTGCAGCTCCAGTAGTCCTGACCAAGCCGAGCATCAACATCTGGAGATGGATTCTACGGCGACCACTGCTCTTGACATAAGCCTTAGAGGCATCAGGATGGGTCAAATGCAGAGGATGAATTGCCCTACAGGGATCAATAAAGTGCACCTTTACCTTTTACCTTTAAACCCTTATATTGACCAAGCTGGATTTTCGATTTGATATTTGTTTTGTTTTATTCAAAACGAAATAACTGGAATGACAAATACAATATTTCTTTCTATGTATGAGTGGCATCAGTAGAGAGCCTACTGATGCCTATCGGCCTGAATTTCCTTCTGAACTGTTGCAACATCATTATTGGCATTGTTTGGGCCAAGAGCCGACTTTTGGACCATCATGTAAAGCCTTTTTTGAGAGGAAAGAAGACGCCATACATTGGGTAATTCTTATTCCGGGTACACCCCCACCGGCCCGGAGTGAGTTTGCAAGCATGTCAGCACACATGCTCATGGACCTTTTGGAGCCAGGACCCGCCCCCCACGGGTTCAGATTCAATATATCAGGCAACCAACATGGGTTGCTATGTGGCATGGAATGAACGGGCTGGTAATCACATACTTTCTACAGTATACAGTATGGCTGGGCGATGTAGTACAGTTCCGTAATACCGGTATAATTTAGAGGGACACTAATTTGTGTGTATGGGCACACTGGCGATTTTGATCTTTGGTCTGAGCGGGAACAACGGCTGTGATCATAGCTGTGGCAGTCTTTTCTCAACTTGTACAAAAAAGACAAGCAGTTTATCCATCGATCAATCATAACTCATTAATTTAATTGGTTTTTTTATGTACTGTGCACACTGGGGACTTTTGCAAATGTATTCCAATGTGGTTTTACTGAAATCTCATCTGAATGTAATATATCTAATCTGTTATGCACATAAAACATTGCAAAAAGTTAGAACTCAATTCATCACTAACAGAGTTTCTGCATGAAATAACATTTACTGGTACTATTTACTGTATGATCTATAATGATGCTTTCAGTGCAGTATGCCAACACACAGAAACAGCTCTGTGTAAAACATGCGACGTAATTAGGCTTTGAGTAGTTATACAAAATAACAATTTAATCGCAGAATCAAGCATTTTAGTAATCAAATACAATCTTTATCACAAATAAATCATTTTAGCCTTATGAATACAGTTCTGCATCTTGAGGCTGTGGTCTCTGGTCTGTTCCTGATAAGACACCTATCTAGCTACAAGGAGTGCCCCTTAGTAGAACATGGAATCTCTCTTTTACAATGGCACAAATGAACACTGATATGATGTCAATATGTAAGGCTGAGGGTCAAATTCCACGTGTCCTGCTGAATCATCTCACAAGTTTAAAGTTCATCTGGAAATCATGTTGCACAAATGAGCTAACAAGAAAAGAAAGAGGGAAAAAAAATCTACACAGGATGTCAAAAAGAGATGTCGTTTCCTCTGTCCAGATCCTCCAGAATGCAGGGTAAGCCAGGTCGTCCTTATTCAGCGATTATTTAAAATGGCAGATAAAGATGTCTCTGATGTCACCTCCCCAAATGATGGTATCCAAAGCAATTACGCACAACTGTTCGCACTAAAGTCACGCAGTGTAAAAGTGGGTGGCATACGTGGCTCGCAGAGAGCGTGTAAAGCAGTCTATGTAACTGTGTATGTTTCCTCAGACCCTCACATGTAAATCAGCAGCACTGGGGGATACTCACAATGGTTTCACGGACGCGGTTGTGGAAAAGTTGCTCCCTCAGCGTCACTTCGTCCGATTCCATTCTTTAAAAAACATTACAGTATCTTCTGACTTAAAAAGTAGAGATGCCATGCAAAGTTACCGTTCTACAAAACCAGTCATTTTTGGAGACGTGAGCAGCTGGCTAGCCCGAGTGGATTTAGACGGCTAACCGCGCTGCTACAGTAGTGATGAAACACAAACATTGACGGGGGCGTGGGCGGGGCTAAAAAGAAACTGGAAGGGCGTTGCGCGCAGGTAGCTGTCAATCACTCACAGTGTGGCTAGTTTTTGTAATGCTGGGGCACCTAACTTTTTTGTTTAATAAATGATACATGCAGTTTGTCTAACAGTAAGTTTTGTAAAAGTGAAATCTTGTGAATAAATCACTCCACAACCTGCTGTTTTCATGTAGATAGAAAACATATTTTGCATACTTGTATGTCCCTGTGAGTCACTATTTGGCACTTCACTTTGGGCTGAGTTTCACTTTTCTGTCAGAAAACGCTGATATAAAGCTGTGGCAGGGGCCCAAAATACATGCATGTGAAAACTAGTGATAGAACCAAACTGTTTTGGGAGCAAGGAACCAGTTACAAGGATTTCTATTACATACATAGTTCCCACATGACGTCACTACATACGGGGATTTGCCGACCCGGCGCCATTTGTGTTGGCATGCTGTGGGCAAAACAATAGAAAAAGAAGCTGAAACGTGTTAATGTCGTGATAAAGTTGAAAATGGTCATCTCCTGCTGGGTCAATGGATGTTCAAATCGTGCCGGAGGTTCCGTTAAACTTGGATTTTACAGTATACCCATCATTAGACTTCATGAATGTGAGAAGACTAAGCTTTTGTCAGAACAACCACGGAGGTTATGGCTTGCGAAGATAAACAGGCAAGAAACTCCCTCAAAACACGCAAGAATATGCTCGGAGCACTTTGTGTCAGGTGCGTATCGTATCTCATAATGTGTTGACAGACGTAATTTACTCAGTACTAACTTGTGTATGCTGATATCTGGTAACTTGAGAGTTTCATTATTTAGCGTTAGATTACTTTATTATGAGGAGGATCGGTGTCGCGTCCGAGGCTCTCGAGGGCAACGTAAATGTATTAAATAGATAATAATAGTTCTATGGTGGGCTAAAACAATGTTCACAAACAGCATTGCTTCTGTAAAAAGATCTGTGTCATAAAATAAACTGTTCTTTACGCCTGGAAAAATCAGTTGCCCACCATTCACCAAAACGTACGGTCAAAAACGCGGAAATAAACAATAACAGCAATCCAGAGTGTCCGTGTGGCATTAGCATTAATTAAATTAATTGTTAATATAATTAAAATAATTAAATGGAGCTCCAACTGGTATTAAATCAAAAGGCTTTGAGAAATGTTTGCATTGCTTGTTAATTTTTGCTGCATAATTTGATCAAATATGTAAAACATGTCCGTAGCACGTTAAACTGTGGTGCCATTGTATTAATATACAATTATTTGCTCAAAAGTTGCCCTTTTTTTTCCAATTTGCGTTTGAATATCTACATTTATTCTCATTCTTCTGTTTAATGGAATGCACAAACACAGCAGCGTGCCATCAAAGATGGCGTCTCGGAGGAGGTCATGTGACATTCATTGGTCTGTGGGAACTATGTATAAATATGTAGTTAAGGTATAGGTTAGGTGCCCCAGCTTTAATTCAGTGTCTCTTATAGTCAATGATTGCTCCAAAATATGGTGAAACGAAAATATGCCAATAAATAGTGAATTTTAAGTAGAAGATTATAAAGATAGACTTTCCTCTCTTTCTAATGGTGTATCACGCACGCTTTTACAACTATATCCACTTAAAATAAGTTTGGAATTAGAAATATTACAAAGGAGGAGTCATAAGGCCACCTTAAAAATCTTCTCATTTGTTTCTTGCTCTATATCCCAGATTGAAAATGTAAGTTTTGAGTTGACATTGAGTTGCATTTTATAATAAAGAAGCAAATAAGCCTGATGAAAATGATTCAAGCATAACTTAATACAATAGGTCTGGCATGTGCCTCCTGTGCTGGCACCCCCCGCTCCCAAACATAACAATTGTAAACCGCTTTGAGACTCCGACCCCGACTGCAGTGAAAAGGCGGTATATAAATAATGATTACTTACTTACTTACTTACTTAATACAGTAAGTGATCTACAGCGACATCTGCTGGTTACTTTTAAGTTACACTTGCTCATTTTAATAGTCTAAATAAATCAGTTATTTCACCCATAGACTGTAAATATAATATGAAAAGTGGGAGGGGACGTGCCTCGAGTATGAACATTTCCTTTGAAAGAGTAAAGACTGCAGGCCATATTATCATGTGTTACCTCAGATGACCAATCACCTTTCAGTCATTGTCTAAATCCAAAGTCCATTCAGAGTTGCAACAACCTGAAACAAAACTAGCTGAATAAAACCATGACAGGAATGCAAAGATGTGCATGTAAGTTGATCCTACATATTTCTGTGAATTCTAGAGAAAATTATTTGTACGTACATTGTTGATTGGTTGTTTGTTAAAGGACTGTAAGTTATAAATTGATCTAATCGCATCGTGGCAGTCTGTCTCAATAGATCCAAGGATTGACTGAGTTGTACACATGACTTGACTAAATAATTATTGAAAAAATATATGGGTGAAGTGTTTAAAATATGACACACTGAACATATGTATAAAAACAAAAATATTATAAATACTGTATCAATAATTCAAACACACACACTAATTTTACTCATTCTCATTCTGTTTCAGGTCTGAAAAGGTTTTCTAATATTTTACATTTATAATCAAATAAATCCAGAGAATGGCCAAAAGTGTAACGGTGGCCTATGCATTATGGGCTTTCGGGGGTCCACTGGGACTTCACCATATATATTTACATAGAGATAGTCATGCTTTATTATGGATGGTAACCCTAGGAGGATTTGGCTTGGGCTGGGTCAGAGAGTTCATACGTATTCCTTCATATGTTTCTGAAGCAAATCGAGACACAGAGAAATTAAAAAAACATCACCAATATCACCCGCTGGCCCTCCCACCATTGGGCCTTGTCAGATTTGCAGGACAGCTGTGCGTGGGAATCTACTTTGGAACGGTGGCTCTGCTGGGACTTAACACTTTCAGCTTTTTCTACCTGCTGGTTCTTCCGCTGTCTGTGGCAGCTGGAGTGCACCTGGTGGCTACAGCTGGTCAACAAACATCAGACCTTAAAAAAACGTTGACAACTTGTCTTATCACTTCACCTATTTTCTATGGCAGTACACTCTCACTTGTGCCCATTAGTGTGGCTGCCAGTGTCACAGCTTCGCAGAATCGAAGATATAAACAACTACAGCCTAGACAAGACCTGGGTAAGTTAATGCCACAATTATTCTTAATGTTGACTGCAGATATAACTGCACTTATTACAATTAACATGTAAGGAAACACATAAGAATAAACTGTTTTATTTAAAAATAACAACTCTTCAATCACATCACTTTTAGCACCTCGTCTTTGCTACCTTTGTTTGGCATGGCTGGCCTTCTCTGCCCCTGTTGGGTATTGCATCTTCCACAATACGACGGCTACTCTGTACTACATGTCTGACTGTCTGTCGGCTCTCCTGGAAATGTTCTGGTTCATACCTTGGCTCAGAAATGTATTCGAGTACATTCTTCTGATGCCATATAGGATCCTGTGTGCACTGACTGGAGGAGGGTACTATGACGAGGCCTGGAGGAAAGTGCTTGATATACTCCTCAAAGAATACACAGAGAAAGAAAGGGAAGCATTAAAGGTCAGTACCTGAACTTTGCAAACAGGTTCCAAATGACTTTGGTATTCTTACATAGCACCACATACAGGATGTAGCCCACAAAACACACAGGATAAATGCCTGCATACACAAAGGATGTATGGGCGGTGATCTGAGTCAAAGAGCTCACAAATTATTGGCTTGATACATTTTTTTAAAAGCCATCTTTTTAACTAGAATTCTAACAGAATATGCAAAGGCCGGAGGCAAGATTTTGATTGTAATTGAGTGTTGGAAGAAATGGAGTAGTACATATTTTGTAGCAAAAACAGAAGGAAAACTTAAATTCTCATCTTACTAATTAAAGTAGTACTAGAATTTAATATGCTGCTATCCAGAATATATAACTACAATATGTGTTTATAATATTTCGGGTGTTCATTTTGACATGTTCAGATGAATTATGTTAAAAAAACGGCTTTCAGGTGGCACTTTTTCACTTCCGCATAGAAACGCTAGGGGGGGCCAAAATGGCGGCGATGACGTAGGAGGAGGGCATCTCACAGCAGCAGACAGCAGTCTGGTTGGAAACTGTAGGAGGTTTCACTGTCATCTGAACAAGGTAAAAACATATTTTCATCCGTTTTGTGCATAATAGTGTGCAATTCTTTTAACCTTTTAGCCTTATTTGTGAGATTCAAGCTAATTAGTGTTGGGCAAGTTAGCTAACTCTACTTGATATCATAAAACATGCTAACAATGCTAATATTCGTGTTTACATTATGCCAGTCTCACTTTGGTTGCCTTAGATTTATTTACCACAATGTACATTGTAATATCCATAAATGTTAACACCTATTAACGGTTTAATTAGCATTTTTATCAATGATTGCATCACATGTAGTCTATGTTTTCAACTTCTGCAGCTTTTTGTTCATAAAAGTAAAATATTTATTTAATTAGTTATTTTGATTAGCATTTTTGAATATTACAATGTACATTGTGGTAAATAAATCTAAGGTAACCAAAGTGAGACTGGCATAATGTAAAAACAAATATTAGCCTTGTTAGCATGTTTTATGATATCAAGTAGAGTTAGCTAACTTGCCCAACACTAATTAGCTTGAATCTCACAAATAAGGCTAAAAGATTAAAAGAGTTGCACACTATTATGTACAAAACGGATGAATATGTTTATACCTTGTTCAGATGACAGTGAAACCTCCTACAGTTTCCAACCAGACTGATGTCTGCTGCTGTGAGAGGTCATTCTCCTACGTCATCGCCGCCATTTTGGCCCCCCCTAGCGTTTTTATAAAGGTGCCACTTCAAAGCCGTTTTTTTAACATAATTCATCTAAACATGTCAAAATGAACACCCGAAATATTATAAACACATATTGTAGTTATATATTCTGGATAGCAGCATATTAAATTCTAGTACTACTTTAAGTACTAAGTACTGATACAGTTTTAGCTTTAATGCAGGTAACTTTATTAATCCATCTTGGATGATATTATTATATCCTACAATATCATTTGGTTACGTGCACTTTTGTTTTGTTTGTATTTGCAAAGTGTTCCGCTGATGTGAACAGTTTTATTTCTACTTGTTTAGATATTGTCACTTAAAGAAGAAGCCACACAAGAAGACATAACTCAAAGTTATAGAGAGCTGGCTAAGTCCTGGCACCCGGACCATAACTCCAGCAAGGACGCTGAAGCAATGTTTTTGAAGATCCATGAGGCTTATCAAATCTTGATGAGGCGTTACAAACCCAACAGATTTAGATAGACACGACGGAACAACACTTAAAATCATTCCCATGTATTAGTACAGTTATAATTCCAACCACTATTATTCTTGCAAGATTACATTCATTTTACAAGCAAAAAATAAATTAACATGGTTATGACAACAATGAATATTCTTTGTTCTACTAACACTGTTTTTTTTGGTTTGTTATTGTTGTTGTACATGATGCACACTTTTTAATTGTGTGCTTAAATAAACTAAAATAAACAAAAAACTAAAAATGATATGTTTATCATCATTGTCTTGTGTGCCTTGACAGCAGTAGCCCACTCCTAATTCAGATTCAATAAACAAAACAACTGTCTATGAATCTATTAAATAAATAAGTAGCATTATGCAACTAAATGCTCTCAATTTCAGCTATCACGAGCCCTGTTAACTTGTGCAAAAGTCCAGGACACTTTCTATTCTTCTCACAAACGTTTCCTTAAATTTTTACGACTTTTTATTTTATTTCTGTTATTGATCATGGTAGTACTAAGCTGTCAAGGCTCCACCTTTTGTCTGTTTCACATCATCATTCTGAAAATCTCTGGTGCCTAAAAGGTTAATTAACACAGTCCAAAGCTAATGAGGAGTTACACAGAAAGACGTGCATTTTCTAGACAGTATTTCCACACTGATCAGACTTGATGTAGCTATTCTACTAGATATGTCCATAAACGGCAGTGTGACAGTGTATACCATAGTAATAACACACACTGCGTGTCCCATGTTCACCTGTGCCCTCAGATGACATGCATCGATGCTTTCGGGGATCCGTGCATCAGGAGCTCTGCTGTACAATCATTAGGTCTGTGTGCATCCCAGCATGGGCCCGGAAGTTGTTTTGAAGGGATTCCCAGGTACAAAAAATCCCGGAGATGCTGTCGTCGCCTGGGAAAACAAACAGCTCTTCAGACAATTAGAAAGAAAAACAGCAATCGGCCGCCAGGTAAGACAGAGGCTCGCAGACGGATGCCCCAGCTCGGTAAGGACATTCATGCGAAAGTACGGCGTGTTTGTGAATAGTTGGTGCTGAATGCCATTTGTCGTGTGGTCGGGTGCCATAGCAACGGCTCATGAGAAACACGGCTCCGGTTTGACGTCCACGATGGAGACAGTGTTAATGCGGTGCGGCGACCAGCGGCCACTGGGCCATTTTGTCCACTGCCTTTGCGTTGAATACAATAGTGCATTTTGGCTATTGACTCCACACCACACCGTTAAAACATAAAAGACATTTGCGTCATGTGTTGTCTTTTTGGATGTGATTGGCGCGGCTGTCAGCAGGTGCAGGCGTCCTCGTTGCGTCGCGGTGCCCTGGTGTGACTGGCGCGTCTCCCGCTGCATCAGCGCCTGTTGCTCTCCATGCACGGCACAAACATATTCATTTCTCTGCCATGAGTTGTCTCCGCCCATCGTCCCTCTCTCCAGTAGCCTATCCACTGTTGTCATACTTTTTAGAAAGAGAAGCAGCGCCATATGCAAATGAAAGAGGTTTTGGCTATTGAACTCAACATTGTCTAATTCTTAACTTCAGATGTCGCCCAGTGACTTCCCAATAAGGTGCCATATTTCAATAATGTCTGCAGTGATCAAGGCGCTCTTTACAATGTATTAGTATTCCCGGGGTTATAGACTCGTTTTAAGTAGTAATACGCGTCCTATGCATTTTTGTGTTTAGCTTTATTTGTTATGTGTAGAAGTTGGACATTCCAGATATGTCCCCGTATAACGTGTTGTGTTTTCTTTATTATAGATGAGATATAGAAGAGTTTATAGATTCAATTTGTGTTGTATATATAATACTACATATGTTATATTCTATTTTTAGAAATCTGGTGAGAGAATGAATGTTGATGACTGCAATGGACGGACATATGCAGGTATAATTATCTAAAAAGTATATAGTTGTATGTGTTTATTTTAAAATGACAGATTTTTCTTATTCAGGCAATGAAGGAGAGTCAACAGAACAGGCCTATTATGGTGGTCAGCAGTGCCCTCCAAAGTCTACCAACACTCAGAAAACATCTCAGCAGCATTCTCTTAGTAGTTATAATTTAATAACAACAACCTTCCTTGCCTCATAAGTAGATGTTTTGTTTTTTATTCATGTTCTTCTTTTTTTGAAACAGCAAACTCTGTTAAGGTTGAGCTGTGCAGTGATGATGAGTCCCCATGTGTTGAACCCGAGAACACAGAGGAAGTAAAAGACGATCAGCTGAGTGACCCCATGGACGAGGGAGGGGCAGAGTATGTTCTGTCGAGACGAGACAAAGTCAGTGTCTGTAGTGAAATGTCAAATACCAATGCTACTTCTCCTGGACCTATCCGATTGCCCAATGGTAAACTTCAGTGTGAGGTGTGTGGCATGATCTGCATTGGACCTAATGTGCTTATGGTGCACAAGCGCAGTCACACAGGTGAGATGACATACCTTTAAAAAACAGGAATTAAAAAAAATTATTTATGACGATTACAACATTTTTTGATTGTGTAGGTGAAAGACCATTCCAATGTAACCAGTGTGGGGCCTCATTCACTCAAAAAGGAAATCTGTTACGGCACATCAAATTACATTCAGGAGAAAAGCCTTTCAAATGTCCCATTTGTAACTACGCGTGTCGTCGGAGAGATGCCCTGGCAGGGCATTTACGAACTCATGCAGGTAAATACAATAATAATACAGTTGAGGGAAAATAGTGTTAGAACTGAGTGAAAAAAATATACTTCAACAGCAGTTAAAAGTGAAAAGATTAATTGGTAATATTGCTTACCAAAAGAATATAAGAAATGCATGGTTTGAGATCAAAAAATCCCATTTGTTTATAGACAATACTGACAGGTGGGATCTGGATGTCTGATAATTATTTCTGGATAACTGTATTAACTTGAATCACTTTCCAAAAGGAAATATAAAAGTTATGCATGTATTTCCGTTTATTTCAGTTAAAATGTTGTCTTTTCTATTCAGTGTCTTCTCCGACTGTGGGAAAACCTTTTAAATGCAGCTATTGTAGCCGCAGCTACAAACAACAGAGCACACTGGAGGAACATCTGGAGCGCTGCCATAATTATTTGAAGAGTTTGGACAATCACTCAGGAGGCTGCACACTCTCAACACAAGGTTAGAGACTGTCCCTGTGTTTAAAATGGTGATTACAAAAATGTGTGTATGATTGTATACTATCACTGTCATGGTGTGGCTTTTATTTTTGTACTTTGGTTTTTATTTTGACATTGTTTCTTTGTGGTTTGGTTTTGAGTTTGACTTCTGTGCTGTTTCCCCTGTCTTGATTGTCTGCCCCGCCCTGATGTGTTTCACCTGTGTCCCTGTCTATAATTACCCTGTGCCCCTCTCAACATGTTGCTGGTCCATTGTTATGTCAATGTCCTGTTTCGTCGTGTCAAGTTCTGTCTTTGTTCCTGGTTCTGTATTCTTGGATTTTGAGTTTAGTTTTCACCTGGACTTTTATTTTATTAAATCATTATTTTTTGCATTCCTGCATTTGAGTCCTCCATCATCCCACCCCGTGACAATCACCTCTTTTTATGTCCTTTAGAAGACAAATCAGCAGATGTGGAAACCAAGACAGTGCTTCAACCGTCCAATGATAAAATTCAGTTTGCAGAAAGGCTGTCGATTAGTATGACTAAGCGCAAAAGATCAACACCACAAAAGTTTTTGGGTATGATTTTGGTACATGTTGATTATTACAACACTTAATAAACTACATGTGTTTTTTGAGCAGAGATTAAAACACTTTTTGCATGTTTCTATGAAAGGTGAAAAGCACATGCATCTCAACCTACCTGATGCACCTTATGAACTGTCTTCGGGCTCTGAGAAGGAGGGGGAACTCTTGAGCGCTCACTCTGGCCCGGACACCTTTCTGTCAAGCACGAAAAGCAAAGATGAAAACCATGAGCCCTCCACACAATCTCAGCTCTTTCCCACCTATCTGTCGGTTATAGGTCAATTAGATAACAACTCAATTCCTCAGAGCCTACAGGTCCATGCAGGAAGTGGACTAACTTTCTGTTTAACAGGTAGAGATGCAGGTGAAAGCCAGGATGACCAACCTACACCTCTTAGCCTCACCACCTCACCAAACGGCTGTCCTGACTCCACAGACACCGAGAGTACAGCGGAAGAGCAGAGCACAAGGGCTACTGGACCCACAAGTACCTCAAACAACCACCACCTCCACTACCACAATGTCCCCCTGTCCCGCAGCCTCCCCACTTCCAGCCCCAGCCAGGCCAAAGATACGGACACTATGTGGATCAAAGCAAGCCCCATGCCTCCTGTTTCAGTGAAAAAGAGTGCTCGTTCACTTCTCTCCTCCAGGGAGACCATGCAGGTGTTGGGCAGAGATGGTCGGCCAGTGCGCTCCTTCCACTGCCGCTACTGCCGCATACTCTTTCTGGACCACGTCATGTTTACCATTCATATGGGATGTCATGGTTTCCGCCAGCCTTTTGAGTGTAACATCTGTGGGCACCGCAGCCACGACCGCTATGAGTTCTCCTCACACATCAGCCGGGGAGAGCACCAGGTGGGCTGAGGGCTGCACACAGTACTGTTGTTGGCTCATGTTTGCTCTGCACCAGAATAGTGGTTTGAAATGTGTATTGTGAATGCATCGTATGGGCTATTGTAACTGAACCTAAATATTGGATCTTTCTATTGCACCTTTTAAAAAGAATGTGGCATCAAATTTAGGATTGCACTCCCATATCTAATCATCTGGTATAATTCCTTTTCTTCAAAAGTGCCTTTTTAGGGGGTTTCCCCTAAATGTCTTAGACTGAAGGAAGAGCTGTGCTTTAAGGTCTTGCCGAGCCAGCTTTTCTAGTCAATAGCTCTCAAGCAGGAATTAAAGCGTACACAAAGGATGCCCTTAATATTGTGGGAGAAAATGGACGGTTTGTTGAAAGCCAGGTCAGCGTTTTATGCACTGCAATTGTTGTGCCTCTGGGTTTTGTGGGAGTCTTTGTCTTAGATAAAGTACAGTATAGGGTTGCCTTAACTTCTGCAACAGTGAACTGTTGTATCTTGTTTACAGTAGGGTTCAGTATAGATAAGTAAACTCTGTTCTTGAGAATATTTGCAGTTGCACATATGAGACAGGAAATGTTGAAAAAGTCTCAAAGACATTGTCTTAAAGATGTTACTAAAGGTTCAGGGCTTATATTTGATTGGGTTCTGGATGATAAGATGGGAAACCTGGTGCAGATCAGACCTGAGTCAGAGAATGAGAAAGCCTGGGTGCTATAGCCCTGCATTTTAGATCACTGCTGAAAATCAATATTAGCTCAAGCATTTCATAGCTTTTACTTAGTTGTACTGCAAATAAAATGCACCATCTTATGAAACAGTGCAACACCAGTGCATTGTTGACAGTCACATCAGCTGGACTGGTTTGCCTTTTTCCACACAGCTACAGAAATCCTTTTTCATCTTATCTTGTTAAACAAATGGCCATCTCCACTTTAAAATAATTAGAAAACAACTTGTGGTTATATATTTGTTTCTGCCTTGGTGTATTTGCATCAACCCTACGTATATTCCAAATCTTAGCATTTTCCTCATATGCATAAAAGGTTACCTCCTGCTTCTTTAAAGCACCCAAATACCTTACTGCTACCATATGGTGAGTTATCTGGTAATGTTTATATTTGAAAAATGAATGAGACCAAACTCAGTATTCTTGTGTGTGTTTTGTGGGTTTGCTGCTTCATGTTTTTTCTTGGTTTATTTTAAATACAGGCAAAATGCACTTGAAACTGTTTTGAGAAAATATGAAATGCTCCTGGTTTAATTGAGTGAATGAGTGTAGCATGTGTGCCTGTCAATGCTTTTACTTGACCTGTGAATTATTTTTAAAATGTGAAGTTCTTTCTGACATTGAAAAAACAGGCATGGATTTTGTCTTCTTATGTGGACTTTTAATGTTGATCAATATTTTGTGGATGATGTAACATGACAAAACACTTTACCTCAAAGTTTAAGATGTACTGCCTCATCATTTCAGAGTCATGTTGCTTTAATTTACAAACGTGCCCCTCTATATTCTGGAAACTTTTTACTGTCAATAAAGTTGTTTGCTAAGTGAAGTCTTTGTGTTTGTAGACTGATTGGATTAAATTTAGGCTTCTTCCTCGGTGGAGTGATCCAAGGATTATAATCAAAAGCAATTATTTTAACTATGTTTCAGAGCTCTATGATACATTCTTATCATCTGTAAGTCAAGCACAACTCATAGATCAGTATGCACCAGTGGCTCAGAAATGTTTATGGTCCATCTTTAAAGCTGGGGTACTTCAAATTTTAAATTACTAATTCATTTTGTTTGCTTCAACAGTAAGAATCTTGTGAAAGTAAAATAGTAATTAAAGTAAATTAAATTAAAACTAATCAGACCAAACTAATAGCAGCACTATTTCACCTTGGATAGAGAGCTGATTGGCTGGGTGAGGATGGTCCTCTCCTTTTTACTTTTCAGTCTGAAAAAGAGGATCTATAGACAAGGCCAGAAATACACTGATGTGAAAACTAGAGATAGAATCAAACTTTCATGAGAGTGAGGAGGTTAGAGGAATGTGCCAAGCCTATTTTCTTCAGTTTTTTTGAGGTTTGAAGGTTGGGCACCCCTGACTTCTACCTGCTTCCACCATGAACAACCATAATACAACACATCAGCAGAATTGAACAAACATTATCTAGGATAGTGCATATTTGTAAAAAAATGTATAGTGTTTTTTTTTTTTTTGACACAAATGATTTTATCTGGTCTTTTGGAGGGCAGGGGCCACTCCTGAAGATCTTCTGTGGTGGCATCAGCCATGTTGTACGGAGTGGTCTGCTGGAGCAGCAGCATCAGCAGGAAGAAGCTGGACAAGGTCATCAGGAAGTCCAGCTCAGTCCTGGGCTGTTCCCTGGACACAGTGCAGCAGGTGGGGGACAGGAGGTCCTGGGAAAACTGTGTGCTGCACCTTGACTGTCACCCCCTGCAGGACACTCTGTCTACTCCAGAGACCAGTTTCAGAGACAGACTGATCCACCACCCTTGCTGTGTGAAGGAGAAGTTCCGGAGGTCTTTCTTTATCGTTGCAGTCAGACTGTACAACAAACAATGAGGATTAATGAACACTGCCGACATCACATGTCATGTATCTCTGCAATAACTTGAAATGATGTTAGACGGTGCACAATGGGACCACATGTGTCCACTGTCATGTCAGTTTTAGCCCGTACCCACAGGCTGCTAACAGCAGTTTCATCACTGTGGACATTTGAATCTAGAACTAATGACTCACTACCATAATATTCTTGCACTAGAGTGTACTATAGATGTATCTATCAATGTATACATACAAGTATATATTTATTTACAATACAATATAATTCTTTATACTTTGCTAAAAATAGAGTTTTTTTCTATTTTCTTTGAGTATATTCTAAATTGCATTAAGAATAGAGTCGTGCTATTCACTTATCTTGAGTTGTAACTTGTATCTTACTTTACTTTAATCTTTGGTAAATTATCTGTTGTCGGTTCTGTCCATTGGAATATCCGAAAACTTAATGCGTTAACCTTAAAAAATACAATGAATTGAACATATCTACCATGCTATCCTCAATCCTTTTAAAAACAGGCGCTTGGCTGCCGCCGTGTGGTTGCTGTGGGTATGAGGACCGGAGGCGCAGGTCCGTATGTGATCCGACAGGGGGCGCACTACACCAGGCTCTGAGCCACACTCTGGACCATGCCTGCATGAAGCCCTCTCTGCCCTCTGCGCTCGTCTTCTCTGTCATACATTCATGGATCTGATATAATGCATAAATAGCGCAAAATTTGCGCATAAATGTGTTCATGTTAGAACCAACCAAGGAACCAAGGAAAATACAACAAACAATTCCAGTACTCCGTAAGCTTGAAGATAAAAAAATATATCTTTGTTAGCGTAGCCTACAGCTCAATCCTGCTCGTTATTATGTTATTATCTCACCTTGTTTTACCGAAACAGAAGACGAGAGAACCAACAGATGAAGACCACCTACTACTTTAAGCAGGTAAAAGCTGTGAAATGGTTTGGAAAACTGCTATGCCTATATTAGGTCTCCTGTGATTTAGCAGAACAGAACTTCACTGACGTGACCTGCTCGAGTCAAGTGGCGTGTGGCGAAGGTATGGGGGTTGGGTCCAGGTAGTTAAAAAAAAACAACAATGTTTACCTGCCTGAAATGTTAAAGAACTATCCAAAATAAGATATAAGACTTTGTAAGACTGATTGCAGTCTTAACTCAGGCCCCAGAGAATAGTTGATATCAGTGATCCCCTAAATGTCCTATTCAATTCAATTCAATTTATTCTTGTATAGCCATAAATCACAACAGTAGTCATCTCAGAGGACTTATCAAAACTGTTGACATCGTCAACACAGATCAGAGAATCAAGCAGTTCAAAAACAAAATATATAAAACAAATGTATTGGTTCATAGTGGGAGTTTGACCAATGTCCATGAATATTGATAAATGTCCATAAATGTAGAATGTTAAAGTGTCCTGGATCATCCCCACAGTCCTTCTTGTTAGCGCTAACAGTCTAACAGACCCTCCTGCATTGGCAAGGAAAAACTCTTAAAACCCAGTGGGAGAAAAGTGAGAAACCTCAGGGAGAACCACATTGAGAGAAGGATCCGCTCCACACGGACGGACGGGCTATAGATCTAGAACCTAAGCTACAGAACCAGGACCAAGACCATGCAGCGGTTGTAGAAGCAATGAAGAGACTACAGTCAAAATCCTAACAATGCAGACAGATAAAGTAGGAAGGAGGAGAGGATAGTGCTCAAGTTACCATACTTCTCCCAGCAAACTGACTAGATATGCAACTTGACTGACAATCTAAGATTTTTAGTCTTCCCTGAGTCTTCTCTGACCATATGCTAAACTGAGGAGGTCTGTTTTAAGCCTGGCCTTGAATATAGAGACCGTATCTGCTTCCTTAACATGAATGGGAAGCTGATTCCACAGTAGAGGTGGCATAGCTTGGTAGCTGAATACTCTGCCGCTGACAGTGCTTTTTGAGACCATAGGAACCACCAGACGTCGGGCGTTTTGCGAGCACAGTGCTTGGTATGACACGCGTCTTGAAAGTAAGACAGAGCCATGATATTTATGGCTTTGTATGTTAAACGAAGGATTTTTAAATGTATTGTGTACTCCACAGGAAGCCAGTGGAGTGATTTTAACACCAGAGTTATGTGCTCCCTCCTTTTGGTACCTGTTAAGGTCCTTGCCCCTGTATTTTGAACGAGCTGAAAGCTCTTCAAAGAGGTTTTAGGGCACGCTGCCAGCAAAGCGTTACAGTAATCAAGCCTTGAGGTGACAAAAGCGTGGATCAGTTTTTCTGCGTCACTTTTAGGAAGGGTATTCCTGATTTTAGCGATGTTGCACAAGTGGAAGTATACCTTGAAGGAAAGTTCTTTGTCAAATACAACTCCAAGATTCCTCACAGTGTTGCTTGGTGCTAGGCTAACCGAGTACGATCACGTCTG